CGGTAAGCTTTGGGTTCAGGTGGAGGATTTCTGTGTTTCTGGGCTCCAGCAGGATGAGGAGGTTGATGCTGGAGGAGTGGGCTGGCTAGGAGGGAGGTGGGATCAGTGGCCACTTTTGCTGTCACTGCTCAAATCTCCTGCCTGTTTGTCCATTTGTCTTTCAAATTGTGGTTTATTCATGTATTCACAGTAGATATTTAATTCATTGCTCTGCTTGTCTTTTCAAAGAAACGCTGAATCCTGAATCATCTGTAACTCTTCCTTGTGTTTTTTCCTTTTTTTTTTTTTTTTTTTTTTTTCCCCTTTGTCAGCAGTGTTAATTTGCCTGTAACTAACTTGATAGTATGTCATCCTGGATAGAGAGAATCCAGCAACTGTAGGATATAAAGCTGACAGTTTTCAAGAAAATATGCTTTCAGAATAATTGAAAAAAATCTCTAGGGCTATTGTTAGTCTTTGGAGATGCAGTTTAAAAGCCTAAAACCAGGAGGGTTTGAACTAGACAAGTCAAGGGAGAAACCCATTCCTGCTTGGGCAAGCTGATGGGTCTTTGGAGAAAGAGAAGCAAAAAGATCTTCTTTCATGTTTTCCTGGGTGTTTTCCTTCCTCTGATTACTGAGTATGTAGTTCTGGACTATGCAGTGACTTTGTAAGGACAGAGGATGCCTGCTCAGGTGATGTGGTGCTGTCATTCATTTGTTTGTGCAGCAATTCCTTTTCTGTAATGGAATATCAATTACATGAGTTTTTCTGTTTGAAAAAGTGTCATTGCTAAGGGCTTTGAGAAGGAAATACAGGATTTTGCTGTGAGTGCGTACACGAACAGCTCTGGCTAGCAGAGGAACATGAATGTCTTGAGCAGGAAATTTTTTTCCCCATCTTCCACGCAGCTCAGATTACATGTTTTCATTAGACATCTGGTTGAATAATTGGGTCCTCACAAATGAGTAGGTTAAAATAATCAGAGGAATAAAGTTTTTGAGTAGTTGTATGCAATTTTTAGCTATATATTCCCTCTGATATCTCCTTATTTGCATTTTTGAGTATTTGCAGCAGGCTAGAAATTCTCCTCTAGAGTTGCATGTGAAAAATTATTTATTGGGGGTGAGAGTGGAAGGTCCTTGTTTCTTGGAATCCGAGATTTTGAAACCTATTTGATCAAATGGAGTATATTTGTGTAGGATATGTACCTTTGATGGAAACCAAGAATATCCAAGGATATTTTTTTCCTACAGTATTATAAAACAAAATGAAAAGAAAAAAAAAAAAAGGCAAACATGCTTTATTTAACACGGTACCAATTCCCGATGGACTGGTGAAATGCTGCCGTGTTTCACTTTTGCCATTCCCAGGAGAGGGATGAATGAATGAAAGGATCGTTCAGTCAGAGCTTCCCACCTGTCCTTAAAGATGATTTCCAGGCTGCAGCTAAAGGTGTTTGTGTCAGTACTGAAAACTCTTACTTGATCTGGAATCTTGGACAAATGAAAGATGCATTTAGTTTCCAAGGCTAAGCATCTAGCACCTTTCCTGAGCCCTAAACTTTTCTTTTTGATTCATGCACATTTATTTAGAAAAAGAAAGTAGCTAGTGTCAACAGATCTGTACAGATGTCTTTAATCAGTTTCCAAATGTGTAACAATGGTACAAAGAAACATAATAAAGTCATGTGTTTCATTTTAACACCCTTTTAGGGTCAAGAGCCAAATTGTTTCTGCTGCATTTAGTTCTTGAAGCTGTTATAGGATCTTGCTGTAAGTTTTTCCAGGATTATGAGCCATGCAAAAAAAAAGAAAGTAGTGTTTGACCCAGTATTTAAATACTGTAAGTGATTTGCGAGGTGAGAAATTTTCAAATTGTCTCTAGAACATTACTGGCTAAACTAGTGTTCGTATTTTCCTTTTATTTCCTATTATTTTGTTTCAGTTTTAACTCATCTTTAGTTGTATTGCAATGCAGCCCCATGCTTCTTCTGGTACCTCTTTTCCATACAGAGCAATTAAGTTGTTCCTTCTCCCACCCGTTATCTGGAAGAGAACAGATCTAAGTAGGTGATAAAGGACAAGTCTATAGATATTTCTTAAAATGAGATTTACCTTGATGGAGAAAATTTGTAAATCCAAGAAATAAACCTGATATACTGTAATTGCAGAGAGAAGAGTTCTGTTTGTTTGTTTCCAAGACCTTAAAATGTAAGGTGTTAATTCTCCATCATTAAGCTCTCTTGTTGCTCATGGCTTGTCACATCAACCACATAAATGTGTGTTCAGTTGTTGCAATATCTTAAATAGCTCCAGCCCTGTAATCTTTGCAAGGTTTGTTTTTCCCCTTGTGCAACTGTTTACAGGTTCTGACTCATCTTGGTGTTTTCCTTTAATCAGAGCTTTGTAATTTCTCCTGTTAGTGTGTTCTTTTTATTCTTGCTCATAGGTTGTGGCAAGCTATTTGTTTACTTACGTAAAAGAGAGGAACAAATTTTGTTCTTAGTCATGTGCGTGTCTTTCAGTGACTTATTTAGCAGACCCTTTGCGTGTGGGATGGCAGGGCCGAACCTGCAGACACCCCAGCTGCCTGTCCTACATGTGTTGCACAATGCGAGGGAGCCAATTTTAACTGTTTTTCCATGGGAGGGGTCAAAGATGTGAGTCGGTAACAGGCATCTTTAAGGTGAAGAAGAAATCCTCAAGCGCGGTGGTGCGTGGAGAAGCTGGGCCCATGCAGCAGCCAGGTGCGTGGAAGGCCAGCCTGCTGCGCGCTGTCGTGAGCAATGCAGATGCTCCGGCAGCCTGCTCTGCCTTCTCGGCTTTGACATGAAAACCACGCTGATGAAAAGCAGGAGACCTTGTTTGAGGGAGTTGAAAAGACGTATCGTTTAAGTGGTTTGGGTTAAATAAACACCGTTTCTTTCTAACTTGCAGAGCAACCGAATGTATATGGTATTGGGGCTTAAGTTTGCAAGGGAAATACCCGTAGATACCTAAAGAGAAACAGGTGGGGAATATCACATGCAGTATCAAAGATGCTTTTGTGCTGAGAATTCCTGAATTAAGGTGTAACAAAGCTGCTTTGTTAACTGACCAACGTTGTTAAAATCTCTTTCCTTTTTCAAACAGGAAATCTTGCTGGCCCACACAGGAAAAGCAAAAGCAGTTGACAAAAGGCTTGTAATTTATATACTGACAGCCTACTTCATTGTTAAACATGATTCGTTAATGCACTGTATCTGGTGTGTGATTGATTTCCTTGTAGCCTGTTACCCAGCTGAAACTAGCAACATATCAGCATTGTTTCTTTTTGCTTGGAAATTGAGGATAAATTCAGTGCTCCTTGACAATATTGTGTCCTGAGACCCTGCAGAGCTGGTGAGCGACTGCGCTTGGTGGCTGTTTAATCGGTCTCTAGAAAATTGTATTTATAAGGCCCGTTTTTTGTTACAGGGTACAAATCTCGGCTGTGCTGGTGAGACTCAAGGGTTAAATTCCCAACACTGTCGCATATGGCAGTGAGCAGAATCACAGATGTTGATGATACAACATAATTAGTATTCTTTTATGTAAATGAAGGCTGTCAATGTTACCATAGTGTCTATACTCTTTCAAGCTGGAATCTATGCCACTTGGTCTCACCAAGGCTAGACGGGATTATTCCACAATTTTCTGTCAAGACCTGAGCAGAAAAATAAAGAAGGAAGAGGGGGAAAAAAGGTCAGGGAGGAAGGTGAGAGGAAGGTGGGAAGAGATGTTTCCAACTTGGAAGGAAGAGACCAAATCAGTCCTTTGTTTAGTATAGGATTTCCGAAAGTGCCTTTCCAGATCCTAGGATCTGTGAGTGAATGAACGCAGCCCAAAGGAGAGGTGTAGCAGATTTTTGAACTGTTTTAAAGAAAAAACTAAAACGGTTATTTAGACACTGCAGAATCGTTCTATGGAGATAAATTCTGAAGTGGCCACTTGCGCTTTAATCTGAAGTCGAAAAGAGTTAAAGAACATAAGAGCTTTGATTTTTCTTTAACAGATTCCATCTTTAGCAGCAGTGTCACTGGAAAAAGATAGTAATTAAAGTAAATTTGCATAATTTGGGGACCACTAAAAATATGTTTTCCTAGCCTGGTCAGATAGGTGTTCTGCATACCAATCGAGGCCACCGTTCAATACCTATCCTAAAGCTTTGGGAAAGCATGCTGTTGCCTTCGTTATGTTAAAATTTGCCCCTTGTAAAATGATTTTTTAACTAAATATTCTGTACACCAGATCTGACACTCTCTGTGACATCTGTAACCACTTTGTGCCTATTATTGCTGTCCCCCCTATCACTCCTTTGTATTGTATTCAATATATACTGTAGTTGTAGATGTGTAAGCAAGTTAATTTAGTCTTTCTTGGATTATTACAAATACGTTTTTACAATCTTTTCTCCCTTTGGCAAAAAGCAGGGTTTTTTCCTGTTTTTCTTTCCTCTGTAGTTCTTATTTTGTTGCAGTTCACGCTTGACAACTATTCATTACTTCATTTTATTGTTTGAAAAATCATCTAGAAATGACATTTAATTCAGGACAGATTTTTTTTTTTTTCTTTTTCCCCATATCCTCCCCCCCTTCTTTCACCAAGTTATTGAAGCAGCCAAAATTGAAGTGATCACAGGAGGTGCACGTTTTTGCTCAGTTTTTTTAACTCAGATTTTTTCCCTGCCATATGTTGGGTCATCCACTACAAAAGACTTATGATGAAGAGGCTACATGTGATCAGCAGATTTATAGATTATCAGAAAATGAAAGCAGAAAGATGAAATTCCAGAGCGCCTCTTCCATCTGATGTTTCTTAACATCTAAGTATTTGGGTTCTTAGGTGCGTTCATGCTTTGACTTCCAGATTATTCTCTTCTCTGTAATAAATGTGTTCTCCACAGTAGCTCTTGCACTGAGGGGATTAATCGTGTTCAAAACCAACCCTGCCAGCCGCCTTAGTTTGTTCGTGCGCATCACAAGAATATTCTCTCTCCAGGGCTTTGAAGCTGTGCTGCCTTACAATGAAGAGTTAAGTAGTAATTAAATTCTCGAAGAACCGCCAAGACTCCTTTGGCTGAAATGGGGATGTTCCGCGCCCTGGATGCTGTGTCGCGGAGGAGAGGATGTTTAGACATGACTCCGTGAGTAGCGCGTGTGAGCGAGCGGGCCTGGGCGCTGTTTCGGTGCCCTGATCTCTTTCCATTGGCTTGGAGCAGTGGAGGGTCTGCCCAAAAAAACCCACAGCGCTGGCACGCGGCGCGATGTTTCAGTTGTGCTCTGCGTACGGCTGAGTATCTTGTATAAAACATATGGACACAGGACACGGAGTCAAAGCTGAAAGCTTTTCGTGCCTTCTAGTTCTGCTGTCCCTGCTTTGATTTCTCTTCACTTGCAATATCGTAATTTAGTAAATCAGTTGCTTTTTCTGTTTATGTGTGCTCATGCAAACATGTACACATGCAGATGTTCTTTAGTTTTACTATAACATGGTGTTACATATTTCATTTTTTTCCCTGCCGATTTTTTTAAACGTTAAAATGTTTGGGAGTCTGTGGGAAATCAGAGAATTCAAGGGCAGAACGTAAAGCCTGAGGACTTGCAAATGCTCTGGTTATGACAATTACCTGATTTTTTTGGGGCTTCTGTGAGAAGTTGGTAACCTCATCTAGTTCCTGATGACATGCATTCCAATTCCAAATTCATTTTGTATGTATCAATTTCAAGAGGGCAGCTAAAGATCAAATGTGTGTGTGGACTGAATTAATCTTTTTCTCCTTGGAAGTGAGCCATTCAGGTTGGGTAAGCCATGCTGGCAGCTGACTGGGCCGTTCTTAGTAGAAAGACAGACGGTTTTATTCTGTAGACCTTGTCAATCCAGTATCTTTCGCTAGTACTAAAAGCTGATTTTAAAAAAAACTGCATGCAGAAATAATATAGTCGGCTGAGGGAAAACTGCAGTTGGGATTGACAAGACACGACATCTGTGTTTTTATAGGCCTCTACAGCTGGTACAAGAGAGATCATTTTAAATATATATAGTGGCTCTAACAGACTTTTCTTTCTGTTTTTTGCCTTCCAAGGTCAAAGCAGCGAAGACTTCTGTAAGACATGGATAGATGCAAACATGTTGGGCGGCTACGACTCGCCCAGGACCACTCTATCCTGAACCCCCAGAAGTGGCACTGCGTGGACTGCCAGACTACGGAATCTATCTGGGCTTGTCTGAAGTGCTCCCACGTGGCCTGTGGGAGGTACATCGAGGAGCATGCACTTAAACACTTTGAAGAAACCAGGCATCCACTGGCAATGGAAGTTAATGATCTGTATGTCTTTTGTTACCTTTGTGAAGATTATGTCTTGAATGATAACCCGGAGGGTGATTTGAAATTACTGAGAAGTTCTCTGTCAGCAATTAAAAGTCAAAAACATGATCCGTCAACAAGAAGTGGCAGGACATTGCGATCAATGGCTTTGGGGGAGGACATGTGCAGCCATCAAAGGACCCCTCAGGGACAATCTCAGATGCTTACAGCTCTCTGGCACAGGCGCCAGTCCTTGCTTGCCAAGGCGCTGCGGACCTGGTTTGATAAGAGCTCTAGAGGCCAGCTAAAGTTAAAACAAAAGAAACAAATGGAGGAGTTGGAGAAAAAGAAGGAGGCAGCTAGGCAGCGGCGGCAGGAGATGAAGAGACAACTCCTGGAGGAGCTGGCAAGCACTCCTCCGAGGAAGAGCGCAAGGCTGTTGTCTCACGTGCACAGAGAGAACTTGATTCCAAGGAAATTCAGGGAGGTGGCAACCGCTTCCCCTACCTCAAGGCAGATGCAGAGCAGCAGATTCAAACAGTTTTATTCCATCCGGCGTAAGCCTCTGATGACTCCCGGGGTAACGGGTCTAAGGAACCTGGGAAACACATGTTATATGAATTCTATTCTGCAAGTGCTAAGTCACCTCCAGAAATTTAGAGAATGTTTTTTGACACTTGATCTCTGTGAAACAGAAGAACTCTTAGCTAAAACTGTGAATGGGAAGTCTAGGATGCCTGGCAAATTGGCAAATGGGTCTGCTGCTAATGAGTCAGGGAAGACTGACAAAGTGGGATCATATGGCACGCAGAGCTTGCCAGCTGGCTTAAATGGTGGCTCCTCAATAAGCAGGAGTTTAGAACTAATACAACCCAAGGAACCGAGTTCAAAGCACATCTCTCTCTGTCACGAATTGCACACACTCTTCAGAGTGATGTGGTCTGGCAAGTGGGCGCTGGTGTCCCCCTTTGCCATGCTGCACTCTGTGTGGAGCCTGATCCCGGCGTTTCGAGGTTACGATCAGCAGGACGCTCAGGAATTTCTCTGTGAGTTGTTGGATAAAGTACAGCAGGAGCTGGAGTCGGAAGGAACGAAGCGCAGGATCCTCATCCCTTTCTCGCAGAGGAAGCTCACCAAGCAGGTCCTGAAGGTGGTGAACACCATTTTTCACGGGCAGTTGCTTAGTCAGGTATGCACCTGCTTTTGCACAGAAATCAGTTGGAGCCATTCACACCGAGGAGCAAAGGCTCTGTTTCTTGAGGAGCCAACAGATACATAAGAGGAGTTGCTTAGGAGTGCCTCCTGAGAAAGAAATCGGATGGGTTGTGTGTGTTGTCAGCATTTTTGATATTTTTCATGTGTATTGTAAATTCAGTTGACTTCTGCCACTTCAGAATGAAATCTGCACAAGAACGGAAGTTCTGAGTCCTTAGCTTTAAGTTTTTACTGTGTTTTTAAAGTGTTTTTGTAATTTGTTTTGCCCCTTCCTGGTTTTGTTTCCGTGGCTAGAATATGATGGACAGAGAGGGCAGTCATCATGTGCTATAAAGAACGAGCTCCCTGTGACTATTTTTTTTTTTTTGCAGACATATGAAAGTCATCTTCAAATACTGAGCATGCTTAGCGTACGTTTCTGTAGGAGATGAAAGTGCCTGTCATGCTGCTCGTTCTCTTATTCCTGTGCTGTTCCCTTGCCTGAAATTTATTATTCCCCACAAGACAGACCCTGAGAGCCCAGTGCACTTTGGAAGTCCTCAACTACCTTTGCTTTCCAGGAGAAATGAAATGTCTGCATAACTTGACACTCAAGTGTTTGCAGGATCAGACGATGAAGTGTATTACATGTGTGCGTTCCCATTACTATTTATATCGTCCTTCTCAGTGCCAGTCTTACTAAGCTTTACTACTCATAAGAAATTACATGCACTTTAAAGATTAAATGGTATATTTTTCAAGTTAAAGCTTTTGGCTTTTCAGGGAAAGGATGCTTGAAGTCATGGTTCATTTGAATTATCTCTGCAGAGCTTGAACTTCTTGTGGACTTCTTAACTAAACGTTCTTCATTCAGTTGTGGCTCTTGGCTCTCGATGACGGTGTGTTGTGGCTCGGGTCAGTGTTCTAGATTCAGTGGTAGGTCTCTTGTTAACAGTGCGAAGGTATTCACAAATCAGTGTAATTTATCTGCTATTCACAAATTAGTGTAATTTATCTGCTACTATGCTACACTATAAATAACTTGCCGAGGTATTTATTCTACTTATGTAACTCTTGTGTACGTTTACTGTATTTAATTTCAAACCCCTCTATGCATAGAAGACTTCCTTCCCTATCTGCTAGCTACGAATCCATCTTGAAGTTACTGGTGGCTTCAGAGCTTGAAGCTGCAAGGTTGGAAGTTGGTTTCTGGTGGATGGTTCTCACAAGAATACAGAGTATGGCCAGCTCTGCTTTCTGGTCTTGTTACCTCCTTGTGTTCTCACTTTCTGCCTCTGTTTATTTGAAAACTTTTCTGCTGTTCTTACAAATAATACTCAGGTGACATAAGAAAACAGTACACCTTGAAATGTGTAAGGAAAGTAGAGAAATTATGGAAGGAAGACTGTGTGATAAATGCTAGCATGTACTTTTTGTAGTAGAAAACAGATCCAAAGTGCTTGTTACCCAACAGAGAATTGGTATTATACCTGTAATGGTGTTTATCCGAGGAAGTAAATCACATAAAGGTGAACATCATCTCCATTTTTTTGAGAACTGAGAAAGTAGTTCAAATTATTTGCTCAAGGTAGACTTAGTGTTGTGGTTTAAACCTGGCTGGCAGCAAAACACCACACAGCCGCTCGCTCACCCTACCCCACCCTCAGGAAATAGGGGACAAAGTTGGAGGAGTAAGGGTAAGGAGACTCGTAGGTTTGAGATAAAAATAATTTAATAATTGAAATAAAATAACATTAAAATAATAATGATAGTAGTAATAGAAAATACAAACAAGTAATGCACAATGAGATTGCTTGCCACCCACTGACTGATGCTCAGCCCATTCCAAGCTTGTGATCCCAGAGAAGAGAGAATCCTGAAACCACAGTCCCAGAAGCCAGAGTGAGCTTCCCAGTCAACCCTTACCTATGTACTGAGCATGACTTTAGATGACACGGAATATTCCACTGGCAATTCTGGGTCCGTTGTTTTGGCCACGGTGTCCCCCCCAGCTTCTTGTGTACCTGCGCACTAGTAGGACAGGAGAAGTCGAAAAGTCCTTGATTTCTTAGCAACTGCTAAAAACATCAGTACATTATCAACATTATTCTCATATCAAATCCCATACTGAGTCCAAAACACAGTACTATTCTAGCTACTAAGGAAGTGAAAAAATAATAAAAAAAAATAGCTCTATCCCAGCTAAAACTGGGACACTTAGCTTTCAGACTGGAAATAAGTTTTGTTTCTTTACTCGCGGATCACCTTTATGTCTGTGAAACTGCCCTGCCATCTGGCCATAAACTTGCTCTTTAGATGTCAGTGTAAATGCCAGTCTGCCGGTGTGCATGTACGTAACTTTATTTGTGTATACACATTTCATTCCCAGGTCACCTGCATAACATGCAACTACAAATCCAACACGGTTGAGCCCTTTTGGGATCTTTCCCTGGAATTCCCCGAGCGCTATCACTCTATCGAGAAAGGGATCATCCCTGTTAATCAGGCAGAGTGCATGCTGACAGAAATGTTGGCCAAGTTCACCGAGACCGAAGCTCTGGAAGGGAGGATATATGCGTGTGACCAGTGCAACAGTAAGTCAGATGCTGCTGCTGTCTCTGCCATTAGAAGCACCATCTGTTTTTCCCAGTGAGCAGTTTCTGATGCGTGTTTTGTGTGTCTGAAAACATATATTGTGGCCTGTATGCATAGGAAAACACCGTTCTTCCTTGCTGCTCACGCTGTTTTGTTTCCTCCTTTTGGTAGCTTCTGCTCCTTTGTGCACCAATTTGGATTTGATACATCATTTTATTTTCACCTTGCCATTCAGCAGTGCAGTTTACTAAGGGTTTAATATGACCCTGTTCAGAACTGCTCTCACCACTTGTGTTGGAAGGAAAGGCAACTTCAAGAATGTTTTGGGGGAGAGGGGGCTGGATTTAGAGAGAGAGGAAGGAGCCTTATCCCCTAAGGTTTGCTCATCTCTGCAGGGCAGGAAAGCTTTTATAACGTCTCATCTATACGCTGCTTGTTCCTGATTGAATCAAGAACCAGAATTGAATCAATTAACCAGAACTCACAATTGCAGAGTTCTCAAGGTCTGCTGCCAGGCTAGAGTTTCCGTCTCTCTGTAGGCATTCTGTCAAGAAGCAATGAACTGACATTATTCTGGGAGTCTCGGGTTAATGCATTACACATTATATGAGTTTGCTGCCCTCAGCTAGAAGATGACTTCTGCTTTCCTGTAGTAGGTCTGAGTGTAAGATCATTATATGCCTGAAAATAATTTTAGCCTTGTGTATAATCATGCAGCTCAGCTACACTGATAAACTGGATTTGAACTTTTTTTCATGCAGGTATTTATGGCAAATGTTCACTCCCTTGGGAGGAAGATGCCAATAATTTGACTTACATTGCAACTAAGCAGCTGAAGTAGCAAATATTTGTAGAGATCTGTTCTCTGTCAACTTGCAAATCTGTTACCAAATATCTTCACAAAGCATTAGAAAGTAATCATTGACTAGATGTTCTTGAAACAAAGCCAAATATAATTTGAACAGATTCTGATTCACAAATAATGTTCACAAAGTGTTGATATGAATGAGTGCTGCTTCATCCTAACTCTGTTTTATTTGATTCTGTGTGAAAGCCTGAATTTTAACAGTTACTTCAGAGTTAAATGGCTAAGGAAACATAAGCAGTTGGGGAAAAAAAAAAAAAAGTCAGGGAAAGGCAACCAGCCTGCATCTAGGTGCCAAAAACTATTGGGGGCACTGCTTGTCAGACGTGACGGAGGAGGAGCAACCCATCTGTTCTGAACTGGTGCAGTGAGGTGCAGAAATCTAATTAACAGGTACATTTCTTATTGGAAGCTCTGAAAGCCACCTGTCTTCCTCCTGGTATAGTCGTATGTTCAGTGTCCTGGAAAGAGTAATCACCGGGAAGAGGAACCTTTTTTCCTTTTCTCCAGTTTGGTTCAGCTTTTGTTTTACACTCTTGGGCAGGGAGAAACCCTGCGAAAGGTGGAACATTGCTGGAAGGATTTTTCCTCTGACTTGTATTAATGTTCTTGAGCTAGTGAAGTTTGCTACTACAAGACTTACTGTAATGATAGGAGATAATCAAAGTAGTAGATAGAATACAATGTCAAACAATATTATTTGTATGCTGGTAGTTCACCTGTTGAAACTGCTGCAGCCCTAAATGTCTTTGGCACTATCTCTGTCTTGATATTTCTGGTGCATTTCTCAGAGCAAAATGTCAGCATGAGCAGCTTGAAAGCAGTATCTAAAAGTGTGATTATGAGCATCACAATTAAGTATTTTTAAACATGTGAGTTTTGATTCTAGAGGAGTTCCTGCTCTGTGAAGGAATTCGTAAGAAATGTTTACTTGCATGTCCATCCCGAGCTCATGTGACATGAACTGGACTACTGATAATGGAAAAAAAAAGTTCATAATGTGCTATTTTCCCCTTTTGAAAATTAATTACACTCTAACAATCATTGCCTTGATTTTTTTTTTTTTTTTTGGTGGCTAGGCAAACGGCGAAAGTCTTCTCCTAAACCTCTAGTTCTGAGTGAAGCTAAAAAGCAGTTAATGATCTACAGACTACCTCAGGTCCTCCGACTGCACCTTAAACGATTCAGGTGAGTGGGGCACACTACCCAGTGTCAGGCAAGTGACTTGCCTCTGTCTTTTAGGAAAGAAGTGATTAGTGTGGGCCCGTAACTTCTCCCACTTTCTGAGAAATGCGTGCATATAAACCTTACCCAAACCAGATGTGTGATACTCTCTGAGAGTACTAACTACTTTATAATCAGTAGCTTGTTTGTGTTTTCTACAATACACACAATGTAATGTTTTGTAAATATTAATACATATTTCCTGGAATTGTACTCCATGGTATTTGTCTGAGTTTGCAGGCAACTTGAAATAGTGGCTGAGAGACTGGTCAACTGATAAGTTGAGTGAAATATTTATTGAAACTGGAAGCCTATGCTAGTTAAATGTCAGTATTATGTATTTACCTGTTGAATAAAATGTAGCAAAGTTCAAAATGCTGTTTAAAGTTTCTAAAATGGTTAGTATAAGTAATTGACATGTGTGGTGTTTATATTTCTGAGTATTTTAAATGCTGTTTGGCTTGCTTTGTATTTAGCTGATGCAAATCTCAACAATGTCATAACTATAACAAATGGGCATCCATGACAGGATCAGCTGTATGCCGAAGATGACTGTAGGTAGATGACAGGGTGAAAACAGAAGGAAGAAAGCGACCCTAGCGAGGAAAGCTCTTCAGAGTTGTTTAGCAGCAGCTACTTTTGTGTGTGTCTTCTCACAGCCCAGTGCCACCGTCGAGAAGCAGGATCCCAAGTCTTTGATTTGTGCCCTTGTGTTTGCAGGTGGTCTGAACGTAATCACCGTGAGAAGATTGGGGTCCATGTCCTCTTTGACCAGGTATTAAACATGGAACCTTACTGCTGCAGGGACTCTCTCTCCTCTCTTGACAAAGAGACCTTTGTCTATGACCTCTCCGCTGTGGTGATGCATCACGGGAAAGGGTTTGGCTCAGGACACTACACAGCATATTGCTACAACACAGAGGGAGGTGCGTGTGCCTTACTACGGGGGAAGCAAATTCAAGAAACTCGTGTTTTCCTGCACAGACGTAGTACATTGTAAAGCTTTATGATCAAAGTTGTTTGGAATCAAGGTTCCTGACATTTGGTAGTTTGTTTCCCAGAATGTATTCCTAGTAGCATGTTTGGGGTTTGGTTGTTGTTTTTTTTTGTTTTGTTTTGTTTTTTGGGGTGGTTTTTTTTTTTTTTTTTGCATAAAGCCACAGATTGCTGCTCTTTGCTTTGCGACCCTTCAGAATGCCTTTTATTGCTTGCTGTTAACAGCATGAATGCTTCATTTTCTCTTGCGATGTAAATCCATGGAGCTGCTCCAGCTGGGTGTCTTTTCTCAGTATCCTTGGGATGATGAGATAAACAGAAAGTGTTTTGAAACTGGACAGGAACTATTCATGAGTAACATCCGCAGGGTTTTTGTGAATTTCCAGCGGTCTCTCCCTGCAGCTGAATTAGTATTGACTCTGCCTTCTGACTTGTGGAGAAAGAGGTGCAAATTGGTTATCTCCAGGGAATTTTTGTTTTCCTAATTGAGTTTTTGTGCTTGGTTGAATTATGATTTGGTATTTCTAAACTGTTAACAGCACAGAAATGACTCAAATGTTTTCCAGATTAGAAACTCCTTTCCAAACCATCTGTAGAGGAAAAGGTAGAGATGCCTTTTCTCCTACATTGCCATTTTTCTCTGTGGATGTTTCCTATGAACAGTTCCAAAATGTACTCAGAAGGAATTATGCTGCTCTTAATGTCCTCTTTCTCACTTTGATTCCTAGGTTTTTGGGTCCACTGCAATGACTCCAAACTGAATGTATGTAGCGTGGAGGAGGTGTGCAAAACGCAGGCCTACATTCTTTTTTACACTCAAAGAACAGTGCAGGACAAAGCAAGAATCTCAGAAAAACAACTCCAAGCTCAGGTGCCGTCCAAAAATAGCGATAAGGACAGAAGACTGACATTCCCATGATGGGGAGCTCTGGAACTCAATCAGCAGTTTCAGTTTTTTTAAAAACCATTGGCGTTCACATCTTTCCTCTTTGTGGGAAAAAAGGCTCGCTGCAGGAAGGGGATCCGATCGTGACGTTTGCCGCCCAGGGTCTGGAAAAGCGTATCGAGCTGTGCAATTCTGACACGTAAGATTTTAGTCAGAATCTTGTTTTTATAGCATCTTGTTGTTAAGTGATGCTCACAACATGAAATGAGAAAGTTTGATGCTGTATATCATTCATCTCGTATCAAAAGGGAATTGCGTACGGTGTGTAACAAATGAGCACAACCAGGAAATAGAAGCATTCAACTGGCTTCAGAAACTTTCAGTACTTAGTAATGCTGATAACACTCCAGAAAGAACAGGTATAGTACCCTCCCCTTTAATTGCCATTCAGATTTCCGGGGTTTGAATCACACAGTCACCCAGGTATTTATTTGAACAGTTGTCGGATAGATGGAGTTGACTGCCCTGAGAGCCGTTCTTGCTGGAGAAATGTTTAACCTTCTACTAGAGAAAATATTCCTCAGGCCTCAGCTATCTCTGATACCAATTTCTTTGCCATCAGTTGAGGGCAAACCCATGGCTGACAAGCTTTGTCAACAGCTCATTTTCTCAGTGTTACTGGGGCTGTGTGCACACTTGATGGTTTATTCTCTGGACTGAACTTCATTGGCAGCTAAATTCACTAGGAATGTGATTTTAAAACAGTTCTGCTCTGGAGAAAGTGTGTTTAAAAATACAAAACCCAGTAGTAAACCAGGAATGTACATGTGTGTCATATCTGTTTACAGTGGCAGCAAAAACAAAGCCTATACTACAGGCTTCTGCTGGCATAACTTTGTCATCAGGTTTATAAAGAAGTCTGAGTCCTGGCTTACACAGCTGTGACAGCAGAAGCAGGTAGCGTGGAGGCATCTTACACTGGCAAATTAGCACTTTTTTACAAGTGTGTCTTGTTTTCCTCAGGGGAACAGGGTGGTGGTAATACCACAACAGTGGGAGACACAGCTAGCTTCTGTTACAGCTTCTGTAATGGAATATTCATTAATTGTGGTGGTCACCCAAGGCCCAGGCTGACCAAAGGCAGTGAGGTTGCACGGGTGTCATGAGCAGAGTTCAGCCTATGAAATCTTTATTTCTGCTGGGACGTAAAGGGAAGGAATGTAGTTAAATCTCAAATTTCATACCGAGTTTGAAAGGCTACAAAAATGTCGGTATCAGTAATCATCTTGATTTTAGAATTCTGTGAGAAACATAGGGCCTTAGCTGACTATTTATAGTCACTTTTCAGCCTACAGCTGTACCTCAGGTGTTTTAATGATTTGGGGTTTGGCTGTTCACATTTCATGTTTTAATCAAATTGAATATGTAATCACAGAGAGACATGACATCGTTCAATCTTGATGGTTTCTTGGTTTTTTTAAAGTGGTTAAAGGGAAATAATCTAAAATAGGAGGTTCTTCAAAATAATTGGTTGCAGTTTCAGGCAGAGGAGTTCTGAAAGTATGTTTCTCTTCCTCCCTCTTCTCCTTTTATTCTTGTCAGCATTTGCCCATTGGACACATGCTGACAACCCTACACTGTTGTTGGAGGGGATGAAGAGGTGAGTTTCCCAGATGCCATTCCTCTCTTTCCACTGCCACTACTGTGACTTTTAATCTCCTGTCCTGTGGGCAAACTGGTCTCTCTGGCTGCTGTTAATCGCATCAGCCATGCAGAGGTGAGCACAGCAAACAAGAAACCTTAATTTTGTCAGAGCACAGTGTCATGCTAGGACTCCTCTGTCCTTAAAGTTTCTCATTTCTTGTATGTCTGAGCAACATACTGCTTTTTGAGCCTACAAAAAACTTGTCTTTTTGACAATTAAATATAGTTTTGAGATCGTATGCTCTTTTTTTTTTTTTGAAGATGAGACAGTTTGAAACAGTCCTATGGGAACTGATGAAAAAGTTTTAGTTCTGGTTCTCTAAATGTAGCAAGGTCTGGAAGGATTTCTTATGAATGTCTGTATATCTATCTATCTACTAGGTGCGGGATTTTTTTATGCTACCAGTAAATAAAATTAATAAAAATGCAATAGGCCAAATTGAGATCCAGTAAAAGTAAAGGTGACTGCTGATTGCAGGGGAAGCTGAGTTGGGTTCAGCACGGATAGAAGTTGACATTCCTGAAAGAATCAAAATCAAGCGCTTGTGATTACCAGATATGTGATGGATTCTTTTCCGGAGCAAAACATATGCTCTGTGTAGACTATGTGTCTCAGAAAGAAAATGAAAGGAAAAATAGTGCTTAGCATTGCCTTTTTAATGTAAGAGATGGAAGAGAAAACTGGTATTTTTCCCATGCATCTGTCCTTCCAGGCCTATCCATCCTTTAAGAGGATTATATTCTTCTAAATGACAGTCATGGTTTACTATGACTACCAAGTGGTACGTTCCCTTTCTGAAGCCCTTAGCTGTACTGGCCCTGTTTGTATAAAAATTCAGTAGAAAGGCAAACCGTAACGCGGCATTAGTTGTTAACTGCAGTGAGCCAAGACTCTTCACTATGAATGCTCATCTTTTGACTGAGTGTTTTGCATTAATATTTGAATTCAGGTAGTAATACAGTTGTCACGCGAATCGAGTGGGGAGCTGGGAGTGTACCTGTAGCCGTTGCTGCACCTAATTGCCCAAGCAGATTTTGTAGCATTTGCTGGTGACATCTTTTGACATTAGTGGCTCTCCATGTGACATTAGCCTAGTTGTGCTGAGATGTGGAGATACTGCAGTCAGCAAAATGATTGCCCTGATAGGGAAGGAATGAATTATACTTCAAAGTAAATAAACTTGCTTTTTCCAACACTGTGAGGTTTCTGTAATATTTAGCTTTTATTTGGAAGCGATAGCGTATAGCATTTTTTATGCTGTTTGGTTTATATTTGTCTACTGCAGGCTTCTTTATATAAGCATAGCCCAATGCTCCCTACATGGTGGACACTGTTTTATAGTGTTCAGTTTGCCAGAAATTCTGACTAGAAGTTACCTCTCTACATCAGTAAGATGAAAGTACTACTTGAAACTACAGTGAAGCCCACTTATGTGCATGCCGGACAAAGGGTAGCCTGTAAAGAAAACTTTGTCCCTCCTCTAACGATACGGCTTCAAATCCTGCTAATTCGCTGATGCATATTTAGAATAATTCCACGTTTAGGCTCTGCTTCTGCAAACACACGGGCAGATGATGTAACTTAACTCATGCATGGAGTTCAGTGGCCACAGTTGAGTTGCAAGCTAAGTGTCTGCAACATAAAAACCTTTATTTTGGTACAGCTGGGAGCAGAATTGGTTTCTCGGTGTAGTGGGATTCCTGTACTGGGGTTCCAGTCTTGTAGCAGGGAGTGAGTTGCCTTGAGAGATGCTCAGAGCGAGCGTGAGCCCTTGTAGGTTATTGTCTGAGGGCGTAAGAAGCTGCCGTACACTGGCAGATTGTCAGGCTCCTGACCACACAGTCTTTGGGACACAACTGTTCCCAGCAAATCCTTATTCCATTCAACTTGTAAGTAAATTGGTGTTCCTTAATTTTATGTTTTCCGGAGTGAAAAATCTTAACGTATTCACAGCCAGGTGTGATACAGCATCTGCTGTAGTTGGTGGAAACTACTTTCTTTTAGCTAAATTTACTCCACTAGCAAGTTAGTTACATAAATCTGCCTTTATGTTATCCCTTTACTGCCCGTGTTCCCAAGTTAAACTATGCATACCACAAAAACAGTTTCTCTGCAAAGCACTGGAAAAAACAATTTTTTTCCCCCATTAGTTCTGACCAGAACAATTCTCTGGTCTGGCTTTGAAGTCGTTAATGTGAGGCAGCAAATGGAATAATGCATATTAAATGCTTGACGTCAGACTATTCTGGGTGGCAGTACCACCCCCACTTAGGGACTTCCAGGCGGTTTTTTTTTGAGAGTAGGAATAAAATTGGAAATGGTAAAAGCATTAAGTGTGTCCTATGGACTCGCTATCAGGAGGTTTTTTTGCTTTTAGAAGGCAAGGCTTCTAGCATAAATATTGTCTTGGTGGTAATTTAGAAGCTCTTTTATTGATTGTAACGTCCCCAGGCCTGAATATGCTTAATTGCATCCCAATGAGAGAGACTAATTAAACTTCTGGCTGTTGCCAGATTACCCTGGGATGAGCTCCAACAGAAGTCAGCGGTGTTGCAGAATGAGAACTATGTAAGCAAGAGACAGGGAGATTAGTTTTACCTGCCAATACAGTTGTGTGAACTAATTTTGTATGTTTCCTTAGATTTGGTGCCTTGTATCCAGTAATATTTCACATGGGACAGAAACATTGGGAAATAAATTGTGAATTCCCCCCTCCTGACTGAAGCAGCAGACAGATTTGTGGTTTTTTACAAGTACTCAGCATCACTGACATTTTTACATTTTGTATCTGTACGTGAATGAATTTTACCAGCAAGCTCAGAAGCTAGTATTTTAGTATTACACATTTGAAATCTCTGTATTTGTAATACTTCAAATAACAGCTTGTTCAAAGGCGGATTAGATTTGGCCTTTTAGGTTTCTTACATCACCCAGGCCCCTCCAGTCAGGTCAGTAAGTTGACATCTGTCAGAGCATAGAGCATAGAGCAAGGAATAAAAACTCCAGTGGGGTTTTTGCTAGAGTAGCTGTAGCTTTGGGAAGCACCTTCTGTTACAAACCTAATGGTAATTGCTGGTTTAGAAAAGCAAAAAATACAGTTCCCATTGACATGGCAGTGTTTGCACAGGTTTCCTCTTAGCAGCCTTGCAAATACTTCCACACGTGAGCAAAAGCATGCCGTGGTAATGCCTGCATAAATTCAATATGCAATAGATACAGTTGGGTAAGGTGGCCAAGTGTCCCTTCTTCAAAGGAAACAGTAAAATCTGAACAGCAGCTCTGAACACTGCCTTTTTGTGTGCATCTAATCCCTTCAGCGGGTTTGAGATCAGATAGGGCAGACTTAGGTTGAGAATTTATTGCCTGCAGGAATATAAAACCTCAATTCAGTGGGTTTTTTGGTGTCTATTACATTAATATTGATACCTGTTTATTGCAGATGGGAATGTGAAGCATTGTAGCAAGCTTCTAAATTTATAAAATCACGTTTAAATGATCAAAACCTACATGCATTAGTTACCTGTACCAACTAGTGATTATTTGTCTTAGTTGATTTTAGGGGTATGCCTTTAGGCCACTCCTGTTGTACTGATTTTTATTTTGTGCTTGTGTGTATGGGTTCCACATGTGAGCCAGAATTCTTTCAAAAGACTTCTTAAGTCTTAAAAATGAGCTTTGCAATGTACGTTTCCAAAACGGGGGGGGGGGGAATAAAAGAAGAAAAAAAAAAAAAAAAAAAAAAGACCAGCCCAAAGGGCCCACGGTTGAGTTTAACCACTGTTAACTATTTATTGTTCTGAAACTTGTGCATGATACAAGAATGCATTGCAGTTACAAAGTGCTGTACCCTTAGGGTTCTTCTTGAACTGCTGTACTACTGATTTTGTGCAGGCTGGGGATAGGGAAGAAGTTGAGATGAATGAAACAACCGGTAAAAACAAAGCCAAGCTGACCACAGCAGTAAGCTGGGATCTAAGTTTAGAAGAGACAGGAAGCGTCTGACAAGGGGACGCTGTGAGTCCCCATGAGGATTGCATGTTTTGCAGGCAGAGATATTAACGAAATCCGAACGCAGTCTCGTTAGCAGCAACCTCCTATTGTTTTTGTGGCGAAAACTTTCTCTGATCAGTAGCCTCGTACTGGCAAAACGAATGGTGCTTTTCCATTACATATTACAGTTCCTAAGGAACAGTACCCCAAATTCTCAAGTTTTATAAAGGAGCTACCTACTTAAAGCCCACAATGTCACTGTAAATGCTTTGCATAACTGGAAGTGAGAATGGAGATGATGGAGTTGATGACTTTACCTAATCTGTAATTTTTAGTCTCAGTAACATACTTCCAACAGAGGAGGCAGGTGGTGAATTTGACTTTTTCCTTGCTGCTGAAGTGCTGCACCCTGGCTTGTCAAACTAGGACTTGGTGGAATCTGGCGTAGAAAAGGCCCCCTCTTGTTTCTGTTCCTGCTTGACAGCCAATTTCTGCGTGAGCATGTCTTCTGGGGAGCGTGGGGCTCCTGCTAAAGAGGAACAACCACATCCGTTCAACGTGGGCAGGGTTAAGTGTAAAGTACTTAGGCTTGCCTTATTTCCTTAGATAACCATATCCGTACCATGGGGATAATCTGTACTGCTACAGCTGTGTTAGTACAAATCCCTGCCGCGTTGGTGGCTAGACCTGGTTAAAGAATGTGCGATAGCACAGGCAGGCTGCAGCTGTGTGCAGGAATAATGTCACCACGGGCTCCCGGAGCGGTAGCTGAGAAATTAGGATAACCACCCGTGAGGCTCCTTCTCTTTTGCACAATTAGCGTAGTGATCGGGCTGCATAACTCCACACCTCTTGATTTAGGGATGGCATTTTCATAGCAAGTGTCACCTTCACTCTCGTTGCATTTATTAAATGGTGTTACTAGGCCTGGCCCTTGAGGCTATTTCCTACTTCTACAAGGTGAACCACGTATTTCCATGTGAAAACCAAGTTTTTGCCTACCTTATCAGATGCATAAACTACAGTAACTTACCACTGGCAAGCTAGAGCCCGTGTAAAAGAGAATTAGGTGCTATTTTTTTTCCCTGCTGAACTTCAGCTTTAAGCAGTCACAAACTCTTTAAGCCGCAGCCTGCTGTACATCTAATGATCAGTTTACAGGAAAGGAACAACATTGTGTCCAGTAAAAGTTACTTTTACAGGGCTGCCTTTCCATAAAAGAAACTTAAACACAGCATAAAAATTTCAAACAGCTTCTTCAAGAGGATTGCTGCCCGGGCGAGCTCCCTTAAGGTGCGATGGGCTTGGGCAGGACACTGCCAAAGAGACCCTGCTTCTGCTAATGCCCTGCAGGCTTCACTCTTGACTTGAGTAAGGGCAGAATTAAAACTAATCTTCAGCACTTTAGAAAAGTTGATCCCGCTCTAAATCAAGGAGGCTGGAAGGGTGCTGTTGGCAGAGGCTGGAGAAAAGACGAGCAGTTTTCCCTCTGTATGAAATCCCCTGGCAGCCCCTGTGAGAACAGGAGTGAAACGCTGCGCCGCTTTCTTGGGTGAGGGGCCAGGCTGGAGCTTGGGTGGGTTTCCTGACTTTTCAGTGACTTCTGTGGGAGCTTTAAGTCAGAACAGCCTCTAGTTTCTGCTTCAAGTTTCTGGTACTTACATCACTAATGACTTAAGCCGATGTATGCCACACTGTGCTCATGAATGAGACTGTCTTTGCTTCAAGGACACTTCCAGGCAGCAGCAAGTGACACGAGAATCCAATTAATTACTGAATGTTTCTGGCAATCTGTCCAGCTGTCTCGCAGCTCGGTGCAAGCGCACTGCTCCTAATGGCAGGTTCAGCAGCTTTTATTTTAGTCAAGGTTTGTTAAGACAACATCGAGTAAGTCACCTATGGCAGCCTTATGTACTTAACTGCGTGAACTGCCCCCTGCCTGAACCCTGGCCTCGGGAGATTAGTGTGTTCCAAATCAAAAAGAAGATTAACTATAAGATGACTTAATGTTCTAATTAATCCCCTTTTCCTGCAGAAACTGTTTCTGCGTAACTTGGATTATCCATACTTCAAAAGAACTTCGTTTCTTTACAGGATGTTAAAACACCCACTTTGAAAACAGCATTTTTAAGAATCTGTATCGATAGAGGAGTGAGTTTCTCTGGGGCAGGTAAGGGGGCAATTCTCAGTCACAAAACGTGGAGGCAGCGCTACTTCAGAAGAATGTCTTAACCTGAAAACCCGTGCGTAACTGTCCAAAGAATCTGAAGCCATGTCGCAGTCCTACTGCCGTAACGCTCAGGGCTGGGAAGTTATTCTGCTCTACAAACAGCAGCTTCGAGGAGCTGCCGTGTAACGCGCGTGAGGAAACCGCAGCCACGGCTCCCGCGTGGTGCTTTTGCCGTCCCCCGAACAGCCTCCCCCACCCACAGCTGGACTTTCAAATCGGTGACAGCAAGCTGCAGTCTCAGCCCAGGGCACCCAAATGCTATGCAACACCAAATGGCTGCTGCTTCCCACACACGGGCATCGCTCCTTTACAGTCAGTGTCCCCGCTTTATCTCATCCGGGCATTATCCAGGAAACCTGGTGGTTAGAGTTTACCTAGGGCTTGTCACAGTTTTGTTTTTGCTTTGAATAAGTAGCTGATGGGTCCTGCTTACAACCCAGGACTGGATTCATTCCTTGGTCTTTTGGGTGTGAAATATAAATCATGTTTTTATGATTTTTTTGTAAATCTTTACTCTTTTTACACCTTGTTTTTGTAAGCTGAAGTTTCTTATTAAAAAAAAAAAAAATGAAATTCCAGCGTGTTACGTCATTATTCTATATACTTTAATAAACATCTAGATGTGGGTACAGAAGATTCCAGGCACAACAGCTTCACATCCTTGACAAAACTATTCTCATTGTGCCTTGCAGAATGAATCGGAAATAAATTGTCCCTCTCACACTTAAAAGCTTTTCCCTCCCTCTCGTCACTGCTCCAAGCGTGACAGCTTTGAAGTGTGAGTAGCAGCTCTGCAGAGAGCAGACCCTGCTCTGGTGAACGTATCGTATCTTGTAACGGCTAAACACGTCTCTTCTGGTCCTCGGGTGCAGAAAGGGCGGGGGGGTTTGAGCTCTTCTCCCTTGCCACTCTATTTCGTTCCTAGGTCAGCAAATAAGCAGAGTTAGAAAAGCTTATTTCTAGTCGAGTTTACCGGCCCAAGGCGGTTTAACGCAGCTTTGCACCTCTCCGTTCCAACTCGATCGCTCTGGGCTTTAGTCCTGCTGGTGCCGGGGGTTTAGAGCTCGTTGTTCGGTCACCCCGCGCGGGGCCACCCCCCTCGCGTGTTGGGGGGGGGGGGTGGCGTGTTCTGCCAGCACGAACCCCCACGCGTGCGTCCCCGAGAGCTGGAGCCCAGAGCCCCGCGGGCGACCGGCAGCCCGTTATCCCCGAGGACTCACCGCCGCTACGGGCCGGGCTGCGGGGCCATCAGGTCGATGTCCGTCAGGTTCCGAGCGACCCAGACGCCAGCGGCGAACAGCCCCAAATTCACCAGCAGATTCCTGGAAAGGGGAAACCCGCAACGCTGGGTCCGGGTCCCGGTCCCGGTCCCGGTCCCTCCCCGGTTCCCCGCCCGCGGCCCCGACCTGCGGAAATCGTTCCGATCGGTAGCGAACCGGTACGCGCTCCTCAGCCACCCGCGCAGCCCCTGCGGAGCGGCCCCCGGCCCCGCCGCTCCTCCCGCCGCCGCCGCCGCCGCCGCCGCCGCCGCCATGCTGCCGGCACCGCCTCGCCTCGCTCAGCCCCTCGCTGCCGTCACTTCCGGCACGCGATGCTCTGGCTTGGCGCGAAGCGCGTGGCTTCCTGCGTGTGGGAGGGGAGGAGGGGGAGGAGGGTTCCCGCCAACCCTTTTCGTTCCACCGTCCCCCGCCCCCGCCTTCTTAGCCCTGTTCGCTTGCGTGGGGTGTCCCCCCCCCCCCCCCCACTTGCTGCACATCCCGGTTCTGTCCGGGTGGCTCGGAAACACCCCGGGATGAGGGGCCTCCTGCGCCCCGCCGTCGCCCTACAGCCAGGTGAAGCCCCAACGGACACCCCCCCACAACCCCCCAGGGACACAACCCCCCCGGGTACCTCCCCCCGGACCTCCCCCCTCCCGGGATACCTCTCACACACGTTTACCCCCCTCCCCCTCACGGGCTGGATCCGGGTCCCCAGGAGCCGGGGTTGCTGCTGCTTGGGGTGAGAGTGGGGCGGGGGAGGGGGGGGGGGGGGGGGGGAGGAGGAGAAAATAAGGGAAAAATATCTAGGAAAACGAGGGAATGCCCGAGGTGCGGCGTGGGCCGTAACCCTGGCCGGTCTGCGCGTGGGGACACCCCCCACGCCCCCCCGGATGACTGGGGGTTTTCCATGCGCAGGCTGGAGCCCGGAGCCAGGCTGGGTGTCACCCGCTGCTGCCCCCCCCGAGGCCGGCACCGCCGGTACCCGTGGGCAGGACACTCGCAGCGGTGCCATTTGGAAAGCGTCCCCCTGTTTCCTCTGTCCCTCCTTGAGTCTTCCTTCCTCCCAAATCCTCCCTTCCACTCCTTCCCGCTCTTCCACTCTGGTTTGCAGATCATTACGTGCTCCCCCCATGCCCTGCCCTCAGTGGGGCCCAGCCTTTCCCTAATGCTTCTCTCAGCCTTGGTGGCTTTTTCTTGGGGGAGGAAAAAAAAAAAAAAAAAAAAGTTCTCAGGCACCCCAATTTCCCGTTTCCATCAGGAGAGGTGCCCATTTCCATCAGGAGAGGTGCCCATTTCCATCAGGAGAGGACTTTCCAAAACGTGCTTCGTTAGCACCGTTAAGCCTTGCACGTGTACCTGCAGCCGGGGCACCCGTCACCTTTTCTGAGTCCCCTGGTACTAACCCCACTGCAATCGTGGCTGTCCCTGCTGCGAGTTCCGCACTCTGATTAGATATTACTGTGCTCACGTGGTTCAGCATCAGACAATCTGGGACGGAGCGGCCGGGATCGCTGTGGTGGCTGGTTACCGATGGGACGGGGCATTTTCTGGGCAAGCTGGGACTGTATCTGTGCACTGAGATGAGGCCTCAGCCCCGCACCAGGCTTTGTCTTCTCTTGGGCCTGAGCACTTGTGTCTTGTGGGGCTGAGACCTGCTAAAGTAACCTGGCCCGAGCAGAGACGTTCGCTGCAGAGCCCCAGACCCGATGTGGTTTGCACCTTTTGGGGTGTGCTGTCTTGTCACCCCATGCTACTGGGAGAGGCAGTTTCTTTTAAGGATCCTTTGTGGAATGAGAACTGGCCACAGGGTTGTCATTATAATCAGAGCTTTACTATTATATAAAGATTTTAGCAAGCGGAGTAACTTATCCTTACACAGGATTTCTAGCAATTAACGTAGCTTTCCTGTTATTCCTATTTCTCTGCTCCCAGCGAGCTAGTTGCCCTCCTCTTTGGGGACACCCAGGTCACCAACCAGGCTCTGATAAGAAGACGTGCACCAGCCGTGGGGTTATGGAGCTGCTCAGCTCTGGAGGGGCACGTGCTGCGACACTGGCCGTCCAGGCTGCAGCCACATTTGTCCCTGCTGCTGGATTCCTTTCCCAAATCCCAAAGAGCTAATTGATCCACCCAGTTAGTTAATTGATTTATAGCTATTAGAGGCTATAATTAACTGACCAGCTGGAGGGCTGTGTGTTATCTGCCTGGTGGGAGCAGTGTTGAGAAGCTGCCAGCTCTGACAGGCCCTGGGCTGCCCCGTCCCTGTGAACAGCACCGCTCGTTTGCTGTCTTTGAAAGATTTTACTCCTCGAATTTTGAGCTTCTCCTTTCATCTCCTCTTTTGCTAACATTCAGTATCGGCGAGCTCACCCCGAGCCTCTCTGTTTCCCTTTATCTCCTCCCACGTTCCTGCAAGGTCGCAAACTTGTCTTCGTGTTCCATGTCAATTTGGGAGTTTACATTGCTCGGCAGACCAGTTCAAACCAGCTGGTTATCAAAGCAATCCAGGCCCTCAGCAAAACCTCCCCACCGCTGTCAGACCCTGACATACCACAGATGTTCATTAAGCATTGGGAAGACGATGCATCTCATCACGGGGCCGGGCGAGATGTCTGTACCTTGTACTAACTCATCTGGCTGGTGCTAACAATCTCTTGGCAGTGCCGTTCCCTGTGGGAATGCAGGGAAATCGGGAGGAGATGCTGTAGGTGCCTGTTGCAGAGGCTTACAAAATTAGGTAGGTTATAAGCTCAAAGGAAATTTACTCTAATCAAAAATCATTTAATACTCGGACAACATTAGTAAACTACAGGTTCCAGATGCCAAGTGGAATCAAATACTACACAGCTGACATAAGCTTAGGTTTTAGAAAGGATCTAACCCAAAACATGGTTCATTCACTGATCAAGATAAGGGCTCTTGACCTCGAGGAATTTCCTCGGGCAGCCAACTGACCCAAGGGCAGAGTCCCTGACTGCAGACCTACCACTTTGAGGAGGACCGACTCAATCTGTCCTCTGGAAGGACCCCGCTTATACCGTAGCCGACTCCAATCTGTGGTCAAAAACACGATCATTTGTCCTCACTGGCCGAGGGTCTTGGCGTTCAGCCGAATTGTGGGTCTGACAGTAGCCAGTTATGCAACCCTGGTGTGACCAAAATCAGCAGATGTTGTGGTTACCCAATTCAGCAGTTTTTCCAGAACTAGCAGGTATTTTTATATTTCACCAAAGTTAGTAAATATTGTGGCTCAGTGGTTTTTCCATCAGGACGGGCACAGCTGCTGCAGTGCCTGGCTGCACCGGGGGACGGTGTGTTGGACCAGCAGCGGGCTCGGGAAAAGAGAAAAGGGCCCCCCCCTTGCAGGGATGCTGTGTGCTCTGGGGGTGTAGGGTCCCCCCTTGCACAGATTCTGCATGCCCTGGGGGTGCAGGGTCCCCCCACTTCCTTGCACAGTGGAGTTGCAGAGGTGGGGACAGGGCAGGAACAGCGGCTGCACCCAGAGGCTGATGTGGTGCAGAATTTGCAGGTCTTGCATCAAATTCTGCTTTGAAACAGGTTTGCTGAGGGTTCTTAGAGGAATTTGGCTGTCCCTGATTATCAGTGGCTGGTTGGAGAAGAGGTGCTGCCTGGGAGTGGTACAGCCCTCAGGAAATGAGGAGGATGTCTGTCGACCCAGATTGTGCTTCCTCTGTTAGTGAGTGTTTGTTCTCAGTAGCTGAAACCAGTGTAAGGAGACACTCTGTAAACAGGAGTAAAAGCTCTCGGTGGGAATCGCAGCTTGGCTTTCAAGGAAGGGAAATTTAGTGCTCAGGAGGGCTCTAAGGGAGCTTCCTGGGGGTGGAATTAGCCCGTGGCTGCCCTCAGCAATCGCTTGTTATTGGTTTGCATTCAGCAAATGCTGGGGTGGGGGTGGGTGTGTAGAGGAGATCCAGCAGCCCCAGAGGTGCGGGGCTGAAGGGATCTGGGCTGGGATGCAGGAGTCTCCATAGGATGTTCCTCGGTGCTTCATCTCTCCGGGCAGGTGAGCTGCTTTCCAGGGCCACTCAAGACTCGTCTGCCAGGTAAAACCTCGATTTGGGGACAAAAGTGGTTTTTTCTCTCTTTTACACTCTGTACTGCCCTAGCATGGTCTCTGCTAACCTGGGAGAGTGGTGCTTGTGCTGCCATTAACTCCTGCCAGCCTGGGTTGAAGCTTGAGTGTTAACCGGTGGCTCTGGGTGTCCAGTGCCCCAGCCAGGCTGGGGTCGGCTGGTTTTGGGTCCGAGCATCCCCTGCTCGCTGGGACTCCATCCCTTGTGTTAAGCCCTGATCTCTGTGGTCCGGTGGTGGGGAAGCCACAAAGGCTGCCCCAGGGAGCCTGGGCAATGCTGCATCTGTGCGGTGTGAGCCCCTCGCCCCTATGGAGACCCCAAAAAACTCTGCCCGTGGCAGGGACGCAGCCTGGAGTGGGGCTTGTACCCCGCTGCAGTGCTGGGCTGGAGGCTTACGCAATCAAATTAGATGCTAAACTTGAAATGGGATTTATTTTAATCAGAATTGGTTTAGTATTTGGACGAATATTGGTAAACTAACTACAGGTTCCGAATGCCAAGCGAAATTGATGCTGCACAGCTGCCTTGGAAATTTCTAAGCCTAGAACAACAACCCGAAATGTGAAATCACTCACCTTAGGAGAGAGCTCTTGACCTTGAGGAGTTACCCTGGGCAGCATCCCAGCCCAAGGGGAGAGTCCCCGGCTGCAGACCCTCTGCTCCGAGGAGGACCGGCTCAGTTTGTCCTCCGGCGGGGCTCCGTTTATCCCCTAGTCAAATCTGATCTGTGCTCAGACACGGCCACATTAGTCCTCATTGCCCGAGGACCTCAGCATTCAAAATGTCTAAGTGACTGTGGTTACTGTGCACATGTGGCAAGAGTTGGCTTGCGTCATGCTTCAACGGTGGAGGAGTTTCAGTTTTGTCAGGGGGCACCCGGCAGGCGGCTTGTCCCTGCTCCGGCGCCGGGGAGGGACGATGGCTTGGCCGGGATCCCGCGGGACAATAGCGGGGTGGTGCCGCTGGGTGCTGTGACCCGTGGGGTTCACCCAGGGCAACTGAAACATGGCTCAGGCGGGCACGGGGAGCCGCTTCGGGCAGAGAGTGGGGTGCTGAGGGAGCAGCCCCGGCATTGCCAGGACCCGCGTCCCCTCCTGGGATGGGGAGCAGGTCTGTGTGACACACACACGCACACACCCCCCCCCCCCAGCTCCTGGGGTCCTCTCTGGTGGCAATGCCGTGTGGCTCTGGAGGTGACCCAGAGCTCGGGGTTTGGCAGAGACGGGGAGTGCTGCAGGGGACACCTGGCTGGCGGCCGTCCCCCAGCCGGCAGTGACGTCCTGTGGGACGTGCTCACCCACGCCTCTCCCTTTGCAGCTGGGTGCTGACATCCTGAAGACCTTCTCCTGGCTGGGACTGGGGGCAGGACAAGTTTTTGGCAAGATGTTCTCGCCGAAGGTCCGCAGGAGGGGCTTCCCCAGGGAGGTAGGTGGTTTTGTGACCTTCTTGCTGCCACGCAGCTGGGGCTGCTGATGTGGTTGGGAGTGGAGGAGCTTTGCAGGACAAGGATGGGTGCCTCCTGTTCCATCGCTTGGGATGCTGAGGAGCCAGGAGAGCATCACCAATGGTATGGGGAAGGACTGGGAATCGTCTGGGACCTTGACCAGGAGAGGAGGGTGGACGGGCTCCTGGCTCGCCGTCCCTGCTCAGCATCCATCTGGTGCAAGAGCAAAGGTGAGGGTCTCATCCTGCTTTCATCTCCCTGTGCCCTCTCTGCAGCCCAATTCGTGGCAGGCTGGACCACTGCTGCCCCATCTTCATGGTCCTCAGGATGACTGGGATGAGCCATGCTGGGAGAACCAGCACAGGAGAGGCAGGGACCAGTGGCACCCGGTAAGGGGGCAGGAGCCTGGGCGAGCAGCTGTGCAGCAGTGGGGGATGGCACTGTTGGGGTTCACCTAGAAATCCAGGGTAGCCAAAACCAGGGGCTCCCCTGGGAGCAGGAGAGGCAGAAAGAGCTGAGAGCTGCAGCGGAATGGGGGAACTGCAGCAAAACCAAAACACCCCAGTGAGCTGCCATCCTCACCGGTGGTGATTTGCCATTGCAGATCGGTTCCTGGGATCGCAGACCCTTCCCAGGCCCTGACAACTTCCAGGGGAATGAGAACAGGAGATGGGCGCCCTACGACTGTCCCCCACTGCCCCCCTGGGACAGTGAAAAAGATGACAGAGGACCTGAGAACTTCAGAGAGGACTGGCAGTCGGTGAGGAGCAGATGGGCTGGGGGGGCGGCAGCTGTGTGGCTACCCCCAGTGTGCCACCATCCTCACCAGCAGTCATTTGCCATTGCAGCCCGGTCCCTGGGACCCCAGGCCCTTCCCTGGCCCTGGCAACTTCCAGGGGAATGAGCAGGACAGGAGATGGGGACGGGATGAGGACAGGAGATGGGGACCGGACGAGGAGAGGAGATGGGGACCTGATGAGGAGAGGAGATGGGGACCTGATGAGGAGAGGAGATGGGGACCGGACGAGGAGAGATGGGGACCGGACGAGGACAGGAGATGGGGACCTGATGAGGAAAGATGGAGACCTGATGACCCGAGATGGGGACCCAATGAGGAAAGGAGATGGGGACCCAACAACTGTCCCCTGCCATCCTTTTGGGATGACAGAGAAGACTACCAAGGAAATGAGGACTTCTTCGAAGATGGCTGGCACCCGGTGAGTGGGTTGTGGGTTGGGGAGGTGGCAGCAGCTACAGGACTGAGGGCAAGGAGTGAGTTAGATGAGTCAGGGGCCATTCACTGCCCCGGTGACAAGGACAGTGTACGGGGACAGGTTTCACTGCGCAGCGGTGGGAGCAGCAGCAGCCCAGCTTCTCTGCTCTGCCGTCGCAGCATCCTCTGTCCTGCCTTGTGTCTAAACCCACCCCCTTCCCCTCAGGAGCTGTTGCCTGGCCCCAACCACGTTCCCTGGTCTGAATTCCCCAATGAGGAGCGGCACCCATCCTCGGCCCCCGCTGACCTGCTGAGGTGGGTGCTCCTGCTGAGGGTGGGGGGGCGCGGGGGGGACCGTGCAGCTGCGGGGTGGCAAGCAGGGACGCCGGGGCCAGGCTCTGCGTTGGTGCACAGCCAACGGGGTGATGCAGCATCGAAGCTGGCCCTGCTCAGGGTGGGGGGGGTTGCACCAGAGACCCCTTCCAGCCTAAATCCCCCGCCCTGGGACTTCCTTTGCTCCTGCAGGGAACAAGGCAGCTTCCAGAGTAGATACATGTCCTGGCGCTATAAAGAGGGTGATAAACGCTGGCGACACCTTCGCCACGGCTACCAAGAGTTAACCTTTGTCCAGCACGTCAGGTGTCCCTGGCCCTCCAGAGGTTTGTGCTGTAGGGGCTTCGAGGGGTCACACTGAGGCTGCAAGGGGCCACGTTGTGCTCGGCAGCATCTCCTCGGACAGAGAGAGGAGTTGTTCCCTCTGCATTTCTCCCTCCGCAGGGCATCGGCCATCCTCCATTTCGTTTCCTTCCTGCTCTGGGATGAACCAGCTGAGGCTCAAAGAAAGGCCAAAGCACCCTGATCCTGCCCAGCCACTTAATTCCTCCCAAGGTGATGCGCAGAGCAGGAACCAGAAGACTACTACGGTGGGTTTTTACCCCCAGCACCCAGCAGTGACCCGAGTTTGCAGGGTCTGAGCCCCACGGGGTGCTGCCGTGCCCCTAATCAGCATGGTTTCCCCCAGGACGTGCTGGAGGTGAGCGCGAAGGTCCCGGAGCCCCCCAAACCAGCCAGCACCCCTCAGAAGAGCGTGGCTGCTGATTCCCAGGCTGCAACAGAGGCTGCAGAGCCAGAGCAGGCAGCAGGAACAACGCCTGTAGAAGAGCAAGCAGGGATGCTTGCACCCCTGGAGGTGCCTGGCCCGAGGGTCTCTTCAGCTGGTGTAAAGTGTTCCTTCTCTCTCTCAACCAGCCCTTTTGCTCTTCACTTTGCTGTCTCTTTGCCAGGCACGGAAATCTTCCTGACTTTTTTCCAGGACTGCAAAACCCTGTGGTTTTCTTTGGGTTTTAGCACCCCGTCTGTCCCATCCCCCAGCTCTTCTCCCCGGGACAGACACGTGTCCTGGTCTCACACCATTGCATGTCCCCAGGTCAATGTGGGGGCGGGCAGCCACGACCAGAGCCCCTCTGCTTTGGAAACAGAGTCAGCCACACTGGAGAAGAGTTCTACCGGGACAGAGGAGCACCTTGAGGTATGAGCTAAAGCATCTCCTCTTCCCACCTAAAATCAGTGCCATGGGGAAGGCGGGGAGCTTGCAGTCCCCATTGCAAACCCTTTTTTCCCCCTCGCCTGGGCGATGTTGCCAGCCCTCGCCATGGTCTCTGCAGTGTGTCTGTAATGCTTTGCCCAGGTAGAGCCGTGCAGCCAGAGTGTCCCTAGGGCTGACGCAGACGGTGGGTCACATCCCCACGGTCCAGCAGCCCCCCCGGAGCCTGCCGAGAGCGTCTGCGCGGCGGCCGGCTCCGCTGGAGAGGTGGGTGCCGAGCTCTGCCCGCATTCCGGGGGACAGCAGTGTCTGCCGAGTGGAGCTGGAGAAGCTGAGACAGAAGCTGCCCGTGATGGGGTGAGTCTCAGCCCATGGCGGGCAGCTCTGCGGCGTGAGAGCCCGTCAAGGCCACTGCTGCAGGCAGGGGCTGTGCTGGCAGCCGCTGCCTTCCTCCCCCAGCCGCTTTCTCTCCCACAGCTCCTCGGTGACCTTCAGCCGTCTGAAAACTCGCAGGTCCCACCAGGACCTACCGTGGAGCCTGAAGCACAGCCTGGCAAGGCTTGCTCTGATATCTGCGCTGCCCCAGAGACCTCACCAGGGACCCAGCACCCTCCTGGGTCCGGTGAGACGGAGCCGGTACGGGGTCAGGGTGCCTCTGAGTCCCCATATTCACCCCGAGGTGTCCCCACACAGGGCAGGTCCCCGGGGCTGGGGCATGCTGCCATAGCCCAGGAGTAGCGGAGTGTGATCCCTTTGGCCTCCAGGTTTGCAGGATTACGGGCTGGGGTTAAAGCGCTGCTTTGTCTGGAGGCAGAACCCGTGTCAGCCCCGGTGCCGGCTGTGCCGGAGATGCTGATAAACGGGAGGTAACTGGGAGAAAGGCCAAAAAAATAACTAGAGGCTTGAGAGCGTGCTGGAGCGTGAATGACCCTGGGACTCGAGCTTTAACGAAGCAAACGAGAGCATTGCAGAGCAGCTTAATTACTGCCTAATGGGGAAGAGAAGTCTGCTAGCGGGGCTCTCGGCAGAGCAGGGAGTGGGGGGCAGCTCTCACACCCGAGGGGAGGGTGGCAAACCAGCACCCCGGGGAGCCAAGGTCCCAGCAGGTCCCCTCCGCAGGGTGACCAGTCCCTGGCTAGTAATTGGTACTGGCAGCCCCGATTTGGCCCCAGCCTTGCCTAGTCCCTCTCCCCTTCAATGCGTCCGACCCTTCCTCGCCTTTTCCACCACCCAGGCTGCAGGCAGCTGGCAACAGCTCTGCTCCACGCTCCCGACACCCTCCCCGGCCAGCACCGACCTCCGCTCCGCCGCCGTCCTCGCCAGGAAGGAGGAGATTGAGCTGGTGAGTCCCGGTGGCCCCTGGCCAAGGCGAGTGGGGGGGTCTGGAACTGGCTGCAAGGTTGGGAGGGGGGGGTGGGGGGGGGCCTCCCCTGGGGACCCTTTGAACCACAGTGGGAGAAGTGATGGCAGGTGGTGTGAATTTTAGCATTTTTGGGGTCGCTGGGGAGAAACCCCTCTTGATGATGGTGCAGGGGAGGTATGTTTGTGGGCAAGAGGTTTGCATAGGCTCAGGTGCTGTCAGGGAGTTCACGGACCAGCCCCAGGGGGGGAAGAATACCCCTTGGGGGGGGTGCTGCACGCTGCTGGCAGGGAGGTTTTGGGGTGCCCTGTGCCGACCCCATGCCGCTCTGCTGCAGTCCTACCAGCAGTTCAGCCTGACCGTCGCTGTGGTGGCCACGATGCTGCTGCAGAAGGAGCCCTCCATGGAAGCGGCGCTGGGGCTGGCGCTGAGGGCCAACCTCCGCCAGCGCCGGATCCATCACCTCCAGGAGCTCGAGGACTTCATCGACAGCTACGACTCGGCCACCCTGAGCCGCTGAGGTGGGGCTGGGGTGAGCAGACAGGCACCCCCTCTTGCCAGCTGGAGTTGGGGGGTTAGGGGGGAGCTGTGCCAGTGCATCAGGGTGCTCGTGATGGTGCTGAGCCCTCGGGTCAAGGTGGTGGAGACATGTTGGTGCAGCCCCAGCATCTCTGTGGGAGCGAGGGGTGCTTAGTTTTAACCCTGCACAGACCTGTACGTGCAGCAAAAGGGGGAGTTGGTTTTACTGGAGGGAGGTGGGAAGGAGAGCGGCTGCGGGGAGCTCCCCTCTGCCCCGGCTCTTTGCTCCGTTCTTGGTTCTTGGGGATGTGCCCCGAAACTTCAGGGGTTGTTCTTGGTTTTAAATCTAAAAATAAAACAGCTGTTATGTTTGCAGCCCTTGCCCTGCTGTCATTCTGGTCCCACTCTCCTGGGGCTGGTGAGGGAGGGGACCCCCCCATGAACCCACCATGGGGGACCCCCCGATGTAGCAGAGGGCAGTGGTCACGCTTCTCTGGTGGCATGCTCAATGCCGCAGTGACCCTGGGATGGGGAAGAACGGGACAGATGCTTGGTGGCTTGCCCGTGTTCAGATTTCAGCCAAATTTTATTAGAGCATCGTCAGCAGCAGCAGCGCTGCTCCCCTCCCCCCCCCCAGTCCCCTCCCCACAGTGGCAGCAGGACATGGTGCCACCGGAGATGGAGGACATCTGGCAGTGGCGTTCATCCTTCAAGAACGTGTCCCAGGGAAGGATCCGACCCTGGCAGCCAGCACCCCTCCTGTCCCCCTGGGTCCCCTGCCATGGGACAGTGCAGGCAGCTGCCCTTGTCCTAAACCCCCCGGCCACCCCCCCTCGTGTGGGGCTGCTCTCCGGGGCTGCCTCCTTGTCCAAGATGGGAGCCCTGGGGCGGGCTGCCGGCTCTCTGCTCCCTACCTGCTTTACCTGTTCCTAATTGCGGGAGAGGCCAGCAGGAATTGCAGGCTGTGCTTTGCCAGCAGCTTGCTGCAGGGGGGGAAAGGATCCCCGTGGCTTCTCCCCACCGGCCTTGGGCTGCGTCCAAAATGCGCATGGAACGTGTTGAGACCATGGCAGGGGCTGGCAGGATGTGGCAGGGACTGGCAGAACCCGGCAGGGACTGGCAGTGCTGGTCGAGGACCCCCCCCCCCCCGCCCCAAGTTCCCACTGCTAGGACACGCTGCAGTGCTTGCTGCTGCCCCGCCGCTTGGCCGTCCTGCCCCCGGCTCTCCCCAGGGGCTCCCTGCCCAGGGAACTCATCCCGGGCTTGGGGATGGGCTTCCCGAAGAAGAAACCCTCTTCCTCTGAGTCTGAGTCCGAAGATGAAGAGCAGGTAGGACACCAGGAGTCATCCTCTTCTGTGACGTCCTGCAGGTCGATGTCCTCTGGCTGTGGGCTTTGTCGGGCAGGGGATGTGCCCGCTCGAAAATGTGGGTTTCCGTTGCCCGTGGGTGTTCGGGGGTCAGGGCCCCCTGAAACAGGGTGGCCCAAGGCTCCAGGCTCATCGGGACCCTCTGCGCTGGGCTGGGGGGTGGAGGGGTGGCCAGCTGGTGGTCCCAGCACCCCTGTGTGCACAGCATCCCTGCTCCGCTCCTTAGCAGCTGCTCCGTGGTCCTCCAGGCTCCTGAAGGCAGGATGCACAGGGGCCTGATCCGAAAAAGCCTCTGGGAGAAGGAAAGCAAGGATGGGTGAGGAAGGGGATGAGCCTGCCCTGCTCCAGCCCCTCGTGCAGCGAGGGCTGCCTGGGAGGGTTGTACCAACCAAACCCCAGCTGCCAGCGCTCGGCCTCCGGCGGGAGGTGGGCTGGGGGCTCGTCAGCGCTGCTCCAGCCCTGAGACGCCCCATAAAATACCCAGGGGCTGAGCAGAGCCTGCTTTTGCTCCCCCTCTCCTCCCGTCACGTAGCAGTAGGATGCCCACCTGCCCCTTCCACCCGCTGCCTGCAGCCCCCGGCCTCCGAGGTGCTGCTGCCTGTCCCCGGCGCGGTCCTGCCGGCGGGGCCGGCTCGGGAGAGGGGCGTCGAGTCGGGGGACGGAGCCGAGGCGAAAGCCGAGTCCGAGGAGTCGGAGGCAGTGGAGGAGGCATCCTGCCCCAGGCTGCAGGTTTCGGAGCAGAAGAGCCGGCCGTGGCGGGAGGTGAGGGGCTGCCCACGCAGCGGCTTTCGGCAGAGGCTGCAGCAGAAGCAGGCGGCTCGGGCATGCCAGTGGAGCCCTTGGTGGGTGGCCTCCTCGCTGTCGGCACCTGAGAGGCAACCGTGGGTGAGCGGGAGGCTCTTCCTGCAGCCGTGTTGCCAAAACCCATCCAACGCACCCAGCCGCGGGGCTCTGGCTCTGCAGCCCTCCCAGCCCACGTCCCGCCTGCCCGGGGTGGGGTGGGGGGGGGGACGGGGTGGGAGGGGGGGGGATGGGGTGGGAGGGGGGGGGGGATGGGGTGGGAGGGGGGGGGCCGTACCGATGGGGTCCCCGCAGGCCTGGCACGGCTCGGCGAAAAGGCTCTCGAAGCAGTCGCAGCAGCAGGGCCGGCCGCTCTTCATCACGTAGCGCTGCCCGCGCAGGGGCACGTCGCACTCCAGGCAGCAGAAGTGCTCCGGGTGCCAGCGGCGGCCCTCCGCCTCGATGCACTCCTCCATGAAGATCAGCTGGAGGGGGGAGGAAAACAACCTATCCTCTAAGCACCCAGCTAGAAAACCCCAAGCCCAGAGGATGCTTTGCTGTGCTGTGGAGAGAGGAGGGGCCCCCGCGCCTCAGCACGGGCATGGGGCGCTCTGCAAGGCTCAGAAAGGAACCTTCCCTCCTACCCATCAGCAATTCCTGCCACATCTGCAGCCCCCAGCCAAGCGCAGGAGCTTTTTGCAACAGCAAAAGGGAGGAAAAAGCCTCCCCTCTGCCCGGCACCCACCTGGTCGCAGGAGGCACAGCGGGGTCGGAAGAGCTCGGCGTGGTGCCGGCCGCAGTAGATCCTCCCATCCTGCTGGAAGTAGATGAGATCCACCAAGAGCTGGTGGCAGAAGTGGCAGGAGAAGCAGGACGGGTGCCAGAAGTGGTCCCCCAGCCGAGATGCTGAAATCCCCGGGTCCCCTTTGTTCAGCCTCCTGCCGCACTGCAAGGCAGAGGGGAGCGGGGTTTGGGGCCAAGGGTGGCTTTTGGGGACGGGTCCCCACTGGGGGAATGGGGGCTGGGCCGGGGGGATGCCTCACCTTCTTGCAGGGACAGCCGTGGCAGGGACCCGGCACGGGACATGCCAGCCCCTGCCCCAGAGCCTCCCGTCTCCGTCGGGCGCTGAAGGCTCGTAGCTGTCCCTTCTCTTCCTCCGCAAGGTCGGGGCAGTACCGCTCCTGCACGGGGAGCGGGAGGTGAGGGGGTGCACGGGCTGGGGCGAAGCTCAGGGTGTGCAGCACCCAACAAATATGTGCCTTACATCGCAGTCCTGAGGAGGCAGCTGCTGCAGGAGGGCTCTGGTGCGGAGCCGGATCCTGTCGGCGGGAGAGGCAGGTTGCGGCGAGCGGGGGCCGAAGCGCAGCGGGACCTTGGGATGAGAAACACAGAGTTTTTCGGGGGATTAAGCCGCGTCGTTCGAGGTTGTTGAAACACGTGTTTCATCCCAGGGCTGGGGGTGCTCTGCTGTGGGTCCCACCCGGGGATGGCATCCGCAGGGCTGGGGGAGAGCTGGGGAGCAGAGGCAGCCCTGGGAGAGCTGGGGTGCTGCCCACCTCGGGGGGCGCGGGGTCTGCGGGGGGCTCCAGGTACTCTTCCAGGGCACAGCCGGAGTCGCTGTCGGACGAGGCCGGTGGGAGGCCGGTGGCAGTGCCGCAGGGGGGAGGCTCGTCTCGTTGGGGCCATGCGGGGCTCGGCAGGGACATGAGCTGGGGAGAAAGGATGAGAGCTGGGGAGGCCCTCGGCGAGGCAGGGAGCAGCGGTCCATCCCCAGGACACGCATCATCCCGCCTGCCCAGCGTGGACCAGTCTCCACGTAGCGGCAGGAGAAGCAGCCCCTCATCCTGGGGAGGGACCCCGGGGGCAGGTCCAGCTGGGACGATGCTCAAAGCCACTGCGACCTCGAGACCCTTGGCTGAACCACTGCTGAAATCCGAGGGCTTTTGCGGGGCTGCTTCCTTTCTCTGCAGGGGTTATAACAAACCCACACCGAGGGCACGGGTGATCAGCAGGATAGAGGCTTTGTGGAGCAGGAAGAGCTGAAGGGGTGGTGATGGGTTGAAGCCAGGCAGGGAGGACCCCGGGTGTCCGTGCTCAAGCTGGAACAGGTTTTGGGAAACGGCACTGGCTGTTCGCTCACCCACAGTGGGAGATTTTCCCTGGCTACTACCAATCCTTTTCTGGCATGGCTAATCCCTGGTCTAGTGGCCTCTCCCTGAGTGGGACAGTGGGAGGAGACTGAGGTCTAACCCAATTCAGTGGAAAATAATTTATTCCCTTCAGGCTGCTATTGTTCTGCCCCGAGCGGCTGTTCCTGCCCGGGCGGCCGGCTCGCCCAGCCACCACCACCTCTCCTGGCTAATGGTTACGCACTGGAAACCCGTCCGGTCCCGTCCCCTCCTCCTCCCCACGCGGCGCTTTTCACCGCTCGCTTCCTTCCTGGCTTGGCTTTCCAAAACAAAGGCGGGATGGCGATGTGGTGGCTGCTGGGGCTCCTTGGATGCTGGCCCAGAGCCCGACGCCCTCTGCCCATGCTTCCTGCCCTGGCGTGGGGAGCGAGGGTGGGATGTGGGTGGGATGGAGCTGAGCTGCTGCTCCGGGGGGCAAGTCCCAGTGCTGTGACCAAACGGCCTCAGGGCACCCCTGGTTTCACCCTGTGCAATGCCCACCGTGGATTGATCAACCACTCCGGGAAGTGTTTTATAGAGCAAGCGGCTTGGCATGGGCTCAGGCTAAGGGTGGAGGGGGGGTGGTGACCCCCTGGCCACGCACCTGAGTCCTCCTGCATCACTGCCACCATGAGGACCCATTCCCTCCTCCACCCTGGGATGGTACTTTTGCATATCTGTTTTTTCCCCCCCTGCCCGTGCTGTCAGGGCCATCCTGGCCAGCACCAGCCGCCACATCCCCACTGCTCCCACCAAACAGCTTCGACACCCCTGGCTTAGCCCCTGCTCCCTCCACCACAGCTGCCCTTTCCTACGTAGCATCTTGGGGTGCTGAGATGTTGCAGCCCAATGTGGCCCGGGCAGCTCAGGTTTCCCTGCCATGCACCTGGGTCAATGATTAACGCTTCAGATCAGCTAATCAGCAGAATAAAACAAAAGAGCTGCTTGCTCTTTCCTGAGGTTTGGGGTCTGCCAGACCTGGGGTTAGCTCAGAAAGGCCTCAGGGCTGGTTACATGGTGCTGTTCAAAGCTGTGCTTGGCTCTGGAAGAGATAGGAATGAAATAATCTAACTCAGCTCTGTATTTCCAGCCCAAAGAGGGCCCTGGCCTTGCTGACTTGGTGAAGGACCATTACCACCACTGGTGCTGGGCCAGTAACCAGTGGTGGCTCTACAGGAGGATCATGTGTGTCCCTGGGGATGCTGGATGGGGACCTCTGTGGGCTCAGTGACTGGTCCCAGCCCTGCTGCTGCCTTGCTTGGGTAACACATCTCTGCTTTTCTCTCCCCACGGGAGGTGGATGGCAGTCCCTGGCCGTGCCTGGCTTATTAAGCCTCTAAGCTGCATTTGTCTAATCTGTTGGGGTTTTTGTGTAATTAGACCCCTCTGAAGCGCCGCAGACTCAGCAGAGCTGGTGGTGCCTGCGTGGCCCCAGCCCTGTGGCAGGGTGCACGGGGCACCTTGTCCCAGGGCCAGCAGTGGGGAGCCCAGTGGGGTGATGTTGAGGGAGAGTGGCAAGGGCAGGACTCCTGGCTGCTGCGAATCCATGGGGCTGTGCTGGAGCGCCCAGCCCAGCCTGGTTCGATGTGATTACACTGGCTGGCAGCCGTCTGGGCTGTAGACAATTCCCTGTAATTAGCCCCAGACGGTGACATAGGTACGCACCTCCCATGCTAAGGAGCCAGGCAGCCCCAACAGGTCTGTCCCCATTTCCTTCCTGCCCTCCCTCGCTGCCTCCGGGCAGTCCTTCGATCGTTCTTCCCTGCTGACCTGCAAAAGGGATCCAGGGATCCTTCCCAGTTTGCCCCTGCCATCAAAAACCGGGACAGGAGAGCCTGGGCCAGGTGGCAGCAGGATGCTTTGGGGAGCTGCTCCTCCCTGCCCGCGCAGACCCGAGCGCTGGAGGTGCGTCCCCCGAGAAGGGATGTCTGAGCGACCAGTCGGGCAGGCTGAGTGCCACTGGCTGTCATTTGCCTTTGTTTTAAAAGCCTCCTGTCCTGCCTGTGGGATCTCCTCCAGACTGCGACAGCTCGGCTCCCTTGCACTCCCCGAAGGATGGGCAAACGTCCCCACGGTGCTCCCCTGCCTGCTCTCAGCCTTTCAGTGTTAACAAGGCTACAAACGGTCATCCAGGCTCCAGTCCTGGTGTTGGCCCTTCAAGACCCCCCTTTCTGCTCCGAGCACGTTCCCCCACGGTAGCTACAGCCCTTTGCGAAGCAGTCGCAGCTCCCTGGGTACAAGTGGCTACAATTCATGGGAATATTCATCTTATTTGGTTCCCCGGGAACAGCCCCTGTCTCCTGCTGGCTGGGGGAGCGTGTGCGGGCTCCCAGCCCTCTCCTGCCAAGGTCACACATTAACTTGCAGCGCAGACACCCCAGCCCATTCGCATTCAGCGCAGGCTCCCTGTTCCCAGCACGGACAGGGGCTGATCTGCATCTCCGCCACAGCCTTTGGTTTTCTAAAGTCACCTCTCCATCTTAGAAGACCCACTTTCAGACCCCTCTAGCCTATTTTTCAGAAGTACCAAACACTCCCCAGCTCCACAAGCCTGAGGAAACACCACAGCTCGCCATCACCAAAAAGACCAGATCCCTTTTCAAGCACCCAAAAGCACTGGCAGCCTTCAGAGTTTAGCTCTGTATTCACTACCTCACCCACAGGATAACCTGTTTTTGCTTGAGCTCCTGTCAACACAGCTGCAATGAAGGTACGTGGAAATAAAGGTGCAGAGCAATAACGATGCATCTCTCCTGGGGTGAGATAAGCTGAGGTCTGGCAAGGCGAGCCGGAGCAGCTAGTCCTGCAACGCAGCCCAAGCCAGGCTGCCTGGGCTGGAGCCTGTCTCACGAAGGAGCCCCCGGTGGCTTTTGGACCTGTGATGGCACAAGGTGGAGCAACGCTTGGCTGGGCACAGCAGTCTCACGGGCCAGCAGCGTGGAGGAACAGGGTCAGCACAGCCCCTCAAGTGTTGGGGGGGGTCTCAGCATCCTGCTCTGCCATCCGGCACCGTGTCCTCCCCGTCACCGGAGGGGACTGTGGCCAACGGCCATGGGATGTGCCAGTGCTGCAAAGGTTTGTTGTTTTTTTTTAGCGTGTTTTCCCCCGTCCTGAGAGCACAGGCACAGCTCGGCAGGAAGCATTAACCCATTAACCCTCTGTAACTCAGCCATTTGTACATCTGCGGGTACAAACCCCGGACCCGCCACCCCACCTCTCCCCCCCATGGCCACCGGATTTCACCCCGACACGTTGGTGTGTGATGGGGCCCAGCCTCCTCTGGTGAAAAGCTCCGTCGCCAGCACCAAAACATCCCATTCCCGCCGAATGCCGGGTGGGTGGCGGAGCCAACACCCCTTCCCAGAGACCGCCGTCACCCCAGGCAGCCCTGCCAGCCCCGTGCCCGCTCACCTGCCCACGCTGGAGGTGGCCGTACAGCCCAGGACAGCAGAGATGCTCCCTCCTGCTCTCAGAGGACTTTGCCCCAAAAACAAAGACTGCGGGGGCAGCGATATCATTCTCCTTCCCCCATTTATTTCTCCCAGAGAGGAACAACCAAAAAACCCTTCTTCTCCCCTCGTTCCCATTCCCCTTCAACAATTCCCGGACAGACACTCTCCCGTGGTCTCCCACCTCCCAACCACCTTCTTCCCCCAGCTCCAGCTCAACGCGGAGCTCGGAGAACCAACCCTGGGAAACCTTTCCAGCCCCACTTACCTGCCCTTTCCCTGCTCCCGGTTCCACCGGCTGCGCCAGCCCCGCTCCGGCTGCCGCTGTCCCGCCGTGTTCCAGAGGAGGCGAGGGAATGGAGCCTCAACAGGGAAAACTTTACAAAGCGAAAGGAAAACATCCAAGCTCAGGCAGGGAAACAATTTTTTTTTTTTCCTCTCTCTCCTTTTTTTTTTTTTTTTTTTTTTTTTTAATCTGCCTGCCCAGGAAACTGGATCTGTGTCAGCCAGGGTCCTAATTACAGGCTTTTTAGCCTAAACCTACAGAGACAGCCAATGGTAGGGAATCACAGCGGCAGGCAGGGAGGGGAAGAGCAAAGGATGGTGGAGGGGGGGTACATTAACCCTACAGGGGAAAGAGCTCTAGATGACATCTGTTTTTCTCGCTACCTCTCATTTTCCGAGCGTCCGCGCCCTTCCCTCCATCTGTGGCTCAGTTCACCCCAGGTTGCCGTTTTGATGACTTTTATGATCCGCGTGGTGATTTATTTTCCTACCTAGATCAGAAAGAGTTGAAGCTTCATGAAAGAGGGGAAGTGTCATTACACCCCAATTGAGAGGTGGAGAAACTAATGCTGGGCTCTCACAAAGGAGTTAGCCAGAGGCAAGTCAGGGTGTCCCAGTTTTTGCAAGCCCTGAACACCTGACAAGTCTCCCAAAAGCCATTTAGACCGGCTTCGGCTGCAGCAATTGAACTCGGGCAAGAGTCAGGGTAAAATTTATCAGAGTCTCTGACACATGGCTGAGCGCCTTTGTTGTGTTTCTGTGTATTTCTCACATGCCAGAAGATTTTCCTACCTGCAGGTGTGACTCTGGGGGTGGGCAATGACACAGCATCCCCCCAGAAAGCCATGTCTGAGGGGACTGGCCTAGACTTCTGCCACCAGCATGGTCCGAGCAACTCACTGCCCAGGAGCTGCATCTTGTTTTGGGGCTCCCTTGGGAGCCCCGAGGGGTGCAGGTGGTTTGTGCATTAGACTGGGGACTGCAGTCTCAGTCCTCAGTGACAGTAATTTGTCAGAGGAGGTGGCCAGGCTCTGTGGCAAGCGGGTGGCACTGCTGGGAGAGGCTGTGCAGGGCAGTGTTGGGGCACGGGTTGTTGCACTGCTCACTGGTGGTTTATATCTTTGGAAAATCACCTGGGCAGGGAAAGGAGCAGGAGGAAAAGGAGAATGGTCAGGCGAGCATCTCCGCAGGCCACCGCTCCGCTTCCCCGCGCAGGGGTCCCATCGGGGCTGTCGAGCCAGCGCTGCAATTCCCCAGGGACCCTTTAAGGTCTCTCAGATCTGCGCCGGGAAAGTTAATCCGCTGTTTGGTTTTGGTGGGAGGTTGGTCTCCGCTGCTTTATCTTGGTCTGTTTGCTGCTATGGACTTTGTACCACCGGGTGGTGGTGGGCCCCCCCGCCCCTCTTCCCGCTGCCAGCTCCCAGCCTGAGCTGCAAAGCGGGGGGCCGCCTGCGCTCCCCATCCCTCTGCAGGGTGGTAAGATTAATGGGCAAAGTCCTCGTTAAGCGACCAGCCGGGCAGAGGGACTCAGACTCGACAGATGGGTCACTCGGGGATTTCCGAGGTGGGACCAGCCGCCGTTCCACCAAACCCTGGAAACGCCACGAGGTTCTCCATGGGCGCTGGGCAAGCAAGCACCTGCGACATGGCATGTGTGGCGGGCAGGATGCTGGCCCAACGGGCTTCCCTGCTGCCAAAGCACCGCGGCGCGCCTGGCGGCATCCCCGCAGCAAGGGCCGGGGCTGCGGGGGTCACCCGGCGCTGGAGCAGACTGGGAGCGCTCACGTCTGGCGGCCGAGGAGCCGACAGCCCCCCCTCACCCTTCCAAACCCACGGCCGACAACCGACAGCTCCGCCGGTGGGACTGTAATTGCAGAGCGACGGCAATTGGAAACACTGCGACGGGAAAAATTGCAATTGTAAAATTTGCAGCCCAGGCCAGCTCTCCCCTCTCTCCTGCAGCCCCTTCACCCGTGCCCTGAACCCTCCCCGAGACCCCGCACGCTCCCGGCCGGGAAGCTGTGCCTCGTTCATGGCCAAATGCCGGCCGCGGGCGTTATTATTTGGCACATCGCCTCAGGAGTGCCGCGGCTGAGTCAGGACCCTGCACGGCCCGACCACGAGCAGCCGCGCACCCGTTGAGGTGGTTCGGGGCTGCAGTCGCCTGCAGGAGCCCAGCACCAAGCTGCCATTGCCTGTGCAGTTTCAGCGCTCCGATACGGGTGGAACTGGGGTGGGCAGTGCACAGGGAAGCTGTGGATGGAGGGGGTGGCTGGGTGCAGGGCGCACCCTCCCAGCACCCTCCTCCTGCCCCAGACTCCCCCAACCCCTCTCCACCGACCCCCCTAGAGCATCTCCCCACCCCAGAGCCCCCAAATCCCCCTCCACTGACTTCCACGAAGTACCCCCTCACCCCAGACCCCCCACCTCCAAGTCCCCTTGCACTGACTCCCCTAGAGCATCTCCCCATGCCAGACCCCCCAAATCCCCCTCCACTGACCCTCCCAGCACCCCCTGTTGCCCCAGACCCCCCCCACTCCTCCTCCACTGACCCCCCCCTAGAGTATCCCCCCACCCGACCCCCCCAGTCAGCCTCCACTGACCCCCCTAAGAGTATCCCCCACCCTAGACCCCCCAAATCCCCCTCCACTGAGCCTTCCAGCATCCCCTCTTTCCGCAGACCCCCCCCAGTCCCCCTCCACTGACACCCCTAGAGTATCCCCCCACCCCAGACCCCCCAAATCCCCCTCCACTGACCCCCCTAAGATTATCCCCCCACCCCAGACCTCCCCCCAGTCCCCTTCCACTGACCCCCGCTATAAAACCTCCTGCCCCTCTGTCCCCTCCCCAGCACCCTCGCCCCCCCCCGCCTCACCCATCACACCCCCGCCGCCCCCCAGACCCCTTCCCTGCCCCGCCCACTCGCTCTGACCACGCCCCCACCCTCTGTGACCACGCCCCCCAGCGCGGCTGCGGAGCCAGCGCGCCCCCTGGCGGCCGCGCTTTTGCCTGTCCGGGTCCTCCCAGCCCGAGACGCTCTAGGCGGCGGCCGGCGGACTCGCTGCTCCCGGCGGGCCCGGCCCGGGCTGGGGGGGGGACGCGGCGGTGGCGGGGCCCGACCCGCTCCCGGTCCCCGAGCCCGAGCCGGGACCCGGCGGGCCGGGCAGGGGACGGGCCGGGCCGGGCTGGCAACGGGGGCCCGGGCTTCAGCTCCCGGACGGCGGAGCTGGGCAGCGCCTCAGGTACCGACCCGCGCCCGGGCCTTCCCTCGGCACCGGCACCGCGCCTCGGCCCGCTTTGCCCCCGGCCTCCCCTCCGCCCGCTTGCCGCCCTGTCCCCCGTGCCTGTCATCTCCCCCGGTGGCCCCTCGCACCCACGCAGCACTCCCCCAGCTGCCCCCTTCCCCTCCCCCGGGTCTCGCCCCTTCCTCATGCCCCGCCATCCCCACGGGCTGTGCCTCCTCCTCCTCCCTCCAGCCCCTTCTCCTTGCCAGCGGCCCTGTTACCCTCGGCGGTGCCCCCCCCTCCAGCCCTTCCCCTCACTCCCACACCGGGGGGGGCGGGGGGTCCCCGTTGCTGCGTGTCACGGGTGGGTTGGTGTGGGGCCATGCGCGTTTCCACGCGGGGTACCCGTGTGCCCTGGCGCAGGGCCGTCGCGGTGGGTCCCAGCGGTGCCCTGGTCCTTTGGGATTAGGTGGACCCTCTTCTGCAGTCCTGGGTTTTAAGAATTGCGTGGAGGAGGGAAAAGGTTGGGAAAGGGGGATGTGTTCTGCAGGCTTGGGGGGTGCAGCCGGAGCAGGAGGCTTGGGAGGAGAGCTGTGCTCTGGAGACCTGGCCAAGGAGGGCTGCGAAAGTTTGAGGAGGATTTAGGTTCGGGTTCTGGGAGAACAGGGTGGCTGGTTTTGGAAGGCATGTGCCCTTGCTCGCAGGGAAGCGTTTTGTACTGTTGGGAGTGTTTGGCTCGACTAGTTAAGGCGCTGAACTGGCAAACAGCCGTCGGAAAGGTGCGTGTCGAGAGCGCCGAGCAAGAGACTGGAGTCTTGAGTCTCAGTGTCTGTGTGAAAGGGATGCCACTGAAATATTCAACAGCGAGGCGTAGCGGGAAGCTCCAAGGGAGCGTTCGGGGATCGCACAATATTTTTTTTCTTGTTTGTTTAGTTCTGACCATAATATCTGTTCAGGATGGGTGACAGCACCTCAACCTAACCCCCCTCGCAGGTTAGACAGACATGGGTGGAGGGAGCACCAGGGAGAGGAATAAAGAAGAGGGGGCAAAGATAACATGTTTTCTACAAGATTTGTCTTCTACTGAGGGGAATGATGAGGTGGGAGTGGGACAGCAGAGACAGGAGAGAACAAGGCCCCTAGTGACCAGATTAGATGAAGTGGAGAGGGATCTGTTGCTAAATTACTGATCAAAGCCTGCAAGGTCAGTGGAGAGTAAATCCATATGGAGTCTAGAAAAACAAATAGGATGGCTTGAGTGGGACGCAGTGTTGAAGAGGGAGCGTGTGACATTATTACTGTTGGGGGTGATGGGTATGTGGAGGTGACAGCTGGCTTGATTTGGGCCCAAGCTTCTCCAGTTTGCTCCAAAGGAAGCATTCTTCTTCTGGGGGACTTTGCAGGGTTGGGATATGTTAGGGAATTCTTCAGGGGCCAAAGCTAAGGCATGGAGTTGCAGTGGAAGGTGATTTAGGTTCTGTTTTGATGTAAAAAATTAAATGGGACTCTTTGGTCAGCTCACTGCTGGCTCTTCCCCCTGCTCTGCACCGCTCTGTGCCGTGAGGGAGTCTGAGGGCAGCGGCGCAATGTGGTTTTGCACAGCGATGCAACTCCGTGATTCAGTGTTTAATTTGGAGTGACTGGTGAGGCAGATTCTGGCATGGCAGAGCAAGAGGTTTCCAATAGCCTTTTCATTTTATTTACTGCTCTGGTGCCAGGCTGGTTATCCATATGGCTGTATTCTCTCACGCCTCAGATGGAGAGGTCGTTAGCTGTTCTCACCAAATAAGACGTGGCATCCTCTTGTGTTATCTGCTGCTGAATCCCCTGCCCTGGAGTGGAGGTGAAGTCCTTTAAGTTTGCATCAAAGATAGGATTTCTCACTACTAGTACGTGCAACTCCTGCCTGCTCGATACTTGCACTTGCTGACTGTTGTCAGATAGCGGGGTTTTTGTGTTTTCTGGCGTTTGTTACTTTTTGTAGTCCAAAGGAAGACAGATGTTGTGGTCCCTTGCTTTTAAGGCTGTTGGTTCTCTGATCCTTAAGGACCTCCCATTCAGTGAAGGTGCTTTCCCATTCCTAAGCAGCAGATGCGTGTGATTCCTCATACCCTCACTGCCCTCAGCTATTCAGTATTACTGTTGTGTTTTATTTACACTACAGTAGCTCTGATGAACCACATTCCTGTGTAGGATCCCAAAGCCAAGAAGTAAGATATTTCTTATTTTTAGGGTTTTTTAGCTGTAGATGTGTATTTTTTCAGAAATTACAGAAGTGGTTAGCACAGAGTTATTTTCTATATTCATATAAATGCAGGTAGTTAATTTAAAAAAAAAAAAAAAAGTGCACCTGCCTTCCTTGTGATATTTGAAGGGAAATTCAGTCACAAACTGCCCCCTGCCCCACACACACTTTTTAATCTTCTCTGTTTTTTTAATTTGTTTAATTGTATTCTCCTTGTCAGGTGGAAGATGGGACAGTTTCCCTTGTGTTTTAGGTGACTCTGACACCTGGTTACCATGAAGTCCCCAAGGAGATAGAGGGACAATAGTGAGAATTTCTTCTCACTCCTCCAAAAAAATCCAACAGTTGCCTAATGGTAAGAAAGCTGTTCTTTTTAATTAGTCTTATATTGTACAGTGTCCATTAATCGAGGAACACTTCGCAGAGTTTGAGATCCCAACCCACTGGCCCATGTGCAGGGGGATCGAGGAAGGTACAAGCTGTAAATGCTGTGTGTTTGGGGAGGGTAGGAGGAGTTGGTTTGAAAATATGTTTCGTGTCCTTTCCCCAGGGATTACCTCTTATGCTGACGTCATGGGGAGCTGCTGCAGTTGTCTGTGCAGAGACAGCATCCCAGACAACCATCCCACCAAATTTAAGGTAAGTTTTGCACCTTCATCCCCATCAGAGAGTCTGTGACAGCACTGGCTACTAGCAAAGCCCAGCAGGGGTTGGACTCCAGGCATGAAAGGAAAGAAAACCTCTGCTCCGGCAGAGAAGTCTTTCACTTGATAAGATTTGCAGATATGTTACTGTCTTGGTTTGGCTTTTTTCCTTCCTTTTCTAAAGCAACCTCTGCTGCAAATACGTTTGTATTTGCAGTAGAAATCGCCTCTGCACTGAGATTCAGCCTGAGCAAGGAAATGAGGAACTGGAGAGAAACCTTTTATTGCTCAGGGCTGTGTTCCAGTGTCTGCGCTGAGACACATCAGCTGAACTGCCAAGCACACAGTCTCCAGAGCTGCCGGCTTGGCGCCTTCTGCCAGCAATGAATTCATACTCTCGGCTGGGAAAAAGGCATCTCAGTAAATGAGGGGGGAATCCACGGGAGTTACAGTATCCTCGTGGGTGGGCTTTTTTTTGATACCAATGCACCGGGTTTCCTGATGTGAGCTCTGTGGCCTCTGCAGGTAACGAACGTGGATGATGAAGGTAACGAGCTGGGATCTGGGATTATGGAGCTGACACAGACGGAGCTCATCTTGCACACTCACAAGCGAGATGCTGTCAGGTGGCCCTACCTCTGCTTGCGCCGCTACGGCTACGACTCCAACCTCTTCTCCTTCGAGAGCGGTCGTCGCTGCCAGACGGGGCAGGGTGAGTGTGGAGGAAGCAACACTGAGGTTTCTGTTCCCAGGCAGCCGGAGTGAGCTGATGCTTGCGTCTTCCCAAATTCCTGCATCTAATGAATCAACAGCTTCTTTTTGCAGCCTCAGTTCCCCCAGAATACCGGAGTGTATGCGCACATACAGTTAATACTCCTGATTAAAACACTAATGAGAATAACGTCGTGGCTCAGGACCTGGGCATAAATCTGATGGTCTCATTTTGCTGGTGCGTGGGTGCTCATGAGGTAATTGATGAAGGAGGCTTGAGCACTGGACGGGGCGTATTTAATGTCAGGGAGGACGTTAGTTACACTGTCAGCTCTGTGCTTCCCCACCAAACGATGCACAGCTGTGGTAGGAGGGGTTGAACTTCTTTTCTTAGGAGCTAGAAAGTACTTTTTGCGAGTCTGAACCTTTGTTAAGCATCTTTTAACTCCAGGAATAAAGCGAAAGGGCATCACCTGCACCTTTTTGCAGGTCCCTCTTAGGGTTCGCTTATTCCACAGAGCTGCCAAATGCACGTCAGTAGCAACAGTTGTTTGAGCACGTTGTGTTTTTTCTAGGTGCATTCTCTTTGATTAGTGCTCGTTCTGTGTAATCCTTTGCATTTTGTGTCTGGCAGCACTTTGTAATGTAGAGGGAAAGGAGTTCTATGTTTTGTGGATTTTATGCACGGGGGGTGCTGTGCATAGAGAAGGGAAGTGAGTCACCCAGGAGTACATGCCAAGTCATCAGCAGCGCTGGGAATAGACTCCAGTTTTACAATGGTGCCTGTTAGTTCCTTTACCAGCCTGTCTCTCGTGCTTTTAAAGAGCTGAACATTTTATTGGCATCTGCATCCCCAGAAAAAAAAAAAAAAAGTTTGTTTCCTCATTCTATTAATGTGTTTGTAAACTCCTCCTTACCCAAAAGAACTCCGCATGACTGTTCAGTATCTGTGTAAAGCACTGCGCAAATCTGTAGTGCCGTATGCTCCTTATTAATATTTATGTGAGTGGGGTTTTCCTCTCCTGGGGTCCTGTGCTTATCAGTTGCCAGCGATGGGAATTACTTGTCTTTGGTTTCTGTTTTGCCTTTTGCAGGATGCAGATTGGTGATTAAAATTCTGCCCTGTGTGTGTTTTGGTTTTGTTTAAGTCCAGGTAGTGGTGATAAAGCAGAGCTGTTTGCTCTTCGTCTATTACAAAATTTTTAGCAGACGCATACTTACTCATCAGTCTTAAAGCAGACAGAAATGAGAGGGGTGGCGTTGTGTTTTGATGAGTTTTCTCCCTTCCTTGTAGAATTTTATGCTGCTTAGTTAATTTTATTTGGAGGACTCCTTTCTGATGCTGCTCCCCACCTTTTATAAGGCAGATATAGCTATTTTTTGGGGCTAGAATTTTTAAAACCTTATTCTTTGGGGTGGCAGCCGTGGTTGCCATGCCGTTCTCGTTGCTATGGCTTTTGTGCGTGTGTGTGCGTGCCAGCTTGGGATTGGTTAGCTCTGCATACACCGGCTCTGGTTTGGGCTGCTTGTTTGGGGGAGACACTGTTTAATTCCATAGATTTTTGGGAATATGGCGTTTTTGTCTCTCCCTCACGTGCACACTCCACAGGGCCTGGTTCAGCGTCCAGTAGTCACTGGATAGACTTTCTCCTGGTAAGGAGAATTGGGCTAGGCGCCAAGTGAGTTAAAATAGAATATTAGAGATGAGACCAGACCGGTTAGCCTGTCCCTTTCACACCTCTGCTCGCGTGGGATTGGTTGTTGTGAGATAACTGGGGTGCTCGCTATTTTTCTTACAGTAATGCACCATTTGGTCGGATGGCAGTCACGACATTGTATTGCTGTTGATGCAATAATCCACCGAGTTCTTGGTTGTTTTCCTGTGGCTGTGAGTTGCAGGGGTTGATTGTGTTAAAAACAGCAAAAGAAATCAGAATTGCTTGTTCGTTTAGAGCTGGGAATTAAATATACTTTTGTTAAAGCAGGATCGCTTTCTTGCTTTTCTGACCGTCCTCTTTGTTACTGTGCAGGGATTTTTGCCTTCAAGTGTTCCAGAGCAGAGGAGATCTTTAATCTGCTTCAGGACCTGATGCAGTGTAACAGTATCAACGTGGTGGAAGAGCCTGTTGTCATCACCAGGAACAGTCACCCCACGGAGCGGGAGCTCTCCCGGACCCCCCAGGCACCCAACAGTAAGGCTCCTTCCGTGTCCGGGGAGAAGAGGGGGAAGCACAGAGACGTGGGCGACGTCTGCAGTTGTTCACATGAAACTGCCCTTTGCAGCCCGTGGATCTCTCCCGCATGCTGCCTCGCTGCTGACCCGTATCTTTATGTCCACGTGTGCCCCATGCAGCGGGTTTATTTTAAGGCCCCACTCGTCTGCGATGTGGTATTTTGTTTCCAAGGAAACGGCAACAAAAAGCCCTTCAAATAAGTCAACTGAGTTGTCACCCTTCAGTTGGTTTTCATCTGGACTGCGGCCAAGTGGCCTTTTTTAAGTGGCACCTACAAGGATCAGGAGGCTCCTAGAGGAAACCACATCTGGAAGAATTTGGATTTGCTGAGTTCCTGCCTCCATTAGGAGTGGCTTAAATAGATTTAAACAAGAGGGCCTAGCCCCTGTATTTATATCAGGTACTTCATTGTAGGGATTTTCCCCAGACAGGCTGGTTCTGACTTGCAGGGTGCAGTTAAGAGGTCAGCTTATTGCGAAAATGAAGTCAACTTTATTTTGTACCAAACCAATACTTACCTGTCTTGATTCTCCCCCAGGTTTGGGGTACACTGTCCCAGGATTTCCCAATGGATTTCACAGCTTCCCTGGAGAAACCCTATCGTACTCCGCGGCGCGCCACCCTTCCGTGAGCAGCCTGAGGCATTCCTCTGTGGGTGAAGACTCCACGCACGCCCTTATTGGGCCTGATGAGCAGGTAAACCTGGATGTCCTAAATTCTGCTGTTTGCAAGCAATGAACAAGCAGTTTGTTTTGCTAGCAGTCCTGTGCAATTCTGGGCTTCTCTTACCCCAGCAAAAAGCTCAGGGGATCCTCAGACCTCTTCATCCTTTTTTTCCTCTTTTTCTTCATTTTGCTTTTGTAGACTTCTGCTCTCTTGACACTTCACTAGAACAGATGCTTTATCAAGGCTGACTGAGTTGGCTTCCTTGATCCATGAGCGGCAGTTATTCAACAGCAGCACTTGGGTTGTGAGCCCAAGGCACGTTGCCTTATCTGTCAGCTATTGTTGCAACCCCTGAACTGACGTGCAGATGCATACCCAAGTTCAGACTCTTTTTATTTTTGACGTTCAGCTCTTTGTTCTCAGTTTTAGAATTTAAGATTTTTCCCTACAAAATCCAGCTTGTCTCAACCACTCTCAGAGAAGCCTTGGTAGGTGTGAGTGCTGCAATATTGCCAACATAAGCCGCTCAAGGAAATATTTTGCAAGTGGCTTTGCTTTTTGTTCTCTGCCATACACATCAAGCGTGAAATGGATGATGTGTATCTTCTGCAGTTGGACTCTTCTTTGTCTCTCCTTCGACCCACAAATCCAGAAATGGCTTTTGCGCTTTGCTTCCCAAAGTCTTTTCGATTTCTGAAATTCTTTCATCTCCTCCCGCTTCATCAGCCACTGAAAAATTTTCCGTTCCTGTTGGTTTCGCAGCTGCTGGCAGCTGCTTTGCCCTTGTCTCTTCTTCTTTCACTGTCCCTCTGCTTCTCTCCTTGCAGTCCCACACCTACGTCAACACGGCCAATGGTGATCAGGAGCTGAGGGGCCGACATTGTATGCACTCCTTGCCTGAAGTCCACCCTCCTTTCCCCCATAGGAACCACAGCTGCTCCCTCGAAGACCGCAACCCCCAGGTCTTTCTGCAGCCAGGGGAGGTTAAGTTCGTGTTAGGTCCCGCGTCCAACTACAGACGCGTCTGTCGGCACCAGCGGGAGTGCAGGACGCGCTTCTGCCCCCCCAACAACAACAACAACGAGTGCGAGGAGGAGTGTCCTTCACCCCAGTGCGTCTACGAGAACGTCAACGGCTTGCTGCCCCCCGGCACCTCCTCTCTCTGCCGAGGCGGGCGCTTGAAACTCACCCGGGAGGACACGGGCTTCCCCGCCTGCTCCCATCGCAGAACGGCGCTGCTGCACTACGAGAACTTGCCGTCGCTGCCGCCGGTGTGGGAGTGCCAGCCGCTGCGGCGGGGCGAGGAGGACGGGGGCGCTGGGGACGTGCTGACGCCTTCTCCCAACGGCTGCTCCGAGGCTGGCGAAGAAGAGCCCCTGCAGAACTACGTGAACTCGGAGAACACGGCGCTGCACGGGGGCAGCGGCCAGCGGCGCAGCGGCTTCCTGCCGAAGCCTCGCCGCAGCTGCGTGCCCAGCGTCTTCAGCTTCGACTTCCCCCGGCCCTGTCCAGAGCAGCCGCGGCAGCTCAACTACATCCAGGTGGAGCTGGAGGCTGAGCCGTGCAAGGGACGTCAGAACCCACCGCTCCCCCGTGTCCCACCTCCTGCCACCCACGAAGCCCGCCGGACGGACTCCTACGCGGTCATTGACCTAAAAAAGACAGCGGCCATGTCCAGTTTGCAAAGGGCCCTGCCGAGAGATGATGGGACTTCGCGGAAAACTCGACATAACAGCACTGACCTGCCTCTGTGAGGGGGAACGCCAAGTGCAAGCACTGTGTCGTGGCTTTGGTACCTGCCCTTCAGTGTATTGCCCGGTGTGACTTCCGTTCGCCATTGCCTTCTGCTTCCCTGTTTGCCCCATTACCTGGTGTCATGGGATCGCTCCTACAGCTAATGTTAAGGCTAGTCTGTCTGTCCGTCTTCCCCTCTCCGTCTCTCCCGTGTAGTTCGTTTTTAAAGCCTTGTGGGATATCTGACGACGCTGTTTGCAGGTTAAATTTCTGGTAAGAGGGGCAGAAGGTGCCAGCAATAGTACCAGCACTGTGTGGATATCGCCTTGAATCGGGTTAGCTCTACTGATTGCCCGGCAGCCCCGAGGGCAGTGCCAGCAGCCTGGCTGCAGGGGCAGGGCAGTAGCATGGTGGAGGCGTGTCTCCAAAAGCGAGTTGCTTAAGGAGCTCCACTGCAAATCCAGCCCGTTTCCCATGGATTTTCCTGCCTTGCGACTCCAGGCGAGCTCTGCAGCCGGGCCACTCCAAAGTTCGGTTTTGCTTTGGTGTTTCGCTGATCCCTCATGACTCGGGGAACTCACACTGCGGTCTTTTCCCCCTCAGCTCGCTCCTTTCTCCTATTTTCTTGAAGCTCATAGAAGCTTTTTATACTTCTGTCCCTTTCTCAGATTCGATTTAAATTGGGTGACTCTAGAAATTAATGGAAGAGGACAGACAGCCATGGGCACAGACACTGTGATCACATAAACTCAATTTCCTGAAGAGACCCTGCTTTAAAAGAGGAGGTGAAGACCGCAGCTATGAGAGAGATTTGAGGTTTGGTATAGAAAACTTCAATTATACCATATCCTGTTTTGGCTTTTAAGGGTCCTCTCTGGTGGCTGCTCAGAAGTGTTGTTGATTTATTTATTTGTTTACTTATTTATTTATTAAATGTTCTTTTGCGTCCCATGGTAATTGCCAAAACTGGTGCCAATATGAAATGTGTACTCGCTGTGGGTCACGTCCTCTGTCTGGAGGACAGATCTCGGAAGAGGTTGGTGGCTTTGCTGAGCTGCAGTTGGGGAAAAGAGCCGCTGTGAATCAAAAAATTTTTGACTGGGACTGACTGTCACAGGGTGGGTGGGAAATGCTGCAGGAGACGTGGGAGTGTGAGCAGAGCTGCCAGGCAGCCGAGCTTGGAGTTGTATCAAAGTCGTTGCCTACACCCACGTGCCTGGCTGGGTCCATGAGAAATACTTGATCAGTGCTTTGAGTGAATGTGCAGTTTGTCTCCTACGACTACAGACTTGGAAGGGCTAAATTTTGGCTCTCGGGTAAATTTGAGGCCTTTGATGTGGAATTTTCTCTTGATACCAGGGCTGAGTCTAAGCTGAGCTGTCAGGCCTCTGTGTGAGGTCCTGTGTAGGGTCTCTGCTCCTCTTCCTTTGCAAGATGTTCCACCACCCCTCTCCACATGGTCACATGCTGCAGCTTAATCCCTCCCTGGATTACTTGTTGCCACTGTAAGCTGTTTCCATGAGGCATAAGTGCTCTGGGTTACTCTGAAGTCCCAGCTTTCCACTGTTTTTTTTCTTCACCTTCCTCCCTGGGATAGGAGTTGAGCAATCCAGCGCTCTGCGAGGTGTCCTGCTGCCAGCAGAGGCATTGCCAAACCTTGCTGTGTTCTCCTTGCCCCTAATGTTTTCCGATGTCGAAGTGAGTGAGCTTCTGGTGTGAAAGAGGAGAGAACCCGATCGTCCAGCTGCAGCCTGCTTCTGCGGTCCAGAAAATTTGATTTCCAGATTTTTGAAGTTTCACCTTTTTGATTTTGGTGTGTAATGTCATATTGAAATGTGACTCTTTGGGGAGCAAGGACATGTGCCATGCAGTTCAGAAAAAGTGATAAAAGTATGAGGAATGCCACACTTGTGTTGGCAGAACATGGATTTCTTGGCTTGCTGTTGCACTATAAATTGAAAATGCACCACATGCTTAAATTCACTGAGGTTTTTTTAAGGGGGGGAAGTCCTTGTGCTTGTTTTCCTTTCTTTTCTCCACCCCAACCCTTGTGTGATCTATAACTGAAAGGAAACCCAAGTAATATATTTTTATATGTATAGCAAATGACTTCATTTGAAGGAAAAAAAGAAAAGACAAGTAATATATCCCCCTAAATCTAGCTTCCATTTAGGGAAGTGAGAGAAGAAATTGTTTTTATTTATATATACATATATATAGGTTAACTGCATTAAGCTTTAAAAAAACTATTTCAATAAAGAGTTTCTAAGCTGTAAGTGTCCCCTCCTGGGACAGCACTAGCAACTTCCACAGGGCAGCACTGGGCAGTGCTCTGGGAGCCTCTCTATGAACCTGCCTTTCCACGGCGTGAGCTGAGGATTGCAAAATACTTACTCCCCTCTTCCCCCTAGAAAGCGAAAAAAAGATGAAATGTTTTACATTTACCTGGAGGAGGCCGAGGGCCCTTTCCCACCCGCACGGGAGGTTTGCAGGTTGGTTTGAACACAAGGGAAGGTGCTGTTGGGTGGCAGCTCGTCTCCGCTGGGTGGGATGAGGCTGGTGTGAGGGTCTGTGGATACTGTGAGCTCCAGGGCCAGCACGTCGGTGCTGGTGGCTCCTCAGAAGGGCTGGGCTCCCAGTGAGCCCCAGCTGCGATCCCGTTGAGGTGGCTCTAAATCAGCTTTGCTTTGGGGAAGCTGGCTTGGACCTTCTGAACTGCTGACTTTCGTCTCCTCCAGACAAACTGGGCTGTCCGACTCGTGCCTCCCTTTCCTCTTCGGTGAATCTGCTGCTCCCCTCCCTCCCAAGGAGACCGCTGTGCCGTAGCTGTCTGCTCACATAGCAGATATATTATCGCTGTTCCCTGACGGCATCCTTTATCCCATTCACGGTGGAGGACGCTGCGCTTATTCAAACGAGAAGGAGGATTTCCTTGACCTTAAAGATGAGAAAACTTAGGGCTGGTGCTGGCTGTATCTGCTGCTTTCAGTGCACGGTGATCCGGCGGGTGCTGGCTCAGCAGGCTTTGCTCGGGCGCTGTTGCAAACTCCCCAGAAAGCTTCGGGAGTGAAAAGCCGGTCACAGCTCATTGTTTGCTGGGGGTTTGTTTAATGTTTAAGCAATTACATGGGAAATGCCATGCAGGCAGCCAGGAAATCAGTTGTCGTTTATGGCTTTCAGGGGGCACATCAGGTTCGCGTCCCAGTGATTTTCTTGCTTTTTTGCTTGACTGGAAAACTTCACAAGAGCAATGTCTGCCTTAAGTAGCCAGGACCCTTTGAGAACTTTTTAATATTCAGTTTTGCGGGTGGTGTGAAGGTGCAAGGAACAACCGGAGACGCGTTTGAACACTGAGGCGGTAGTTCTTGGGGCACAAGTGTCACTATTTCGGATTTCTCCCTGCGGTACAGCCCGAGCGGTGCTTGCCAGTGTCACAGCTTCCTCTAGTGGTCGCGCCTGAAATGGTTTCGGAGGAGAAACCAGGACTGGGTTGAAAGGTGAGGACATCTGAGTTGGCATTTTCTCATTCCTTCAGTTCTTTGATTTTGGTGATGGGCAGGAGGGATCCCTTCTGATAACTCTCTGGAGTCTTTCCTTATTACTGTTTTCTTTTGGTTGAGAATCTCGTTTATGAAGTGTGTTGTATCTTTATGGCACCTGGTAAGGGTGGATCTTACAGATTTTTGCTCTGAGCTTTACATGCAATTTTGCTGGACTCTCCCAATGGGTGGGATAGCTCACCCTTTGTGGCTGCATCCGTAAATCTGGTTTTGAGTTAAGAAGGATTCATCCAGGGCTTTGTGCATCCCACTGTTGCCACACAGGTGACCAGGAGGAAACAAACAAGCACGTGTACCTCTGAAACCTGGCCTGGAGTCAGTCCCTGAAGCTGAGTTGAAGCTGTGAGATCTCTCCTTTTCCCTGGCTTGCTTCTGCAAGGCGGGTGGTTCGCCTCCATGTTTTGTCTGTGAGCTGGTAACTTGGAAAAAGGAGCCGTGTTCAGTCAGCTGTTGCATTTGCTGAGACTTTGATTCTGAAAAAAGGGTTTAGGCAGCAAAATGAAGCTAGCCTGGGTAATGGCTAGGACCTGGCAGCGTGAGCTGAGCTGTTGGTTTCCGCACTTGGCTGCGGAGAAGGTTTGTGTAGCCCTCGCTGGGGACTGCGTTGTGTCTTTGCTGGTCTCCTTCCTCTGCTCGTGAGATTGAAGTTTGCGGGATGACTTGGTAAGCAGCCATGTGCTATGCAGAGAGAATTTGACTGTCTTAACCTTTTTAAGTGGTTCTTGTTTGAGTTTTGAGTTAATCAATCAGACTTCTTCCCCTGATATTTCTTACCTGGTGAATGCATAAGTAGATCTTTTACCCTTCCCTTTCCCAAGAACCTGTTGGTCGGAATATAGCTTCTCCCAGAGCTCGTTGTCTTTTATCGTGGGAGGGTTTTTTGATTTGTTTTTTCTCTTAATCCATTTTATGTGCTTGCTTTTCCCCCAGGGAAGGAGGTTGAAATATCTGTGAGCTGTACCTGCCTTACAGGGAGAGGATGGCAAAGGAGAGGCTGGATTGTGAGGCTTAAAGGATCAATATTTCTGCAAAGAGACTTGAATGTGTTAGCTATTGCTGAAGTATTGTTGTTTTTATTACCTAAGCCATGCTGTTCACTGGGAGAAAAACTAAACCATGGCTTGGTATTACAGCTGTCTGTTTTCTCAGCCATTTTCTCCCAAAGTCTTTCCTGTGTCCCTCCATGTGATGCTGCTCAGCCCTCTCGGGTGGTATCTTGACTGTGAAGTATCATTAACAAATGATCGTTAATGAGCACATTGCCTAAATTCAGCTTCCGGGAGGGCTGCCATCAGTCTTTCTGGGAAGTTTGTCTTTCCCTCAAACTTGGCTCATCTTGAAATGCCACCCATAGGTAGCAGAACAGGTTTAGATTCCTGTTACCGAACAGGACCAAAGGTGAATACATTAGTGGAAATCCTTGAGAGCTTTGAAGTTGGCAATTACAGGCCAGGGTATGGAAAAGGCTAATTGTAAAGAAGGGATCTAATTTGTTTTTCTTCCATAAGTGAATGTGATTTTACAGTTGAAAGGCCCAGATGCATCTGTGTTATCTCAAGCTCTCCTCCCATGCAATTCTCCTTGTTGTTACTTGTACCAGTGTCTTTGATACTGAACATTTCTGATATGGCAGAAAAACAAAGGTGCTTCGGGGCTCTGGCCACCGGGGATTCAGTTGCTCTGTCTGGAGGGGTTGATCTCGCTGTGTAATTGCTTCTTCAGGTTATTTCTATGGATATCCATTCAGTCCCTCTTTATATCTCATCCGGGTGTAACCTTACAGGTGAAGAACAGCAGCAGTGCTCTGTGACCTGAGGAGTGCTCATGTCTTACATTAATGTGCACTACGAATGTATACAGAATAAATGGAATATGATGATTACCCGATGTGGTCTTGTCTTTTGTGTGTGGTGCAAAGCGACAACTGTCACATTTCAAAGTGAACTTTATTTTTATTTAAAATTGAAATCCAGGCAAACAGTCACCAGTTGTCCAGCTTGAACTGCATGAGGACTTCTTGCAACCTTTTTTTTTTCCAGGTCTTCCTTCCCTGAAGGAATAATGTCTGTGTCCTTATGTATTCCACCTGGAGCAATGACTCCTGTCTTCCAACTGTCTACTCTCACTGCAATAGGCTTAAAAAATAAATATATGCAGAGACAGATACTCTCTGTTGGCTGGTGACCCATGGGGAAATCTTTGCAGGACAATTCCACTTGCTGCTCGTTTGAGCTGGAAGCTGAACTCACAGAAATGTTTGGATGAGGCTCTCTGGCCCGTGTGATGCAGGAGCTGAAGCTCTGGAGCCACTGACTCTTTCATGATGTCTCTCTTTGGGGCAGAGCCATCACTGAGAGTTGGCCATGAGGGAGTAAACCAGATCTCCTGATGCTCAGCTCAGCGAAAGAAATCATGAAGTTGCCTTGGAAATGGATGTGCTATGAATGTAGGTTGAACATAGCAAGAATATTCATGGCCTCTGGAGTGCCTACCCTTGAAGATGTGCTGTCTCCACCGTGGGTAATTTAAGGTAATAGTATGGGGTGGTGAAATTTGGGGGCAGGTGGGAATGATGTGCCTTTGCCGATGCTGAACAAGATGTGGCTTCACTCTTCCTGGCTGGGCTGATCTGCTCTAGGCCTTTCCATGGGTTCTCTGCCATCACTCTGCAAAGGGTTGATTTGCTTGTTTTTCCAAACTCTACAGCAAATGAGAGCGAATCGTGTGGTAACATGCACGGTTTAATTCCTTGGCTTATAAAATTCCCCCCTGAAAACTCTTGCCCAGCAGGAATTGACTGAAACAGCTAGTAGGGCCATCCATGCCCTCCTAAGTGAGCGTGCCTTCACGTGCGGTGGCTTTCCAACCCAAACCCGTGTGTTTCTTTCCTTCAGGGTCATTCCATGACTTTTGGAAATGCTGGAGGTAAGAACTGGGAGGGAAACAGAGGAGATAACACAACTGATGATAAACTGACGGTGTTATTTCCATCCGATCCCAGGAAAACACAATGAAGGATTTTTTGTTTCTAGGAAGACTTGGGTAGCCCTGTTGGAAATAAGTTGAAAATAGCTTGAGAATAGCACGGCGTTCGTCAGTGGCATTTGACTTGGAGTTTTGAGGACAGTTCTTAGCACTGGGGGAAGATCTCTTGGGGTGGGTGCATTTCTAATGACACTGATGCAGGAAGGTGGGGACCATTTTGGGGTGTATAAGGAAGTGGTGTAGAGTTCCAGCATCAGCTGGGGGGCTGGGACTGAGCAGGGTGACTGGAAGGTCTCTTCAGAAACTGCCCGCAAGAGAAGATCATCATGAAGTGGCTGATCCTCGCCCTGGTTTGAGAAGTTAAAGTTTAAACCTAGGGCCTAGCTGTTTATTTCAGGAGCCATTATCATGGTTGCATAGAAAAAGAGGAATATTTATTTTAATGTGAATGGAAGCTGTTCATGTGTGTACTGTAATCTCTGTTTTGGAAATAAAACACTAAAGGCAGCTCATGCAGCACCAAGTAAAGGATATGTAGGATACGTGTGCTTGTGTGCAGTTCATAAACACAGCTGCTTTGGACATACCCATGCCATTGCAGCTCCCACCAACAGCTTTTTTTGGTTGGAGAACACAAGCAGAGAGCAATTGTGCTCCAGGCAAAGTATATATAGCTATTTTAAATGAATCACGTAGAGTAAGACTGTTTGAAGGATCAAGGAGGGGGAGACCGTTAACTCAGATGGGATTCAGCACTTTCAGGAAGAGTTTTAGCTGACATGGTGCTTGAGAGAGCAGCAGGCTTTGCTGACCAGGAGAAGCTCCTGGCAGTCCCATATTCATGTTTATTAAATTCTGTGGTACGGTTTGTTGAGGGAAATAGCTTGTGTCTGGGGCAGAAGTGCAGGAACCAGGGTGATAAATTGTCCTGGGGTTGGGACCGGTCACTTCTCTCTGGTTTTGCCATGGGTAAAGCAGAGCCCACAGGAGACTTGGAAATTCAGGGTGATGGCGATGTCTTTGGAAAGGTTTCTGTCCCCTGATGGCTCTGGGGATGGAGTCTGCAGGCAGGAGAGGTCTTTGGGACATGGAGGAGGCTGGATCCCACTTTAGAGCCCATTTATAATCCTGCGAAATGCTCTGTTGAGAGCTACTGGGTTTTGGGAGACGGTGCCCACCTCTGCTGTGGCTGTTGGTTTAACAGGATTTGTTGGCTTCTGTTGAAGGTGCTTAAGTTCTCCGGGTGGCCAAGACACTGCTGCTCTCGGCTCATCTCCTTTGCTGGTTTTGCCCCACCGCAGTGTCCCGGGAAAGGGCGGAGTTGGCCATGGGATGCAAAGGGGATCCGTAGTCATCCGGGAGAGACGGGGTTCCCTGGGCTGGAGCTGTTTGCGTGTGGGCTGGGCGATCGCACCAACGCAGGAAAGAAACTGCAAGGAAAGAAGGAGAAATGCCAGAGTTTAGCTCCGAGGAGAAGTCCTGCCTCGGAGCGGCGTGGGTGCGTGCTGCTGGCCGAGACCCACTCCACACAAGGACGTGGGATCTCTGATGTTAGAAACCACAAATCCTTGATTCCTGTTAGACTGAATGCCTCAGCAAACAAGTGCTGTCTGATTTTGGGTCAAGAAGTGCCAAAAGCAGAATGTGTTTGTGTGTGCTGTAGAGGGCACCTTATTCCTTTGTCTTTTGGCAAGGCTGATTCCCCGTGGGGACCTGCAGATAACACTCGGTATATTGACGTTTTGATAACTGCTCTTTGCTTTCAGCCAGACTTCGCTTTTTATCCAATCTTAATAAGTTGATCTTTCTATCAATCCTGCTAGCAAACAAGATAATTGCTTTATTATAGTCTCAATATCCAGCAAAGGACACACACTCCCCGGTGCTCTCGAGGGAACCAAATCCATGCAGAGCGTTGACATGGGATGAGCGCAGCGATAGCGGTGCCGGGCTATCGGCGGATGATGGAGAGCACGATTTCCCCGCTGTGAAGAGCCAAGCTGCTCGGAGCAGGGATGCAAGCCAGGCCGGAGGAGGTCTAGAAAATATTTAGGTTATAACTGAAAACATTTTGGTCCATTTGCTAGAAAATGTTTAGGTTATAACGAAAAATGTTTTGGTCTGTTTGCTATAAAATATTTATGTTGTGATCAAAAACATTTTGGTCCATTTGCTAGAAAATATTTGGGTTATAACTAAAAGCATTTTGGTCTGTTTCAGTGTTTGTTGGCAGTTTGGGAGGCCTGTGTTTGTGGTTCTCTGTTTTTTCACAGAAAAACAAGGAATTTCCTGACTTTCTGGGCTGGTGCGAGGACCCAGTGGGTGGGTTAAACCCTGAGGCCTTTCTCCACGGGTGGGTTAAACCTCCCCATGCGGGGAGGCACAGCACCTGCCTTTTAAACCAGGATGGAAAGGGGATCAGTTGCTCCACAAAATAAAAAAAAAAAAAAGGGGGGTGGAAAATATGTGTTGTGGTTTGGGCCTGGTTGTCAGCCAACCACCATGCAGCTGCTCTCTCTCCCTTCTCCTCCGGCAATGAGAAGGGACAGAGAGCCAGGCTTGGGGTTCGAGATAGGACTGGGATGGGGGAGAATCCCCCTTTATGGTCACGAGCAAAAGGCAGACTCCTTAGGGGAAGAAAAAAAGAACATACATTTCTTACAGACACTAACAACACATAACAGAGTAGGACAGTGAGAAGCATTGCCACATCTTGAGAACACCTTCCCCCCACCCCTCCCTTTTCCCGGGCTCAGCTCTGCTCCCGATATCTCTACCTCCTCCCCCAGGGGCGCAGGGGCAGGGAATGGGGGTGCAGTCAGTGCTGCCGCTTCCCTTATCTTCGGTGAGGGGAGTTTCTGGAACTTGTTCCCCCTGCTCCATCGTGGTCCCCCTCTCACAGGAGACAGTCCTCCACAAACTTTCTCCAACGTGAGTTCCACGGGCCGCAGCGTTCCCCACACTGCTCCGTCATTCATCACTAACTTTCTCCAACTGGATTCCCTCCCACGGCTGCAGCCCTTCCCGAGCTGCTCCGGTGTGGGACTCCCCCGCATGCTGCAATCCTCCCAGTGCTGAACTACAGCACCGGGGCTGCCTTTTCCCACAAGACCCCAGCCTTCTTCGGGCACAGCACCTTGATCAATCAGGCGGAAGCCACAGGCCATGAATCAATGTCTGCTCCACCATAGATCTCCATGGGTGGCAGGGGGGGGCCGCCCTGCTGTCTCACCACAGGATACAGGGGGGTCTCTGCTCCGGCACACCTCCCCCCTCCTTTCTTCCTCTGTTCCTCCACTGACCTTGGTGTTCACGCAGCTGCAGCAACTCCTCCTCACAAGTCCCACTGCACAACACCACGTCCCTTCTTAAATACGTTATCGCAGAGGTGCAGCTGATTGCCTTGATTTCCCAAACAGAAGTGGAGCTGACTTGGAACTGGGGAAGCTTCGAGAAGCTTCTCACAGGGGGCCACCCCTATAGCCCCCTCCCCTGCCACCAAAAAACTCCACCACTCAACCCAGGACATATGTGATTTCTGTCCAAAATAGTACGAATGCAGAAGCAGGATTGAGGTGTATGACACATGGAAATGAACTGTACTTGGAGGAGAGGATAGTGAAGGACAGGGAGGCTGATGAAGAGGTGAAGGACAGACCAGAAGGCAGAACAGTGCTGGAAACCACCTACGAGAAAACAAGAGAAGAAACCTCATGGGCTCACCGAGCCCCCGGGACGAGGAGCAGAGCAGCCGGCTCCAGCTCTTTGCGCCGTGCCCTGGAGAAGCCTCGATGCCAGCAGCCGTCCCTCCCTCCTCCGTGGCAGAGGGGCCCTGCGGGCGGGCGGAAGAACGGCGGACAAAAGTCCAGCGGGTTTCCATCCCGTACCAAGAGCCGCGAGCACCTTTGTTTCGGGAAAAGGTTTGGAAAGGTTTTGACGAACACGGATAGTGCCTCACCACGGTGACGTTTGGGTCACTCCCCTCTGCTGTGATAAGAGCTGGCCCCTTATCGGATGGTAACGCTTTGACCTTGCTATCGAAGACGCGTGTTGCTCTATTTTCACCTGAGCGCCTCGCTAAGGACACAAACTCCTCAAAATCCACGTGGTCCAAAATACAAAGAAACCCTTGAAGCTGGGGGTGTGCGTGGTGGTAATGGAAAACGGGGGTCAGCAGATAAGGGCGGAGGGGGGTCACTGGTTCCCAGTATAAAACTGGGGAGACTGGGCAGCTCAGCCCATCTGCTGTGGTCTCCAAGAGGGTGTGCGTGGAGCAGTGGATAACTCCTGCACCATGAAGTGGCTCATCCTGGCCCTGGTGTGTCTCCAGCTCTCGGAGGGGCTGGTGAGGTGGGTGTCCTGCAGCAGCCGCTGTGGCAGAAAGGGCGGGGAGGGGGGTAGGTAACAGAGCCCGGCTGCAGCTGTAACCTGCACGGGCTGCACTGTGTCCCCGAGGATGCTGACCAGGTCTAACCAGGTGTGACTCTGGTCTCCTGCACCTCCACAGACCATCGTGGTCCCAGCCCAGGCTGCATCCCTCGCTGGGGATGTGCAAGGCAGCTGAGAGGAGGGCTCCCATTGTGGCAGGCTTCAAAGGACCCCAGAGAACTGCTGATTTGAAAATGCTCAAATCTTCTGATTTCCTGCTGTGTTTTGGTGGTGGTTTTTTTTTTGGGGTTGTTTTTGTTTTTTTTTTTTTTAACCTCTGTGCAGAGTCAAACTGAAGAAAGCCAAGTCTATACGGGAGAAAATGAGGGAGGCTGGAGTGCTAGAGGACTACCTGAAAAAAATTAAATATGATCCAGTTAAGAAATACCGCTTCAGTGATGACTATGTTGTGTATGAGCCAATAACCAGCCATCTGGATGTGAGTACCCCAGGTTCCCATCCCTCTGCCTGTCCACATACCACGCTCCCCTTTTTCTCCTCCTTCCCAGCTGCCAGAGCAATCTGTTCACCCCTGAGCATCCAGGAGTGAGAGATTGCTTTGTTTCCCCCTCTCTTTTTTAATCTTCTAATCTAGACTTTAAAAAAGTTCCCCCCCCCCCACCATGAAAAGGGATGCTTTTCTGTATGTCACGAAAGACATAACAAAATAAATATTTAATATTACATCTTTTGGGAGAAAAGGCAGGGTGAAAGTTCAGTCTGTTCCTGCCTACTTTGATATTTGCAAGAGGGAGCCTGGCATTCCCGACACCCTGCAAAGCACAGGGATGCCGGCGCAGGGCTGGGAGGCAAAATCCTGGTCTGTCCCTGACCCTGTAGGCAACAGAGATACCCCATCTCTCACCTGCAGTCCTCTTACTTCGGGGAGATCAGCATCGGGACCCCCCCCCAAAACTTCTTGGTGCTCTTCGACACCGGCTCCTCCAACCTGTGGGTGCCCTCCATCTACTGCCAGACGCCGGCGTGCCGTGAGTGCCGCAGCCGCGTTGCACAGAGCTGCCCCAGCAGCTCAGCGGAGCCCCATCGCACGGGGGGCGGGGGGGGGGAATCGTGATGCCAGACCAAAAATGATCCTGGCACCCTGCTCTGGGGTAGCTTCTCCTTGGTGCCAGCTTGGGAAATAGAGAGCCCTGTGTCCTTATGTGCCTGGCTAATGACGGTGGCCAAATCGCTACGGCCATCGTTGGGTGTCCCCAGGGTGCAGAAATCTCACTGGTTGTACCTGGTATTTTGTGGCTGGGTGGAGAGAAGAGCAAAGCTGTGAATTGTGGAGTTGATGTCCCGCTCCCTGGCAGAGCTCATCCCGTGTAACTCGCTGCTGGTGAGAGCGCGACGGGGATTTAACTGCCGGTGGCTTTGCTCGCACTGGGCGGCCGGTGTGGTTGCGATCACGCCAGCTGCTCCCTGGAGAGGGATGCAGGCAAAACTGGGATGCAAACCCTGCTTTTGAGATAACTGCAAGGCAGAGGAACAGCCTGTTCTGCTCTTCAGGACTTGGTCTCTGCCGGCAAAGCCGCTTTCCCAGACGTTAGCCCGGCAAAGCAACCGACAGTGAAATCCCACCGCAGCCAGGCAAGTGTGTGCCCAGGAGCTTTGCCCTCTTCTCTCTCATGCAGTCAATCACACGATGTTTGAGCCCAGTGAGTCCTCCACCTTCACCTCCAACGGCCAGTCCTACACCCTCTCCTATGGCAGCGGCACGCTCACGGTGGTGCTGGGCTACGACACGCTGACGGTGAGTGCACCCCGCACCGTCCTTGTCTTCCTGAGTGCTGTGTCCCCAGCACCAGCTGGGTGCCCTGGTGGAAGGAGCCTGGGCGACCACCTAAGGGCAGGTTTCACATCTTGTGTAGCCAAGACTTGGGAAAATCAGGGCCTGAGATGGGCAAAAGTGATATGAAGTGGTTATTGCCACCGTCAGTTACCTAGCTGGGTTTTTACTTCATTTTAACCCAATTCCTGCTAATTTTCCCAGCTGCCTGGTGCTGTTCTCACCAGCTATGACCTTGCAGTGTGCTCTTTGGGCTTTCAGAGCATCGGTCATCCCATCCTATGGCTGCTTGGCTTTGCCTAAGCCTGCAGGGTGACCTGGCATCCCCCTTCCCCTCCAGATCCAGAGCATCGTGGTCACAAACCAGGAGTTCGGGCTCAGTGAGAATGAGCCAACGCAGCCTTTCTACTATGCCGATTTTGATGGGATCCTGGGAATGGCCTACCCCTCGCTGGCGGTGGGAGGGACGCCCACCGTGCTGCAGGGCATGCTGCAGCAGAACCAGCTCACCCAGCCCATCTTCAGCTTCTACTTCTCTCGGTAAAAATCTGCCGGGGCCCTCTGCACATCCTATGTGCACCGGTGTCCTTCTGTCTGTCCCCATCCAGGTTCCTTGTGAATTTGTCCCTCACTAGCCCATGCATATTGCACTGATTTACCAATCTCTGCTGCTGTAACTCTGTGTTTCTGCAGCCAACCCACCTATGACTATGGAGGAGAGCTCATTCTCGGAGGAGTTGACTCTCAGCTCTTCTATGGGGACGTTATGTGGGCACCGGTGACCCAGGAGCTTTACTGGCAGGTCGCGCTTAATGAGTGAGTTGTGTTTGTACCTAATGCACATCAGCCACCCAGGCAGCTCAGGTAATGAGGGTGGCAGAGCTGTCCTCCAGATGAAGCTGCAGCTATTGCGGCAGGTGTGGGCTCGAGGCAGGTGTTAGGCACTGCATTTCAGAGCATCCCGGATTTATAGATCCAGCCAAGACAGGTTTAGTTGCCAGTGGGTGCTTAAAGTGACGTCCTTCTCCCTGTTCTCCTCCCAGGTTTGCTATCGGACAGTCAGCGACTGGCTGGTGCAGCCAGGGCTGCCAGGCCATCGTGGACACGGGGACGTTCCTGCTGACGGTGCCCCAGGAGTACTTCAACAGCTTCCTTCAGGCCATGGGTGCCCAGGTGACCAGCGACGGGGTAAGTGCAGGGGGTGCTTTGGAGGTGTGTGGAGGCTCACAAGTGAGCCAGAAGCCGTGGGCATGACCAAGTCCCACAGAATTCATCTACAGAACGTGGTACTGCAGGTGTGTCAGGGAAGGATGAGGTGACGTGGCACTGTCAGGGGATAAAGTGTATGTTCCCCCTGCATATGAGGGTACCTCTCCTCTCACAGCGGGTGCTGTTCCAGCCATAACCTCCTCTTCACCCTCTCTCCGCAGTATGCAGTTGACTGCAACGAGGTCCAGAACATGCCCACCATCACCTTCGTCATCAATGGAGCTCAGCTCCCACTCTCCCCCTCCGCCTACGTCATGGAGGTATGTGTTAGCTGAGCAGCTTCATCCCGCTGAGTCCTTGAGGGCCAGGAAAGGACCCGGTGCTTCTTGACAAGTAGCGATGCTCTCCTTACCTGGGGGGGCAGACCCCACCTCCCTGCAGCCCAGGGTCCTGGGGGCTTGTTTGAGGCTCTGACTCCCCGTTATTCCCCCCTTACAGAACAACGGCTACTGCACTCTTGGGATTGAGGTCACCTACGTGCCTTCCCAGAATGGGCAGCCGCTCTGGATCTTGGGTGACGTTTTCCTCAAGGAGTATTACACCATCTTTGACATGGCTAACAACCGCATTGGCTTTGCCTCGTCGGCGTAGAAGAGTGGAGCAGCAAAATCCAGCCCCTGTCCTGGCCAAACACGCTTTATCCAGCATTGCTTGAGTGCTACAGGGTTCCTATGGACCTTTATGTTCCTTTACGTGCCTGCATGCCTCCCTGTGCCTCTGGGATTTCTGTGTATGCGTGTTCTCACAGTCTCCTGTTACAAATAAACCCCAACATCCCAAATCATCTCTGACCTTCTGAGTTTGTTGAGTGATGACTGAGCGCAGACTGGTGGGTTGCGTGTCTCAGACACTTTCTCCAGCAAGATAAGCACCATGATATACTCCTAGGCAGATTTCTGCAGAGTCAGCACAGGGAAAGCAGTGGGGGAAGCGGCCCCTGGGCTGCTTCAAATCTAAAGTTGATGTATTTATGATTCTTGCAAAGTTGATGTATTTGTTTCTTGCAAAGGGGTATGACATGCTGTCAACTCCTAGTGGCTATGGGACTGAGTGTCAGCCTTTATCTGTACTGAACTACTGAGCTTGGGGGTGGCCCTGATGAAGGCAGCAGGCTCCGAGCTGCAGCTCAGCTCCCAGCCCCGTGGGTGCAGGGACGGGAGTGACCTGTCCTTCCCCAGGCTGGTGCCTGGGGTAGCTCTTGCAGACGGTGCAGCCCAGTTTCCGAGCCCTTGGCCGTGAAGACGTCCCACAGCCCAGCCCCATCCCCTCTGCAAGGCCTAGGCGGCTGAGCTGGGGGCTGCAGACTTTGTGTGTTGGGAAGCGGGCAGCCGCCATCCCCCAAATCCCAGCTGCTGCCTCTGGGCCTGGCTGCACCCCAGACTGGATGTCAAGTGCCCACCAAAGCCGCTCCATCGCTCCCCTCCTCAGCTGGGCGGGAGAGAAAATATAACAAAAGGCTTGTGGGTCAAGATAAGGACAGGGAGAGATCATTTACCAGTTGCTGTCATGGGCAAAACAGTCTTGACTCAGGGAAATTAGTTTAGTTTATTACCAATCGAATCAGAGAAGGGTAATGAGAAATAAAAAATAAATCTTGAAATACCTTCACCCCACCCTTCTCTTCTTCCCAGGCTCATCTTCACTCCTGATTTTCTCTACCTCCTCCCCCGAGCGGCACAGGGGGCAGGAGATGGGGGTTGTGGTCAGTTTGTCATCCATTTTTTCTACTGCTCCTTCCTCCTCAGCGGGAGGACTCCTCAAACTCTTCCCCTGCTCCAGCGTGGGGTCCTTCCCACGGGTGACAGTCCTACATGAACTCTGACATGGGTCCTTCCCATGGGCTGTAGCTCTGCATGAAGTGCTCCAGCGTGGGCTTCCCACAGGGTCAAAGCCTCTTTCGGGCATCCCCCTGCTCTTGCGTGGGGTCCTCCACCGGCTGCAGCTGGGTCTCTGCTCCCCCGTGGACCTCCATGCGTGGAGGGAACAGCCTGCCTCACCATGGTCTTCACCACAGGCTGCAGGGGAATCTCAGCTCCAACTCCTGGAACACCTTCTCCCCTCCTTCACCGGCCTGAGTGTCTGCAGAGTTGTTACTCTCACATATTCTCACTCCTTTCTCCTGCTGCAATTGTGCAGGTTTGGGTTTTTTTTCCCACCCCCTTCTTAAATACCTTATCCCAGAGGCACTACCACCATTGCTGATGCAATGGGTCCATCTTGGACCTGCCGTTGGCTCTCAGACACAGGGGAAGCTTCTAGCAACTTCTCACAGAAGCCACCCCTGTACCCCCCTTGCTACCAAAACCTCGCCACGCAAACCCAATATCCCCTCTTCTGTCCTCCTTGAGGGACAAGCCCAGAATGAGTGTCCTGAGCCTGACTCCTGCGTGGGCTTTGCTTTGCAGGTGAGAAGCGCCATGTGCCAGGTTGTGGTGCAGGGGATCAGGACACCAAAAGGTCACTGGGATTGGTTTTAAACACCAACCACAGCCCTGGGGTCAGGAGTTCCCCAAGGGATTCCCCAAAAAGCCAGTTCTCTGCGCCATCAGGCACCGGTGCGTGTCTGGAAATGCCATGTGAGTCCTTAACAGTGTGGAACAGCTTCATCCTTCTCCAGCTGCTGCTGGAGTCGCTTCAGGGAGATGCTCAGCAGCGCCTGCTCAGGCAAAAACAGAGTTAGCCCGTGGCAGTGGACATTGCTTTGCTTGCAGTTTGTGGTGGCCCTGGAGTGACCACAGGGACGTGCTGTCCTGTCTCTTGCTGCTGCTGGTACTTGCAGGGCTGAACCGGTTGCTCCGACCAGTTGAGGATAAAGCCATGGGGCCGGTTGGTCCCCACCTCCATCCCTCTTGCTGGGCACCAGGAAACCCCCTCAGAGCTGCATGTGGGAAGACACTAATCTTCCTCACAGCTGGGTAACGTTTAACGAAGTCCTGTGATTAGGTCAAAGAGGGAGTATGAGGCCAGGTTAAGTTATCCATGACATCCAGATGACTCCTAAATCCTGAAGCAGGGCTATTCAGTCGGGTAAAACAACAGCTAGAGTATTGGGAATTGTGGGTTTTGGCCAGAGAGGATGGGGAATAACTTGGCTGGGGGGAGACTGGGGTAACACCACTCTTTCCTGGGACCCAAACTCATTTCTTAGAAGCTCTGTATCACTGGAGCTCATTATCAGATATATTAATAGCTCTGTCATTTCACCAGAGAAAGGACACAGACTCTTCTGTGCTTTGTGTCAAAATATTGACACAGGCTGAGCGCAGCGAGATGATTAGCTAGTTATGGATAGGAGGGAAGGGCACTTCTCCCCTGTGAAATGGGGAGGTTTCTGAGAGCCGAAGCTGCTCTGTCAGCAGCGGTGGCAGGAAGGGACCGGCGAAGGCTGACCGTGGTCCTGCTGGTCTTTGCTCTTCCCTTTGCTCCCTGCAAAGGCAGATCCATCAGGATGCGATGGAGGAGGAAGGTTTCCTGAGGGGTTTCCTGAGCTGCCACAGTCTCAGAGCTCCGGTCCAAAGCTGACAGCTCAGACGGGAGCAGCAAGGCTCTGCTGGTGTCTCTTCCCAGTTAGCGGGGACTGGGGAATCTGCGAGTGCCCTACAGCAAAGGACAGCAGGGCTGCTTCTGCCCAACCCTGGAGCACAAGTATCATAAATTTCCATTTGCTATAACAGGTGTGTTTTGCCTTTGTTTTCTGGAAAGATCAAGCTGGTGCTGAAAGCAAGGGAAAATACTTTAACTTCTTGATAACAACAGAACTTTGCTTTTTCTCGGACGTCACATATTTGGTCTCGGTATCAGAGGTACTGGCCAATCTGTTCATGCCTGAACAGTGGGTTTAAGGCATAATCAGTGCGGCTGTGGTGATAAACACACCACAAGCGTTGGTGTTGGGTGGGTGCAGCGATAGAGGAAAGGGGTGTCTGGGGCGAGGGGCTGGGCTCGGCTCCTGGCTATATACACCCTGCCCTGGCCGAGGCAGTGCAGGAGCTGCCATGGAGCCACCAACACCCGGGACCATGCGGTGGCTGGTGCTGGCTCTGCTCTGCCTCCAGCTCGGGGAGGGGGTGGTGAGGTGAGCCCTGGGGCTGGGATGGGTGCGAGGGTGCAAGGACCGGCTGCGGAGCGGGGCTCACCCTCAGCACATTGGGGTGCAGACGTGGACGGGGCCACCCGGCCACTCAGCATCTCGCTGCCATCTCCGTCTCATGCAGGATCCCCCTGAAGAAAGGCAGGTCCCTGGGGGAGGTGATGAGAGAGAACGGGGTGCCGGAGAGCTTCCTGAAGGACCTCAAAGGGGACCCTGGTAGGAAATACCTGCTCAGTAACGCTGTGGCTTACGAACCGCTAACGAACTACCTGAATGTAAGTGTCAAAGTTTCTCCTCCCTCCTCTGAGCCACCTGGCTCTGGTTTTTGGGGATGTCCTCCTCCTTTCCCGGCTGCCTGCAGGAAGCTCTGCAGTGGCTGGCTCAGCTCCGTCCCCACGCACAAGTCGAGGGGCTGCGCTGGGCACGGGCAGTTTTGCTGTCTCTGTAGCCCGGCTCCGAGGGATGTCGGGAGACGAAAGCAGGAGGCAGCTCGTCTTATTCTGAGTTGACTTCCCTTCTCAGGAAAAGCAGAGTTTGATGGTTATAGGGCAGATGACTATTTCTGGCCTTGCTGCTGACTTTGTTATGTTGTTGGCAAATCATTGCCCCTTTCTGTGCTTTAGCTGCCCTGGATGCACTCACGGACCATGAGCCCTTCCTACAACCCCTTAGCAGTTTGGCTTTCTCAGCTAGCAGAGGGCAGAACGCTGAAAACTCTCTTTCAAAAGACCAGGCAGAAACAGAAATCCTCCCATGCTTTTGTTCACAGTCCTTCTACTTCGGGGAGATCAGCATCGGGACCCCCCCCCAGAATTTCCTGGTGCTCTTTGACACCGGCTCTGCCAACCTGTGGGTGCCCTCCACTTACTGCCAGACTCCAGCCTGCGGTGAGCATCCCTCGGGGGACACAGCAGTGCCGGGGGGCTGGGGCTCTCCCCCCATCGGACTTCCTGTGAACACTGTGGGCTGGAGCTATGACAGGGAAATCAGTGAGAGCCGATGGGGTTTGGTGTTTGCTCTCTGCTCGGTGACACCGACGGGGCTGGTTTTGGGTGGCCCCTTCCCTGTGAAGCCCCTTGCTGGGGATTTCTGCCCGCGTGGGGACAGGGATGCTGAACCGAGGGCAGGATGCGACCTGGGGGCTGTGACTTTCTCTCCGTGCAGAGAATCATGCCATGTTCAACTACAGCCTGTCGTCCACCTTCTCGGATATCGGTGTGACCTACACCCTGCGCTACGGGTTCGGTGACCTGTCGGTGGTGTTAGGGTACGACACCGTGACAGTAAGTGACTTCTGATGTGGGGGTGCGTTGCTGCAATCAGGGTAAGAAGTGATTGCGGTTATGATCAGTCCAATTCAGTTAAAAATTTAGGGGGTAGCTGAAAGTACCTTCTTATTTTGGATATTAGCGTCTGAATCTCCCATGTAGATTTTACGGTGGATCAGCATAAATTTACTCAGAGACTGGGATCTGCAAACGAACTCAGTCCGAGTCCTCTGGGCTTTTCATCACTGGTTTGGGCTAAGGGATATATATCTATGGCTGTAAGTGTTTGCTTTTTACACTAATGGCTGAGCTTTGTCATTACAGGACATAAGAAATGTTCTGTTGTGAGACCAACATGCAGCAAAAGTGTGATTTTAAACTAATTTAAATGAGGCAAACCATCTTTGTGGTATTTTTATGAAATAATAAGGGTGATGGAACAAAGGCTGCTGCCGACTCCATCTCCCATCTGCAATGAGGAAGAGCTCAGCACCTCTCAGTGCAGATTTACCTTCGTGACCTTCCTGGCCACCCCTGTCTCTCCCCAGAAACTCCCTGGTGGGATGCTGCTGTCAAGGGGGATGTCAAAAACACTGACATCTCCCAGCATCTTTCCTCTCCCTCTAGATCCAGAACATTGTCGTCAAGAACCAGGAGTTCGGCCTGAGCCTGGATGAGCCCAGCAGCCCCTTTTACTACCTGGACTTCGATGGGATTTTGGGCATGTCCTACCCAGGCGTTGGCATCAGCGGTTACAACACGCTGATGCAGAACATGCAGCAGCAGAACCAACTCACGGAGCCCATCTTCAGCTTCTATTACTCACGGTGAGACCTCTTGACAGGGGATCTCTGTCTTGCATAGACACAGCCTGGAGCCATCCCTTTCCTCATTCCCGCTCCATCCACACCTTCTCCCCACACCCCTGCTTATTACACTGCTTCCTACTGAGCAGCCTGCCCGATTTGGGGTTTAATTTTGTGTCTTTACAGCAACCCAACATACAATTATGGTGGGGAAGTCATCCTCGGAGGGGTTGACCCCCAGCTGTACACTGGGGACGTTTTATGGGCTCCTGTGGTCCAGGAATTGTACTGGAAGATCAGTATCGAGGAGTAAGTGCTGCATCGTGGCTCGGAGTGGGTCTTGAGGTGGGGGAGCCTTTTCTGATGCGTTTTCTGTTGCCCTCTCCAGGTTCTCCATCGGGCCGTCAACCACCGGCTGGTGCAGCCAAGGCTGTCACGGCATCGTGGACACCGGGACGTTCCTGCTGACCATCCCAGGACAATTCATGTCAGCTTTCCTGCAGGCGCTGGGTGCAGAGGAGAGTGACGACGGGGTAGGTGGGAAGGATGCCCTGCACACACGAGGGGCCGATGCCGTGGGACAAGGACACATCTGGGTGGTAACGCTGAGCTATAAAGGGCTCGCGGCACCTGTGGAGAAAAACATCCCACCTAAAACAACACTGCAGTCGTGTGTCTCCCCTTGCAGTGGTGTAAAACAAAAATAATTCTTCCAAACATGATAAACCTGGGTCAGCACAGCCCTGCCACAGTCAGAGCTGTGCTGACCCTTAGGGAGCATGGCCGTGGTTATGGCCAGAGGAGGGACGGTGTCCAGCCCTGGGGTCCTGATCCCTCTGCCTCTCTTTGCTTCTTTTGCAGTACTCCGTCGACTGCAGCAGCATCCCAAGCATGCCCACCCTCTACTTTGCCATCAGTGGAGCCCAGTTATCGCTGCCTCCCTCTGTCTATGTCTTAAATGTAGGTGTAATTTTATCATTCCCAAATTGTATTTGCCATCACAGGGCAGTTTTGCCCAGGAGAAAGTCAGAGTTTCTTTTCAAACACAGGGGCTTCCAGCAGCCTGAGTGCTGTATTTCCCAGCACCTGATTCCCTGGTGCTTTTCCATGCCTGTATGTGTCTGTAAGGAGAGTCTAATCCTGCTCCCAGCCAAATCAGCCATGAAGGCATGGGCAGCAGAAAACCCCCGCTCTCCTCACTGGCACTGAAATTTGCTTCTTTTCCCCTGGCAGAACGACGGTGTCTGCACCGTTGCGGTTGAGAGCACATACGTGTCCTCTGACAGTGGCCAGCCGCTCTGGATCCTCGGCAACATCTTCCTCCGGCAGTATTACTCCATCTTCGACATGGCCAACAACAGAGTTGGCTTTGCCCTGTCTGCCTAGGGATGCTGAGCATCGCCCGTGGGATAATTTGTCGCTGAATCACCTTATCTTCCCTTGGACCCATGTATGGTGATGAGAAGTCTCCAACTCTCCTGGAATGAATAAAGGGCTGCAAATCTGACCGCCTCGTGTCTCATCTGGCTGTGGCTGAGCAGGATCTGGCACAGCTCTTCTTAATAAAACAACGAAGTCTGAGTTCATGCTTGAGGTTTTCAGGTGCTGCCTGGGCTTTCAGATGTGCATGGAGCCTTTGAATTTGCAGCAGTGAAAAGTTTGGGGTCACCTTTTTGATTTGGATCTGGATCCCTGCTTGAGCTGGCTGGGAAACTGGGATGACTGGGAGAAATTCAGGCTGCACCATGTGCTCAGCTGTAGCTCGGGGACCCCAGGGCTGAGCTGGTGAGGTCGCTGGAGGCTTCAGAAACCAGTTTGGAGCAGGATGTGCAGAGACAAGGAGCAACATGTGAACAGCTCTCGGTTCATTAGGTTTGGGGGAATTGCCCACACGTATTTGCAAATAAATTAGGGATTAAGAAGTGTCATGCAAGGACTCTCAGGCTGAGGAAAACGCACTGCTGTTGTTCTTGAGAAGTAAATCTCTTCATTGCTGGAGCCTTGAAGGGTGGGCGATGAGAAAGAAGAGGGTGGCGTGCCTGCGATGTGACCAAAGCTTGGGGTGTCTGGATCCCCCTCCAAGAGCAGCTGCTGGATGCAGTGTCAGACAGATCAGGCCAGTGCTGGGTGCCCGGAGCAGACCCAAGAGGCTGGTGCTGAGGTCCAGCACGGGGTGATGCACGGGAGATGCAGCGCTGAAGGGCCCCGTTGCCTGTTGTCTGACACCCATCTCCCGGTCAGATGACAGTCACCCCGCTGGAGCATGTGACCGCCCGTTAAATCTGCTGTTTTCAGCCCAATCTGCCCCGGCGGGTCCTGCAGAGCGGGGACCTCCCAGCCACCGAGAGGGAAACAGGGGGGTCACACTGTGCCCTGGGGACTCGGGGCTTGCTGGGGTCCCCACCGCTCCCTCTCGCTGTCACCCCCAGTCCCTGGAGTGTTCACGTCGCACTAAAAGGTCCATGCTCCCCGCACAGCTCCCCCACCACCACTGCCAGACCCCGAGGGTCCCGTCTGGATGGGGCCAACCCCCCCCCCCCCATGCCTCAAGCCGGCACACGCTGCCACTGCTCCCCGCCACCCTGCACATCCCCAGGCCGCTGCTGACCCGCCATGGCTGCAACAAGCCTCTGGCACCAGTGCAAGGAGCCGTGTGACCCTGGTGCAAGGAGCCGCACGACTCGCGTGCAAGGGGCTGCGTGACCCCGGTGCAAGGAGCAACACAACACCTGTGCAAGGAACTGCGTGATCCTGGTGCAAGGAGCAACACGACACCTGTGCAAGGAACTACGTGATCCTGGTGCAAGAAGCCGCACAACTCCCGTGCAAGGGGCTGCGTGATCCTGGTGCAAGGAGCAACACAACACCTGTGCAAGGAACCATGTAACTCTGGTGCAAGGAGCTGCACACCGTGCAAGGGGCTGTGTGATCCTGGTGCAAGAAGCTGCACAACTCCCGTGCAAGGAACTGCGTGGTCCTGGTGCAAGAAGCTGTATGACTCCTGTGCAAGGGGCTGCATGACCCTGGTGCAAGGAGCAACACAACACCTGTGCAAGGAACCATGTAACTCTGGTGCAAGGAGCTGCACACCGTGCAAGGGGCTGTGTGATCCTGGTGCAAGAAGCCGCACTACTCCCGTGCAAGGAACTGCGTGATCCTGGTGCAAGAAGCTGTACGACTCCTGTGCAAGGGGCTGCATGACCCTGGTGCAAGGAGCTGCACAACAGTGTGCAAGGGGCTGCATGACAACAGTGCAAGGAGCTGCACAACGCCTGTGCAAGGAACCCTGTGACTCTGGTGCAAGGAGCTGCATGACCCTGGTGCAAGGAGCTGCACAACACTGTGCAAGGAGCTGTGTGATCCTGGTGCAAGAAGCCGCACTACTCCCGTGCAAGGGGCTGTGTGATCCTGGTGCAAGGAGGTGCATGACTCCAGTGCCAGGAGCTGCATGACCCTGGTGCAAGGAGGTGCATCACAACGTGCAAGGAGCTGTATGATCCTGGTGCAAGGAGCTGCACAAGGCCCGTGCAAGGGGCTGCACGATGCCGGCCCAGCCCTGCCTTCACCCCCCGCCCCGGCGCCCACCCTCTTGGCCCTCTCCGGGGATGGTAAAACCCGTTTTTGGGGGAGGAAATCCCCTAAACCCAAACTCCCGCCGTGGCCCGGGGGGGGGGGGGACGGACTACAAGTCCCGGCAGGCGCGGGGAGCCCTGCCCGGCTCCGGACTACAGCTCCCGGCGTGCTGCGGGGCGGAGCGGGCCGCGCCGTGCCGAGCCGAGCTGTGCCGAGTCTTGCCGAGCCGGGCCGGGCCCTCCCTCGGCGCCGGAGCTGCGGGGCCGGGCCGAGCGGAGCCGAACCGGGCCGAGCGGAGCCGAACAGAGCCGAACCGAGCCACTTCGTTTCCCGCGGCGTTCCCCTCTCCCCCCGGTGAGTGCAGCGGGGCGGGGGGTCCCGGGGGCGGGAGGGGTGGGGGGCAGGCAGCCGTGCAGCGGGGCCCCCCTTGGGCCGGAGCCCTTCTGGGGGTGTTGGGTGCTCCCCCGCTCCAGCCCCATCCCCGGGCACTTTGAACTGGTAGCCGCGGGGTTGGTTGTTTTGTTTTGTTTTTTTGTTTAAGTCCTTTGCTGTAAATAATAACGACACAGACACCGCCCGCCCCCGGGGAGCGGCCCCCGCTTGCAGGCGGCTCCAGTCGGGCCGGGGCTATGGCTCTGGCTTGGGGGGGTCGGGGGGTCTCCGGTGGCTTGTCCGGGTGCCCCCTCCGAGAGCCCGAGGGTCCCAGGGGCTGCGAGCCCTCCGGCAGCCGGAGGTGACTTGCCCGGGTCGCCCTTATCAGCGTAACCCCGCTCCCCGCACCCTTTAGCCCATGCGTGGGGAAACTGAGGCACGGATGCTCCAGCCCTCGGTGCTGACAGTCGGAGCGCTGGGTTTGCTTGGGGGTTTCCGTGCACATCCCTCCCCCCCCCGCCCCGGGACGGGGTCCAAATCCCTCCCGGCCTGAGTGGCAGGAGAGTGGGGTCCCCCCTGGTGAGATGGCTGCCCCCCAGCTTTGCTGCTTTGGGGTCTGCAGAAAACAGGGGAAGAGTTGGGGTACCCGGTGTCACACAGTTTTCAGGGGATCACCAAGAGGAGCCCACTTGCTCCTCTGAGGCAGCAGGAGTTTGGCAAGGGTGTAGGAGGGGGCTGCACTCAACTTACAGCCACCGATTAATTATATTCATGAATTAATTGCGAAGCAGGAAGGATTACGACAGCTCTCATGCTCATGTCTTCTAAAGCTTCAATGAGTCAGATGATGGGGAAATTTCCTTAAAAAAAAGAAAAAAAAAAAAAAAGAGAGAGAGAAAAAAAGATGGTGGTTATTGTTGTGTTCTTCTAAGATAAATAAATAAATCCGTGTAAGTCCGGGGACAAGAACTGAGGCCTGTTTCCAGGAATCCCAGCGCTTCTGCGCATTCCCGGCCCTTGGGGAATGGGGGCAGTTTCTGATAATTTTTTTTATGTAACAGCAGAGACTCGAGCAGCCAGTGAAGGTGTGGAGTTTGGGGGATTTTTTACTTTTTCCCACCCCCTCCCTCCCTCCCCTTTAGTTTCCCCTGCCATGTTTGCTTGGCTTCATGCACGGCTGCTCCTCCGGCGGGAGGAGAGAGCGGGGCTGGTTTCTCCCAGCTGTGGGTGCCGGTAGCAGCTGAGCCTGCACTTACCTGCTACTGGGGGATCTGGTGGGGAAAACCATGCCAGGGCCGGTGGGCCTTGGGGAATTGGGCTACTGGAGTTGAGAAACCACCAGATTTAGGGTATCGGGGTAGGTGCCGATGGCCGGGGTGGGCGGTGGCGAGCGGCATGTGCTGGCCCCGCGGTGTGTGGAGGGGAGCCGGCGTGTTTTCCGAGGGATGCTGGTTTTACCTCCCGAGGGATGCTGGTTTTACCTCCTGCCCTTATCAGTAGGAAACCGCTCCGGGGTGGAGCTGGCTGCGACGGGGGCGACTCCAGCATCCGGGTGTTTGGGATGGAGGTTGTGATTCCAGCCAGGTCTTTTATTTCTTTTTCCACGCTCCGCGGCGCCGAGTTTACAGCACGTGTGTTCCCGGCCCCCCCCCCCCCACCCCCGTGCCCTGCCACCGCTTTTGCCGTGACGAGGTTTCCCCGTTTGCCGGTTTTCGGCGGTGCTGCGGGGCAAAGGGAAGAGCCCTGCGGACTCGAGCGACAAAGTGATGAATCATCGGAGCAGGGGGGGGGGACATTTCCAGGGCTGAGGGTGGGGTGACCGTGGAGCCCGAGCAGCACAGCCCTGCGGGGAAAGAAACAGCCGCTGCAGGGAAATGGGGTTGGGGAGGCCACGCTGGGGGTGGTCCCCCTCCAAAAAATACGTGTACTGAGGGTAAAAACACCCTTCTGGCTCCCTGTGACTCTCCCAACGTCGTGGGGTGCTGGGGGGGGTGTGTGTGTGTGTGCGTGCTGGGGTCTTGCTGTTGCGATGGCACGGGGGGATCTCAGCCCTGGATCGGTGTTTCCCCCCCCTTCCCTGGGGGGTGAAGAAGGATGGTGGGGAGGGACGGAGCTCTTGGGGTGCTGGGCATGGCACCTCTGGGTTCCGTCTGTGGGGGCACGTGGAGTTTGTGTTTTGTTTTTTTTTTTTTGGGGGGGGGGGTGGAGACCCTGGAGCTGCACCCACTGAAAGGGAGCTGTTTTGTAACTGCCCTGCACGGGGTTATCCCGCTCCCCGGCAAAGAGGAACCAGGCTGGGGGCGGGGGGGGGGGGGGGAACTGACTTGCCGGGGTTGGCTGAGCACAGCGGTGTCCCCGCTATGGGTGCTGCAGCCTGGCAGTGGCACCGCGCCGCTGGCACGGCCCCCGGGGTGGCATCGTGGCATCCCATGGCAGCCGTTTTGGGACAGCTTCCCTGCCCCTCTCTTTGCTGAGGGAGATTTACAGGGAGCTTCGCAGCTGCCGGACCCAGCACTGGGAGTTTTACAGCCCCGTAAAAGAGCCAGAAGCTGCTCAGAGGTGCGACGCGTGCCTGCCACCGCGCCGTGTCATGCTGGCTCCAGCCCCGGGGGCATCCCGGGGTGGCCTTTCTGCGGTGGCATCATCTCCATGAGCTCGGGGGAGGCAGGAGCTCGGGCTTTGCCAAGCTGTGGTGTGGTCCCAGTGCGGAGGTGGCCAGGGCGCATCCCCCCAGGTCAAGCCACGGTCATTGTCACCCTTGCAGCTGAAGCAGGGGAAGGCGCTGGCAATGTAATGCTTGGAGGGATGAAAAGGATGATGTCTTCGTGAACATGCAGGAAATACATGCTCGGGTTTTTTTGTTTTTTTTTGTTTTTTTGTTTTTTTTTTTCCTTCCCCACTGGTATTTCCAGAAAGCACTTTGACGGTTCCCCCTGATTCACCGCAGGGTTGGCGCTTGGGTTTCGGGCAGAGTGGGTTTTCCTGGTGGATTTGCATGCACAAAGGGTCCCAGGACATGATCAGCCCAGGGACGCAGGAGGCCGAGCCCTGTGCTCGAGGATGAGCTCTGGTTCCTACTCCTCGCCTTCGAGGGAGGCCCACGAGTTGGCTGGAGGGGGGAGGCAGCACATTTCTGAGAGAACTGGGAATGATGAGCGTGACCCTGGCCCTGATGCCGTCCCTGGTCCTGTCCAGCTGGTGCTGACAACCACCTTGGAAGAAGCCATCCCTTTTCCAAATGTCTTCCCCCTCGCTTTCTGCTGAACAAACAGGCAGCAGAGGAAAGCTATAAATATTAAATTGCAAAAACAAAGAGTAAAGAAACCACACGATTTCCCTGCAGGCAGAGGAAGAGTGCAGAGTACGCAAGGGCTGAACCCTGGGGATTTGCGGCGGGGGGGGAGGGGGGGGGGGGGGGATGTGGGGGTGTGGCTGGGTTTGCTGGGCTGGGGTCGCCTGGGGAGGGTTCAAGGTCTTTCAGTGACACATCCCAGCCCCAGGGTCCCTAGCCTTTGCAAGGAGACTGGGCCATCTTATTTTTAACAACTCTTCTAAGAATTGCTCCCGGGGTTTTGTCACCCTTCCTACGAGTGCATTCAACTCCCAACAAACTCCCCACACCCTGCTCTCTGCTTAAATCTCCTCCTTTAGTTAAATCAGTGCAACTTTCTTTCCGGATAAACCTGAAACGCCCAGGCAGCGTGCTTCCCTGATGGTTATATCCCTCTTTTTCCTTCCTATACGTGCATGCTATTAACGAAAGTGATTTACTTCTTGTATAAACAATTGTGGAGCCAAAGGTCCTGGCTCAGCCCCTTCCCCTCCGCACAGCACAGTGTTATTTGGGGGCTCTGTTTTGGTTGTAAATCCTCCTTTCAGCACGCTGCCGAACCTCCAGCGCAGTTTGTGCAGCTGCTGTGGTAGCACCCAGGTGCCAAAATCAGCAGGGCCGAGGGGGGAGCTGACCTGGGCACCTTTGGACCCCCTCCTCATGCCACATCGAGAGCAAGGAGAGGGGCTGTGGGTGCTCCCCGGTGCAGGGTCCAGGCTGGGACATTTTGGTGGCAATGGCTGGTGATGAGCTTGGGGACGGGCAGGGGAGTTTTTAGAGCCTCGGGGACAAGTGAGCGCAGCAGCTCTGGCTTTCGTCCAGGCTGTTTCCTCGAGATTTTTTTGGGGAATCACATGAGGTGGGGAATTTTTAGGGGGGAAATGAGGCGGGGGGCTGGTGGGATGGGGTCTGCAGCCACCTGGCATGCAGGAAGCGTTTCCCTGCTCCTGGCTTGCAAACCCCACGGGAGGAGGGGAGGTTGGGTGCCAGCGGGCTCGGCGCTGGCTGCAGGTCCCACCTTATCTGCAGCAGGGTGGGTGCCACGCTCAGCCCCGCTCCTTGGGGAGTGCTACAGGCTCGGGGGCAGGCGAAGAGCTCGCTTGGAGAAAGCCCAGCCTAGTGGGAAAAACCTCGGGGCTCCTTCATGATCAAACCGGCATAACTCATGCCGGGGAGGCGACAGCACCCGTAAGCGAGGATCTGACCCGGTTGCACCGGCACGGTGCCAGGGCAGGGGCTGGATTGGCAGCGGGGGCTCCCGAGAGTCGAGTTTGACCTTCACGGAGCAGGAAAGCGCCGGGCTGAGCCGGGGGGAAAGGAGGGGAGAGGAGAAACTTCTCCTCTGCGGGTAAGCGGCGATGGCTGGGTGCTCCCCGGGGTGTGAGAGGTGCTGCCGGGGCCACGATGGCAGCGGGGAGATCTCTGGGGCTGTTTGGGAGGACAAGTCACAGGTTGTCCCCAACTTGTTTATTCTTGGGGCCGGGGAACAGCTGCGGCTCCCGTGGATGGGGCGGCCGCGGCACGGTTACATGAAATCTGCCTTCTGAGAAGCCTCCTGGCCGGGCACTGGGGGCTGGACGCGGCGTATTTATAAATATTACCTCCTTGCAGCAGCATGAGCCCATGGCAGGAGGGAGGGAGGAAGGATGGGGGCGGCGCTGGGAGTGCCACTGGCACCAGGTTGCGGGGGGGGGGGCACGGGGTGGCCGCTGTCACCTTGTGCCTTCTGCTCGTGGCAAGCGGCACCGTGAACTTGGGGCGCGTGGAGCTCAAGGGCTGGTTTGACTGAGCCGTCCCTGCTTTCCGGGGCGGTTTCTAGGATTTTGGGGCACGTGGTTCCTCTAAATCCCAGCACCGTCGTGCGTTGCATCTGCTCTGCTGGAGCCCGGGGATGGTGCTGTCCTTCCAGTTCCTCTTATTGCTCGTTTATGCAGTTATTTAAGAAAACCACCCAAAGTTGCCTGCAGTCAGCCCACGTGGAGCAGGACGGGGTTTTTGCTCTTTGGCTGCGGGTTGCGAGCGGGGCCCGGGTCTCTCCCGTGCTCTTGGGAACACACGACCTTTGCCGAGGTGAGCGGGACACGGCCGCGTGTCCTTCCCCACCGGCACGGCCAAGGTCACCCCGCTCCTCTCCTCGCCCAGCCCCTGCTGAAAAGTGGACAAAATACGGGGCTGATTAATCACTCAGCGGCGCTGGGCTGCAGCTGTGGCACGTCCCCAGCCCCTGCCCTGCCGTTGGCTCATCCTCGCCCAAGGAGCGTCCTTCTGCCTGTTAACACTTTTATTTTTAATTGCCGCTGTCAGGCGGGGGGCGGGAGGGGAGGGCAGGAACTTGTCGGCTCGGGCTGTTTGCGCTGGCGGGCTGTGAATTCCCTGGGCGGTCAGTTGGACAGTGATGTTTCAATCAGGGCTCCTGCACCGGCGCCAGCCGCCCCGCGGGAAGGGCTTTTGCTCCGGTTTGGAGAGGCCACGGAGGCAGGATCTGGCCCCACTGTGGTGGGGTCCCTGGGGTCCTGTTCCCCTGCCTCCCCCAGGCTGCACCCAGACCTGGCCCATGGGTGCCAGCCTCCTCCTGCCGTGCCTGGCTGGGGTGATGGCGTGTGTGCTGTCCCTCCCCTGTGCCACACCAAGCAGAGGGGCTTTTTGGGGTGAAGGATAGGCCTTTTGGGGTGTTGGAGCAAGGCTGTGTATTATTAACCCTGTAACAGCTGCCATGCACAGGTGGGCTCTCATGGATGTATCTTGGCACAACTAGAACCAGGGGACTTCTTTATGGACCACATTTTTTCTGCCCTGGGAGTGACGCTGTGACAAGGGACACTCAGCCCTGGCTCTTGGTACCCAGGGACTGATCCTTTTGCCCCAAGCAGGTCCCTGACACCTCCCTGGTGGATCGAGCTTACCTGGGCAGTTTGGGGACCACTTCAGAGAGGGTCCTGCTGCCTTACAAAAGTTGTGTTAATATTTTTACTGGGCTGGATACCTGGGCTGCTTCCAGGAGCGGTATTTAACGCATGGAAGGGAAAACATTTGGCCTCTGACCCAAGTGCCTGTTAACAACGCCGCAGTCCACGTTTCTGAGATGCCGGGGCTAAAAACAGTCCCGGTGACTCAGTCTCTCACTGGCGTTGTCAACTGACCCTGGCTTTTATTTGCCAAGTCCCTCCGCCTTCTCCTTCTCCCTTTCAGGGCTGCATGCTCACCGTGCAGGGAAGGCGCCTTGGACGGGGATGGGGTGGCTCTGGCCACCCACCTGCCTGGCCCATCTCCTGCCTGCTGGGAGGGTGATGAGGAGGGCACTGTTGGTCTCTGGGGTTCAAAACGGGGCCATACCCCTCCTTTCCTACCACCCCATCCTCATCCCAGAGGGACACAGGCTGGATGGGACCTCTGGAGCTTCTGGTCCAGCCTTAAGTATGGCCAACGTTGGTGTTAGAGCGAGGTCTCCAAGGATGGAGATTGCCCTGCTGCCGGGGTACGGCCTCACTTATGGTGAGGAATCCCTCCCTAAAACCCTGGGTCGGACCCGTGTCCCACTGCCCCTTTCTGGCGCTGCCAACAGTGGCACCGTGCTCCTCCGGCGTGCCAATGAAGATGAAACACCTCAGCCTTCTTCCCACTGGGTGCCAGCGTTACCCGACCCCTGCCACCACGGCATAAATCACCCCGGCGGCGGTGGCCTTGCCAAGTCCGGGCGAGCGTTCCGAGGGAGAGGCCGTGGGGCCGGGCCCAGCTGCACGGGAGCGGATGGGTGCCAGCCACGTTGCTGGCAGGGTGGCCCGGCAGCGCCTCGCCGGCCCGGCACGGGGGAGCTTGATCCTCTCGGGGTGCGCGGGGAGGTGCCGCGGGTGCCCAGCGGCACAGCCAGCGCGGGTGCGAAAGGGATGTGGCGCAAAGCGGCTTTGCACAACGGCGGGGGGGGGTGTGGGGGGGGGTGTGGGTGTGTGTGGGGGGTCCCCAGCACTGTGCTGGGGTGTCACACAGGCGTCTTTGTCGTCCCTTGGCTTTGCCGTTGCCATCCTGGCTGGTGCCGGCGTGGCCGTCCCGGTGGGGGACTGGCTGTGGGTGCTGAAGGGACCCCCTCGTGCTGCCCAGCAGCGTGGGGGGTCCGATCCGGCTGCATAATGCTGGTCCTTATTCTGCATCTGCTCCGGGCACACGGAGCGTGAGGAATCCCCGTGTGCCACATCCCCTGGAGTGACAAGGGATGGTTTTTGCCCCTCTGTGTATTTGGAGGCTTTGCAGCTCCCTGGGGCGGACCCAGCCTGGGCTCCGGCACCCCGGAGCGTCCGCCGGTGATGGCTGCACCTATTTTTGCCACGCTTTTTCTCGTCTCGATTGCTAACTCCTGTGTTGCAGTGAGAAAAACAAGCAGGTTTGGAGGTTTTTTGCAACTTCCCTCCCCCCCTCCCCGCTGCTGCACCCCGTGTGGCTGCTGCTGCCTTAAAAGCAAGGTCCTGAAAATGAGGAAACACGAGGCCAGCGCAGGAGCCGGGCTGGCCCCGGCGAGGAGTACGGAGGAGCTGCGACCTGGAGGCCCCCCCAGCCCCGCCGTCCCGTGCCCAGGTAACCCCTGCCCTGTCGCCCCAGTTCCCCTCGCAGCAGGGTGGCACTGGAGCCCGTCCCACGGCTGCGGGTCCCCGTGGGGTGGTTTTGTGGGTGCCTGGTGGGCTGGCAGCTTGGTGCCGTCAGAGCTGATCTCAGTCCGGAGCAAACACCCAGCCGTCACTGACGACCCCAAAATAGTGGTGGGTGCTTCGCCCTGCCCGTGCCGGGGTGCTCTGGGCTCCCTCACTCGCCCCCCCGCCGTGTGTCTCAACACCCCCCCGCCCCGCCCCAGCATTTGAAAATGAAAAAGGAGGAAGGAAGGCTCAGCAGGCGCTTGCTGCCGGTAGCAAGAAGCGGAGCTGTTTTCACTTCTTTCTTCTCCCTTTCCTGCCCTCGTGGTTATCAATGAAGTGGCCCGGAGCGGCGGGTGGGTGGGTGGCATGGCCCCCACCCCAGCTCCCCTTCTTCCCCTGGGGTCCCCGCTCCCAGCCGAAGCTGCCGATTGATTTTTCCGCTCATAAACGGCCACAATCGACCGGGAGATAAACACACGCGAGGGAGCAGGGCCGGGCAGGCCTCGGTGCAATGAGTTCGGGGGGTTCTCAGCTCCGTCTCCAGACCTGAGCAGGACATTGCTCCCCTCTTCTCCCCCCAGCTTTTGAAGGGGTCGGCAGGGGATGTGTTGCGCTGGTGGAGCGTATGTGTGTGTGTGTGTGTGCCCGTACGTGGCAGGCAGGACAGGCAGCGGGGAGGGTAACGCAATCCCTCTGTGTTTTGCAGGGGCTAAATCTGGAAAACTGCCTCACGGCAGCTTGTATTTGTAACCCACACCTGGGCGCAGCGATGCGCTCGGGCAGGAGGCGGTGGGGTGCTGCGTGGGGGGCGGCTCTGGGTGTTTTGTCCCTTGGGGGGTGGCACTGGGTGCCCCACGGCGGCTCTCCGCAGCGGGTCCAGCAGCAGCCCGGCCCCGTGCGTTGCGGAGCAGCACCCGACGGCGCTCCAGAAGTTACCGGCGGTTGCTGAGCAGCCGACCCCCGCGCCGATGGCTGTCGCTTTATAAAATGCACCGGCAGCCCGGGTTGTGGTGACGCTGGGCTGCCGTGGGGACAGCTCGGGGCTGGGGGACGAGCGAGGGTCAGGGCAGCTCTGGGTGCCACCAGGAATCCTCCAGCTGGAGCCACCCCCCAGTGCCGCCCCGGTGCGGGGGGAGCACACTGGGCTCTTGATGAAATAACACCCCCAGAGGAAAAGCAAGAAAGGTCCCGAAATAACCGCGTCGCTAAATAGCAGCAGAGATATTTTGAAGGGAGATTAATCCCTTGGCTCTGGCCCCACGCGCTGTCCCAGCGGTGGGTCTGGTGTGTGGTGGTGGAGGGTGGCTGGTGCCTGGCCCCCCCGGGTGCTGATGGAGCCCACCGCTCTCCAGCACCCAGGGGAATTTTCACTCCAAGAGCTGCTCTGGTGTCAGGGTGCCATCCTGCAAAGCAGTGGGATTAGCTTTTTCCTGCACCCCAAGGCGGCAGGGGCAGGGTCACGGGGGTTTCAGAGCACAGGTTGAGTTTCCCTTGGGAAACCCATCCCTTTTTCTACGAGTTCCTGGGTGAACCAAGGGCCGGTGCTTTGGGGGCTGCGGCCAGGGTTGGGATCAGCCCAGCTCTGTGGCTTCTCCTGCCGACGGGCAGCGCACCCTGTGCCACGGGCAGGGGGTTGAGGGCCCACTTTCGGCACGGAAAAGCCCCCCTGCGTCCCCCCAGGCAGGAAAGGTGGAGTCAGGGTGTGGAGAGGGGCTGAGGCCATCCACCCTTTCCCTGTTCCCTCCTGTTTTCCCATCCCTCAGCCCCTCTTCTTCCTCTCCATCCCCTTCCCGTTGCTCCGTCGCCCACCCTGGGCCTCGTGCCACCTTCTTCCTCCTCCGTGACCGATGGGGACGTGTCCCCAGCAGGTGCCCTGGCAGCACCCGCCGGGAAACCCAATGCCTGGGTATGCCCTGGCCCGCTGTGCTGCCCGCTCGGAGCCAGGCAAGCTGCTGCCCCGGCACCAGGACGGACCCTCACCAGGGTCCCCTCCAGGCAGGGACCAACCTGGGGCTGCCCCGGGCTTGGGGACGAGTCTGGCTCAGCGGGAGAGCTGCTGGGTGTGCTTTATCCGGGATGCTCACATCTTTCACCTCCCTAGGAGTACCAGGCATCCCGGAGGGAGCCGCTGGCCCTCGTGCTTTATTTCTGCGCCTCTGGGCTAAGGGACGGCAGGATGTGTCCCCAGGGTGGGACGTGCCTGCACTGTGATGCCAGCCGGGCCGGGTCCCCCCCATCCTTTCCCGCTGCCGGCTGCCTCCCTCCCACCCGCCGCCCTCCCACCGGGGCTGACTCAGAGTGAAAGCAGAAGCTGCTCGGCGTTTCGGGGGGCAGGGGGGGGAAGCCAAGCAGAACCAAGCGGGTTATTTTAAACCTGACCTAATTTCCCCCTCTCTCCTTATCGGGCCCAGCTCTGGCCCCCCTTCCTCATCCTCACTCTTGGCAGCTCCCCTTCTTGGGAGCTTCCCCGGGGGAGAGGGCAGAGCTTTCGCCTCCCCCCGCCTCCGTTTCCTCTAAGGGGGGTTCTGCAGCCAGGCAGGGCGGTGGGACCAGGGCTGGTGGGGGCGAGCGGGTGCCGTGAGTGGCTACGCCCCAGCATGCTTCACATGACACCCTCCTGCCCCCACGTACCAGCTGCCCTTCCTGAAAAAAGCCAGAACCCCCTCAATTCTGCAGCGGGGCAGCTCCATCCCCACCCTCGACACCGGTTTTCCCCAGTGCCAGAGGTGCCGGTCGCTCTGGCTTTTTCCTCCTCCCCATCGTGTCCCCCCCACCCTGTGCTCATTGAGCCGGGGTCTCTGTGCAGCCGCCTGTGGGGTGTTCACAGTGTTTTGTAGGGACGTGGGTAGCTGCTTGCTTGCAAATACAGGGGCTGACCACTGAGTTTCCCAGGCACACCTTGAAATCCCTTTCCTGCTCTCCCCCGATGCTGGAAGCCCCCCCAGAATGGCCGTCTGGCCTGGCCCCTGTCCCCCTCCCTGCCCTGGCCGTGCCCCGGCTGTGCGGCGTGAGCTGGGCTTGCAAAGCACGGCCGGTCCCCCCACGCCGTGATGGCTCATCCCATCTCCTCACACCTCTTGGAGGCTTTTCCTCTCACCCTGCCCTTAATATTTGGGGTTATTACATCCCCCGTGTGCATCAGCTGTGGTTTATCTCCCTTCAGCCTTGTTTTATCTGCTGCGGGCTGTCCCCAGTGTCACTGGGTCCTTTTCCAAGGTTCTGCTGTTGCTCGTCTCCAACATTCCCCTGTGCCCTCCTCTAAGGCCGTTTGCGACAGCCGTCTTAACGAAGCTCCGATTGATAACTGTCCCAGGCTCCTCTTCTCCCATCCCCCTGCAGATGGGCCACCATGTCTAATTAATTACCTTCCTCTTGCCGTTCAATAGCTGGCTCTTGATCCATGTAATCATATTTCTGTCCATTCTGGCTTGATTTAATTTCCCCCTTAGGATATCGCGTGGCACTGTGTATCAGATGCCTCACCAAAACCCCGGTGTGTTGTATCCGCCGTGGCCCCTTTGTCTGCAATTACACATTGTATTTAAATAGCAAAACCCTCCAGATTTGTCTGGTTGTGCTGCCGCAGAGCAAACCCCGGGTGTTTGGCTCCTGCCTGTTCCCCGGGCGGTGTTTGCTTTGAGTCCCGTGCTCCGCTTTCCCTCCCACCCTGCGGATGCTGTGCTCCAGACCCCCATCCCGTACGGCATCTCCCGCGTCCCCCATCCCAGCCCCGTGTGGGAAACCAGCCCCGTGAAAAGCCATCGGCGTGCCCCGGAGAGCCCGGGTAGGGCAGCTCCCCTCGCCCCGGCATCCTCTCTCCCCGCCCCCCTTCCTCCATGGGCCGCCGTCCCCTTTGTACGGGGGAACAAGGGCCGGTCTGTGCGGTGCGGGGGCCTCGCACGCCTCCCCCCGCCTCCGCGCTCGCGTGCCGGCCCCGCACAGAAGCCGCGTTGTTTGCCCCGCGCCAGAGCTGAGGTTTTGGGGCAGCAGGGCTGAGGGTTAAACCCTGCCTCCGGCTCCTGGCACCCGCTGCCCTTTTCTTCCTGCTCGTCCCTTGCTTTCTCTTTCCCTTTCGCTCTGCTGCTCTGGTTTTTTCCTGGTACTCTTCCTGCTTTGCTCCGGTGTTTCGGAAGTTGGTGGCTCAAAGCACGTTCCAGCTGAACCCAGTGGTACGTGAGTCCATGCTCACTGGGCGCGGGGTCCCGGCTGCTCCCTACCCCTCCCCGTCCCCTCCCCGGGTTGCCCTGGCTGTCCCCAGGGAGAGCGGTGGCAGGAGGGCAGACCCGTTTGTCTGGCGTTGAGGCGATCATCCCATCTTAGTCACTGGCCGGTGCGGCTGCTCCAGGATGCCTGCTGTGCCTCAGTTTCCCCGCTGCAAAATAGGCTGTTGCTGACATGCTGTGTCCTCCTCTCAGGGTCACCTCCGTGCCCGGTGGGCGCCCGTGTCCCACCCCCCAGCCCCGGTGCACCATGGCGTCCCGCATCGGGCTGCGGATGGAGCTGATGAAGCAGCAAGCGCAGCAGGAGGCCGAGCGGGAACGCGTGCAGCAGCAGATGATGATGAACTACATGCAGCAGCAACGGATGCCGGTGGCCTCCACCCCCGCCATCAACACCCCCGTCCACTACCAGTCCCCACCGCCCGTGCCCGGAGAGGTCCTCAAGGTACAGCGGTGTCCCCCCCCGCCCCGGGGCCGAGGGGGGTGCAGGACATCCCTGATGGTTTATCTCCTCGCAGGTTCAGTCCTACCTGGAGAACCCCACCACGTACCACCTGCAGAAATCACGGGACAAGAAGGTTCAGGCTTATCTCTCGGAAACCTACGGGAACAAGTTTGCTGCCCATGTCAGCCCCGTCAGCCACTCTCCCAAGCCGCCCCCCGCCGCGTCCCCCGGCGTCCGACCCAGCCACGTCATGTCCTCCTCGGCGGGCAACAGTGCGCCCAACAGCCCCATGGCCATGCTCAACATCGGCTCCAACCCCGAGCGGGAGGTGAGGAGGTGCCGGCGGGCTGCTGGGGGAGGCAAAGGTGCTGGAAAGGGCGAAGAAGCCCGTTGGCACCTTACGTTTTTCCCTTTCAGTTCGACGAGGTCATCGATGACATCATGCGCCTGGATGACGTTTTGGGCTACATGAACCCTGAAGTCCACATGCCCAACACAGTGAGTCTCTGATGGGCGGTAGGAAGAGATCAGACCCCAGGCTGCGGGAGGGAGGGAGGGTGGCCTGGGGGTGCTTGCAGGGATGGAGGTGGCACGGAGGGGACCTGTCCCTCTGCCCCATCCCTGCAGCCACCTCGGGTGCCAGCACAACCCGGCCTCGTCCCTGGGACGGGTGTCCCCGAGGACCTGGGGCTGGGGGAAGGGAGGCAGCGAGATCTCCCTTTTGCAGCTGCGAGAGCCAGTTCTTCAGCTTCTTTTCCTCTCTAATGACAGTGAGGAGCCCTTATAAAAAGCTGGTGAGATGGGAAAGGGGTGTGGGGAGGAACCAAGAGTCTGCTGTGGCACAGGGGACACTAGTGCTGGGAGAGGTTTCCCTGCCAGAAGCTTCCTCAGAGCGGCACCGTCTCCCGGGTCGGGTCCGTATGGCAGCTTGCGCCTCCCAGTGGGATTCATCCTGCCGAGCCCTTCTCGGATGTGATTCATCTGCCCTATTTTAGATGTTGGCTGTGGGAGGGGATCAGCTGCACCCTTTGAAGTCCTGTTTTCTTTGCCACTCTGATTATAGCTGTTTTAAGGGCCCAGGAAGACAATTATACCTGCCTGGGCTACGCACTCGCATCCCAGAGGCCAAGCAGCCGGGCTTGAGCCCCGGTCCCGCAGCCCCGGATGGAGCTAACCCGCCTGTCCCTCTGGTTTTCAGCTGCCGATGTCCAGCAGTCACATGAATGTCTATAGTGGGGACCCCCAGGTGACAGCCTCTCTCGTAGGTGTCACCAGCAGCTCCTGCCCCGCTGACCTCACCCAGAAGAGAGAGCTGACAGGTACGTCCCCGGCCCCAGAGCTGGCGGGGAGCTGGCGGTGACGGCGAATGCCAAAAGAATCCGGGGCTGCCCTGTCCCCGCAGGTGGGGAGGGCAGCTCTGGGGGGGTGCTGGGGTGCTCCGACACCGATCCGGGATGCTGGTGGGGCAAGATGCAGCCCTGTCCACTCTGGGTGACGTTGTGGGTCTCTGTCACAGATGCTGAGAGCCGAGCCCTGGCGAAAGAGCGCCAGAAGAAAGACAATCACAACCTGAGTGAGTTCGGCGCTGGCTGCCCGCGGGTGGCCTGGTTCTCCCTCTCCCACCCCTGCAGCCCTTTCCCCATCACTCTTCATCCTCATTCCCCCTCTCTCTGAGCTGGGTTCCCCTTTCTGTCCCACCTCACCCTCAGGAAATACCCCCCGCCCAGGCCCCTGCCATGGCTCCCTCTTTCCTGGCTCTGCAAAATGTCCGTGGTGCAGGAGACACCCTCTTGTCCTTCTCGTGAGCACTGGGGAAAGGTCAGACCCGCCGGAGCGATGGATGGGAGCAAGGTGCCAAAGAGTTGGCCCCAGAAGTTTCTCATCCTGAGCCCCCTGACTCCAGAGGGTCTGGCCAGGGTGTGATGGTGGTTCCCAGCCCCGTGAGCTGGGAGCAGTGGCGTGGCCGGTGGGGTCTGCAGGACATCAAGCCTCTCCTGCTCCTGGCACCTCCTCACCGCCATCCCTCTCTTCTCACCTTCCAGTTGAGAGACGGCGAAGGTTTAACATCAACGACCGCATCAAAGAGTTGGGGATGCTGATCCCCAAGGCCAACGACCTGTACGTATCCGTGGTTTCTGTGGGGGCTGGGATAACTGTGGGCCTCGTGGGCTTGCTTGACCCTCGGCCCTGGGGCAAGCGATGCTTCCAGAGGGGCTTTTTGGTGGAGCAGGGGTGAGGGGACACGTTGCTGGCACGCAGGTAGCAATCTCTTTTTCCATCCTGCACGGCAGGGATGTGCGCTGGAACAAAGGGACAATCCTGAAGGCGTCTGTAGACTACATCAAGAGGATGCAGAAGGACTTGCAGAGGTCACGAGACCTGGAGAATCACTCGCGGCGTCTGGAGATGACGAATAAGCAGCTGCTGCTCCGCATCCAGGTGAGCTTCCCTGTGCTCTTCCCTCCCTCTGCTCTGCTCCAGCCCCACAAGCAGCTCACTCCTGCCCCACCGAGGGGACGGACAGGGATTCTCCCTCTTAGGGCTGTCAAGTCGCCAGGAACAAAGTCTTCAGACAAACCAGACCTCTGAGGCTCAGGTCACCACAGCGAGTGTTGTTGAGCTTTGCATGGCTCACCACTTTCCATCCTTCACCTCTTCCGTGGGCTCCTTCTCTATGAGCTTCTCGGTCCCTCTGCCCCTGCCACCTCTGTGAATGCCCATATGCCGTGTCCCCGTGCACGATGTCCCCACCAAAGGCCTCCTGTACTCTGTTGGCAGGAGCTGGAGATGCAGGCACGCGTCCACGGGCTGCCCATCTCCTCGCCCTCGGGCGTCAACGTGGCCGAACTGGCTCAGCAAGTGGTCAAGCAAGAAGCCAGCGGGGACGAAGGGACGCTGGAGCCACTGCTGCCACCCCCGGACCCCGAATCGCAGCCGCAGCCGGCGTTGCCTCCACCACCCCAGTCTCCCTACCACCAGCTGGACTTTACCCACAGCCTGAGTTTCGACGACGGTTCCCGGGGCTTCCCGGACAGCCTGGAGCCAGGCCACAGTGCTTCCTTCCCATCCCTATCCAAGAAGGAGCTGGACTTGATGTTGATGCAGGACACCATGCTGCCCTTGGCCTCCGACCCCTTGTTCTCAGCCATGTCCCCGGAGGCCTCCAAGGCCAGCAGTCGCCGGAGCAGCTTCAGCATGGAGGATGCAGACATGCTGTGACGAGGAGCTGCTCCAATGCTGGGGGCGAGGACTGGACCTTCGAGTTTGGTTAGTGAAGTTACAGGGCACTCTTCTCGCAGGAGGAGCCCGTCCTGCCGCGCACTTGAATCTACGTAGGCGTACCTTTTCTCTATGCAACGGGGGTCTCGGGTCAAGGCTCGCCGGGTTCCGCCGTGTCTTTCGCAAGCTTTTTTTTTTTTTTGCCGGGAGCTGGAGCGGACCTTCTTGGCTTGCCGTGGCGTTGGCCTGCCTGCAGATTCCCCAGCCTGGGAGTGTGATCTCAGCTGCTTTGCCTTTCAGCGAAACCCTCCCGGACCGAACCCCTTCCCCAGGGTGCTGGCTCGAAGCCGGAGCTGGCAGGAGCCTTCGAGTCCCTGGGAGGAGAGGGACGATGCTCAGAGCTTTTTGTCTGCCTTGCTGCCTCCTTGCCATCTCGCTCCGGGAGCCCGCGTCTCCACGGAGTCTTCCCCAGCGGTGGCCTCTGAGCCCCGCGGATGCTTCACGGTGCCACGTCCTTCACGGTTCCTCCTTCCTCGGAGCACCCGCTGCCTCGCCGGGTTGCAGGGCCGGAGGGAGAAGAGGTGTTAATCGGGGCACATTAATTCACGGGGCACAAGGGGATGTTGTCGGAGTGAGCTGGGTCTGAGGCCGCAAATTCGAATTGATCTTGAAGCCTTCCAAAACAGCTGGGATGGGGTGTTTGATGCTTGGTCAACCCCCTGCTGTGACCCCCCCACCTTGCAGGGGGACCTCCCGTTGGGGTTTGGCAGCACCCAGCACCCTAAAACCTCACTGGCCTCTGGACAAGGGCTTCATGGTGCCGGGTGACCTTCAGCCTTCCTCGAGACATCCCTGCAGAGGTGCCTCTGCCCTGTAACACCAAGCCCTGGCTCTTCGGGTGGAAAGATGGAAGATTTTTACACTTTTTTTGGGGATACTTGTTGAAAGAGGATGTTCTGCCCCACATCTGGGTGTGGAGATCTGGGCTGTGTCTGGGGACCAGGGGCTGGTTTGAACAAATTGCCAATCCTGAGCTGCTGCTCTGCCTATGGCTCGCGGGTTTTATTTGTCTTCCCAGTGTCGCCAGCTCATTCCCCAGCTGGGACGGCTCGGTGATGGGGAGCTGCTTTGGGAATCTTCTGCCTCCTCAGCCTGGCTGGTGGCAGGGAGGGAGCTGGGCAGGGGAGGGGGGACGCTATTCACAGGGAAAATACCGCACAAATGTAATGTAAAGCCCAAAGGGGGGAGCATAGAGAAGGCTGGGGAGAGGAGACCCCTTTGCGATCCCACGCTATAGCACAGCATCACCCCCCTCAGCCGTGGGAGCTGTGGCTGGGTGGATGCCCACACGGGGATGAGGGTCACTGTGTGCACCCCATCCTGGACCAAGGATGGGGGATGTCATGGGGTCGGGACTGTGAGGGGAAAGCCCAGCCAAGGGGAGACAAGCTTGCTCCATCGTGGCTGGATTTGGGCTTGTGAGGTGGGGGACAGCCCTGGAGAGGTGCCTGTTGGATGTGAGGGTACGGGGAAGTGCAGAAGGTGGGGAGGAGAGGGGGAAAGGAAGAAGGAGGATATGTTGGAGGTGCCCTGGGGCAGGGTCTGGCCACTGCCTGGCAGGGAGGGGAGCAGAGGGGATGTCGGGGTGCTGGGCGAGGGGCACTGGGCCGTGTCCTGGTGGGTTTGGGGCTGTTTCCCCCCATGTGTTCACGGGAGGCCTTGGCATCCTTCGTGCACTGCCGTTAGTGCCTGTAAAAAAGGATAATCCCCCCTGGCAGGGCGGCAGCACGCCGTATGGTGAGTACCTGTAGGCGTGGGTGGTCTGTGGGTCAGCGGACACAAGAGGGTCTACGTGGGTGCTTCAGGGTGGGCATACGAAATCCCCGGTCGCTTGGGATTCTTGTGGCTGGTTCTGCTGGGCCCCCGTGGGTGGGAGACGGGGCTGGCTGGGGTGCACCCTGCCCTGGGCACCGACGGGCAGAGGAGCATCCACTGCTCAGCACGAGACGTGGCGTATCCCCCAGCCGTGAGTAAACAGTTGTGGATTATTTTTTTTTTTTTAATTTTTGGGGGGGTTTGTTTGTTTTCTTTTTTTAATGCACTGTGCTCTGATTAAAAAATTTTACTACTGTTTTATAAATAAATGTATAAAAGAATGAACTGGAATGGAAGAAGAATCATTAAAATATATTTATTTACAACATTCTGGAACATTACAGTGTGGGCTGTTTCTTCTTGTCCCGGAGGAGGGAGGGTCATGATGCTCAAAGCACCCAGAGCCACTTTCCCCTAGTGATGCCACGGCCGTGCCCAGAGATCAGGGTGCAGGGGAACTGCCCTGGACTGGAGGGGCTTCTTGGGGCTTAGGGGGGTTTACTTGCAGGAAAGCCTGGCTCAGTTAGAGGGGGGAAGCACTGCTGCTCCTCTCATTCAGCCTGTCCTGGGGTCGTTTGGGGTTTTCAGGGTCCCTTGGGAAGGGTGCCAGCCCCACCGCCGGATGCTTTGGGGAGGTCCACAGCTCCCAGTGCTGAGCACAGCTGGGACTCGTGAGGTGTTGACCCATCTGCTGATTGCTTAATTGGAACCAGGCTTGGCCCCTTAATTAAAAATAGTCACAAGGCCCCAGAGAGCAGAGCTGGGAGGAGTTGTGTCCCAGGAGTTGAGCAGGTTTGAGGTGGTTTTCCTGGTCTGTGGTGACTGGGCGTGATGGTGGAGCTGTCCCAGGAGCTCAGGTGCGTTTTTTGCCTGTTGGGGATCCTGTGGGGCTGAGTGGGGGCTTTTCTGTCCCCTCCTCAGTGCTGGGCCTGGCTTAGCATCACCCCTTGTGCTGCAAAACCCCTCTGGGGGTCTGGCCGGCTGGTACAGGCAGCCTTTCGGGCAGGGTATTCCCCACCTCCTCTTTGCAAACTTGCTGCAGGCTGGGGATCCTCTTGTTGCTGCAAGCAAGGGGAAGAAAATACGCTTGTAAAGTCTGCTGCTCTACCAGGGGGCTGAGCCCCTGCCTGGCAAAACTCATCACACGTTGTGTTTGCAGCCACTGTCTGCGCTCCTCTGCGTGCGGAGCTACATGCCAGGTTCCCACTGCTCAGTGATGGTGTTAAACACACGAACAAGAGGGGGGGAAAAAAAAAAAAAAAAAACCAAAAAAAAACACCTTAAAATAGACTTCCCAGGATGGAAGATCACAGGGGCTAATCTTGGAAACTTTATTAAAAGAAGAGGGAGGGGGGAAAAAAGAGTGCGGGGAGGCTGAGGTGAAGAGAAAGAGTGAGTAGTTTCAGACACTTTAAAAAAAAAAAAAAAATCCTGATTTGATTTATCTAGGGAGTGTGAACACTAAATAGAGAACAATGCCTGAAGTGTGAATTATTTCCTATATTAACACAGAGAAAAACTGATAGCCTTTTCATGTCAAGAGAATAGCATGGAGGGAGGGAGGGGGGAGAATGACATTGTTCAGTCTCCGGGTTTGCTCACTCTTTATCAGGCTGAGATCAAAATTTATTCCCAGGATGAGGCCTGCGGCCCGGCTGAGGCCCTAGAGATTTTTAAGGGCCTAATTAAGAAAACAGGATGAAAATGGCGAAATAAGAGGGCAATTTACTTCTTGCAGAATAGGGAGATCAAATCAACTTATGAGCAATTAATGTGCACAAGGAGAGAATAAAGGGATGCCGGGATATGGTAGAGGGCCTCATTTTAATGACATGCTCTGGTGTTGGCATAGAGGATTACTCTGAAGGTCAGATGTAGATTGAAACGACCTTGCAGATTCTTAACCCTCCTTCCAATTAACAGAACCAACTCAGAAATGCAAAAGACCCTGGCTTGGAGCACTGTCATCCCTTTATGTTCAGAAGGGAGGAAAAAAAAAAATATAAAGGAGAGAGAGGACGAAAGGGGGTTTCCTTCGCTTAAACAGCAGCTGCTGGAGATGGGAGCTGGGGCAGGCGGGAGAGAAAGGCTCTTAATTACAGTCTGTGAGCCACCCACGGAAAAAAAAAAAAATCGGTGTCAGGGCTCCAAGCGGGATATAAAAGGGAGGGAGTGCTGGCTGGAACTGTGGCGGGTGTGATGAGCTGTGGCTGGGCTCTGCCTGCGGGGATGGACAGGACAGGATGGACAGACAGACAGACAGAGCAGTGGGCTGGAGACCGGGCTGCAGGTCACTGCTGCTCCTCCGCCACCGCAGCGGGAGGGATGTTGGGGTGCTGCACCCTGGGGGGTCCCCGCCTCTGTTTCCCACCACCCCCCCACCCGTGACACGCTCCTTTGGTGGCCCCGTGCTGCCCCACGCAACATAGTGTTTTGTTTTGTTTTGTTTTGTTTTGTTTTTTTGGGGGGGGGAGAAGGAAGGAGGGTGCGAACCGGAGCGGTGCCGGCTGCTTCCCGCGGGCCGGGCAGAGGCGTCGCGCGTCTTGCGTGGCCAAAACACCCGGGACAGGCGCGTGTCTCCTCTGGGTCCCGACGGGTGCAGCGAGGCTGCACCGGGGCTGAGCAGCCACAAGAGAGAGCCAGACCGTTACCGGAGAAGAGGGGGAACCGGCCCGGCCGAGGATGCGCATCCCCGGCTGCCCCCGGGGACTCGGTGGAGGGAACCCGGCGGTGGCTGCTGCTGCTGCTTCACGCAGGAACCAGCCGGTACAAAACGCAGCTCTGCCCCTTAGCTGGAGGTTGCTGGTCCCCGAGGGCTCAGCGTGTTGCAGATGCTTCTCCTCGAGCGACAGCATCTCCCACTCGTGCTCTCGCCCTGCCACCGGCAGCCCCTCGCCAGGGCCACGGCACCGTTTCCCTCTTGGAGTCGGCTTCGGTAAAACCCGGGAGGGTTAAAACCAAACCAGCTGCCAGGCTGCTGCTCCCTGCGGGCCCTGCGCTCAGCACCTCGCTTTTTTAAACCTCCCTGTGCCTCGAGTGCCGTTGAAAGCTGGGGGAAGGGAGAGGCTGGATGGTGAAGGGGGCTGGGGAAGAACAGAGGGGCTTGTGCGGGTTGGGGTGATGAGCAGGGGGCAAGCACCCGCACCCAGCTCGAGCAGGATTGAAACCCTCTGACACGCAGTGCCAGGAGGCTGAGCTGTGGGTACCGTGCTCTCCGGGAGGATACAGCTGTGTCCCCTTGGGCAGCTCCATGCAAAAGGCCTTAGGGGTTTGGTTCTGTTGTTTTATTGTCAGACTGGACTAGTCTGAAAGCAGAGATCTGCTTAAAGAGAGCTGTGACTTCCCCAGCAGCATCCTTTAGGTACCACTGTATATATATGTCTCCAATCCCTCTCACAAATGCTGCTGGCAAGTTGTTTCTCAAATCCCAGAGAATTTTCTACAAAAAGTTTTCTTGGAGAGGGGGAAAAAATCTGTAATAAAACAGAAAATGGGCTTGATCCTGAAGCAAGAAGGAATGAGCACAAGCCAACCCAGCCCTTGGCACCTCTGGAGCAAGATGCTCACCCAAGCAAGGCAGCCCTTCCCGGGATACCAAGAGCAGAAGAGCAGTGAGGAGGCAGCAAGAGGAGTGGGAGATAGCTTGAGGGGGTTTCTCCACCCCAAACCTTGCGCTCTCCGGGCCCAAGGCATCCCCCCACGGCTCCGTGGCATCCCTGGTGTGGGACTGACTGGACCTGCAATCTGGAAGCCATCCCTTGTCCCGATGCTGGGCTGTTGCTGAGTTTCTCTTCTCCCCCCGTCTCTCTTCATTTCCTTTCTGGCTCTCGCCAAGCTCCTTCTGTGGTTTGAGCACTTCGGCTACTCCTGCTCCTTCCCCACCTGAAGCCCTAATCCTTTGCCGGTGACGTCGCCGGGGGTTGTTGTGGCAACGGTTGGGATGAGATCAGGAGGAAGGGATGGCTTTTTCAGGTGGAGGAATAGGCAGCACGGCCGCCTTGGCTTCAAGAAACCAAAGCAGCTCTTTGCAAGTAAATCTTTGTGTGTAATAAAGAGGGAGAGACTGGAAAACCTCTGATGGCTGTCCAGAAATTGCTTCCAAAGAGAAGGGGCTAGGTTGGTCCCTGGGTGAGTCCCTGGCTCGGAAGGGTTACTCTCTGGATGCATTTGGCCTGTTGTTTTTCCGTCAGCAGCTTTTTAAAGCTGTGGGGCTGGGGAGCCCTTTGGACAATGCATGGAGCCCTTGCAGACAGTTTAATGGCTGTCAGAGTTCCTGGTGCCTCGGCAGGAGTGGCTGCGTGCTGTAAACCAAAGGGCCAGGAGAGCTGGGGCTGAAGGATGGTGGCTTGCTGGTTGTCAAGAAGGGTACAGATGTGCTGGAAAAAAAAGTCCTGGGAAGGGGAAAATGAGGTGCAGGCAGAAAGCCACTCGCTCACGGAGAAGAGTGTGGAGAAGGTCCATGCCTTGGTTTCCCCACCACTCAGGGGATGGTGCAAAGGCTGGCACAGGGGAGCTGACCTGGCCCTTGCTGCTGAACCCCTGAGGTGCAGGTGACAGCTTGTTCGGAGCAGTGACACCAGAGCAGCCCCTTCCCCATGGGGCGTAAACTCCCCAGGCTTGAGCCCCGTGGAGCAAAACCCCAGCTCCTGGCTGGCTGTGCACATCCCCCAGGTCGGATTCAGCTGCGACAAGCTGGGGTGCTGGGAGGGGCTGAGTTCTGCCTCCCGGTTGATGGGGAGAGCAGCAGGAATTTACACCCCCCAACTCTCCGCCAGAGCCAAATGGCCCCACTCCCCTGGCCCTGGCAGGGCTGGGATTGCAGCCAGGGGAGCTTTGGCCCAGGATACCCGATAGACTCAACAGCAGCCGCCCAGCTGGATTTTCCATGCCTGATGCTGAATTTACAGTGCCGGATGCTGGAGCAATTGCTGGCTAGCTTGTTGTTTGAGCATGGTCTTGGTGAGATCAGAGCAGCGAAGCCCTGTCCCTGCAACCAGAAAAGGGTGAAAGAGGCACCTGGAATGAAGAGAGCAGTGGCTGCAGCAACAGAAACCCAGGGAGCCGCGGTCCTGGGGCCTGTGGAGGTGCTGGGGACCCAGGGAGGGTTAGGCTGAGACAAGCTGTGCCCCATTTGTCTCGGTGTTTAGAATCCCCTTTGGAAATCCAGTCCTCTTGCGCTCATTGTGCCAGACAGACACCCCAAAGTGATCGCTGTGGATGTGCTGGGACCCCTTTTCCCACCAAGCTGCACCCCAAAGTGCTTGACAATCTGCTTTCCCAAGGATGCTCTGCCTGGGAGTCACCCTGCATCCTGGTACTGGGATTTGT